TATTGGTGAGAGACGATAAACGTATTGGTGAGAGACAATATCGTTAAAGGAAGTAGACCAGTAAACGGAATAGTTTCCATTTCCCCAATCAATCGCATAGACTTGGTCTATATCAGATTGAAGTGAACCTTGAGCAGGAATATAGCAAATACTAATTTCTTTTGAATAACCAAGATTATTATGAGAAGATAATTCCAATCTGTATCCCATGGAATTATCTAAATTTTCGATTTCATGGCGGAACGTTTTTACATCTGAGATAACTTCCTGAGGATATTCATTTGATTGAATCGCATTTGGGAGCGTAAGTCTGACTGATGGCACTTCATCTCTTTTTATTGAAGTAATTGAATAAACTTCTGACGGAGAATATTTTGATGGTGTTAACTCTGATTTTTGATGAGGGATGAAAAAACTTGACGATTCGAGGCTTGGTGGGCTTTGTAACGTAAGCCTTATGTTTGCAGGTGATCTGTTATATGGGGCTACATGTACAGCGAAAGGTCTGACTGATAGAACGTAAGTTAAGTTCGGGCCATTGCTGTCCAGTGGATCCATTGGTTCAAAGTAAACCATGATATTTCTTTTATCCTCTCTTAGATTGGTTACTTCAAACGCCCCAACTTCAAATTTAGGATGTTTGTATGGAACTGTTGGGAACAAATAGAAATCGTTATAATAAAAATCATTTTGAATGTGTAATAGATAATACAAAATAGCAAAAATTAATGAAAAATTAAGTTACATTGACCAATCAAGATCATAACACCATCTGAATTGAACTTCTTCATTAAACATAATGAGAAGATAATTGTCATATGATGATAATAAATGTTTGATTCATCTACCTCTGTTATTTCATTTTTTTGCTATCTTGATCTATCACTGTAAAATCACTATCAAAGTGTAGTTAAATAATGCAACAATTGAATACCAACCATCAGGTTTTGTGGTTACAATTTTATCCGACTCTTTACCCCATTGACTTTGTCCATTATCAGTTACCATTCGACAACGAATTGAGAAACGATAAGATGTAAACGGAATTAAAGATGTTACATTCAAATTTAATTGATTTTTCACTATGAATTGTCCTGATGGTTTCTTTGAAGTGATGTTCATTTTCACAGTATAATCCTTTTTTGATGCAGTAAAATCAGTTGGATAATTATCTTGATAAACATTTATGGAGTATTCAGTAATGTTTTCAAGATAAAAATCGTCCAAAATACTTGTAGGTGGCTCCCAGCTGAGCATTAAATTCTGAGTTCCAATATCAATGGTTTTAATTTGAGAAACAGGACCAAGAATAACATTTGAGTAATGATCAATTTCATAGGTCTTGGAAAGTGAGCCAATTTTATTAATAACATCTAAACGGAACCGTAATTTCTTGTCCGAAATGAGGTAAGGCGATTCATCTTTGATGGAAAATGTACAAGAAGGCTTGTCGTTATCAGTGCAAGACGAAAAACTGAAGTTACCTCCGACTAATAGGTGTAAATGGTAATCAGTTTTAACATTATAATTCAACGGTTCCCAATTACACGTGAAATTTTTCAAATCATAGCCGGTGCAACTAAACTGGAAATCATCATTTTCACTTGGCGCATCTAAAGAGAGTGAAAAGATAAACAAAAAGACATACATTAGGACAATTTATTACATATTTATTACATATTTAATGATGGTATAAACTTACGAGCAATTTTAACTTCAGTCCCACAAACCAAGGCTGCTTTCAGGTCACTCACTCCTGGATCAAAGTAACACGAATAAAACCCGTTATCTTTCATGGATGTCCGTCTAACTTTAAACTGGGCTGTTAGGTCATCAATGATACGAATTTTTACATTGGGTATTCGAGTTCCATTTTTTTTCATCAATAACATTTTGGAGTTGGCTTCAACTTGTTTACCAGAGAGGGTGATACGAGAAGAGGATAATGTACAATTTATTTCAAATGGATCACCTTCTTGAATGGTCATATCATTTGAAGTAGTTCCAATATTGGAGAACAAACCATCACAGCCCAACGCAGGATTAATCCCATAATTTATTAAGACTATCAAGAGAATAGCAGTGAAACAAATCAGGTTATTGCTACAAGGCCTTCCAAACATTAAAATGCCATGGTCCACCATCGTCATGTGGATAAAGATTGCAGACAATTTAAGAGGCCAATGGTAATAATTTCTCGATCAATCACATAATCTGAAAGAAGAATAAAACCAAGTATAAAATTAAATGGTTGATTGATTCAGTAATACTATAAAATAGAGATTGAGTTTAAACAGAAAAATGATGATCATAAATGAGAATCCAAGGTTTAAGTATTTTGTAATAAATAACGAGTAAAATGATTTCACACGATGATAATAGAAACATTGACTAAATATGTATAGTTCATCGAGACATATCACCAAACACAGATTAATCCATATTGAAACAGTCAAGATAATGGAAACTAACAAACAAACACAATTTCATTTAATATGTGGCTAAACATTGGAAAGCTTTATCTTTACAAGAAGATATTGAAAACTCACATGAAAATAAGACTGGGCATAAAACGTTGTGTTGTAAAATTAGTTGAGCAAAACTATTGCTGATTTGACACAGATTCAGGTAAATTTTAACACTGAATGTAGACAATTAATTAAATATAAAACAGAGCAACACATAATTTAGGTGAAACAATCAGCACGAACGATACAATCAAACAAAAATGAAGGAATCAAAAGATAAATAAACGTTGATAATGTGAAACGAGAGGCAAGTCTCATTGCAGTCATATAGTCAATGTGATATTTTTATAAAAACATGCACAGAAAGAGTAGAGAAAGGGAACCAAAGAGTATAACAAGAGGCAGCACAAATGAAAACTAATCTTTTTGAGAAACAGTAGTTTCTGCTAAATCCATAAAATGCGGGGTAAGGTTCAAGGAGAAATGCATGTAAGTTACCAAAGAGCAAAGATTAATAGGAATACAGAGAGCACAGTAATGAGAGCTATAGGGTGTTGAGAAAGTTTATGTTCAAGTTTACTAGAAGGTGAAAATATAATTTAATGTCTATACGCAAGTGAGGATGATTTTTTACCCTACACAAACTTTCTCAACACCCCATATAGATTAGAGCGATAAGAAGTCAAAAGGAGAGTTAACAGTGAGAAAGAGACCAAAAAATGGGAAAAAAGTAAATGTAAACAATTTTATTGAAAAAAGTTCAAAATTTGCGAGAAAAAGATTGTTAGTGGCGCCATCGCAGTCTGTACCTTTTCGCTTGTTATCAAAAGGATAACATTGCGTACTTCCTCTTACATATTATGTACTGTATTATACTCTTTGTGTTAGACCATATTCACCAAAGTTAACAATCACAATTTAAGTTAATCCCAAGTGAAAAGATTGAGGTAAGTGTATACAAAACCCCGTGAGCTGAGTCTCTCTTCGAGTCTCACCTGACTAAACCGATGTTCACGCTGATGAGGATAACCTGCCTAAATTTAAGTAATTATGTTTCAAGTTGTTTAGAGCATTGCATTCTAGACTATGTTGGATTAGTTGGAGTTGAATTATTTTTTTGTTGTATTAGCTTATGTCAGCCATGAAAGCTCGTGTCTTCAATTTAAGCTAGCTGAGAATTGAGTTGACCGGGTTTTGTATACCTTTACCATAAATTGAATTAAACAGTTTTCGGTAAAAAAAATAAATTAAATTTAAATGTTTTGAAAAATTTAAATTACATTGTATTAAGTAACCAAGAAAGTTCGTTCGTTTTTTTTAAACCTGAGTTCAATCGATAATTTTTTGGCGAAAAATTCATTTTATTGGAACTATTTTTTTTGCCGATGGTAGACAATTCATTAAGCTTTAACCCAGTGTGATTTTCATTAGGGTCAGAAGGAAAATAAATTGTGAGTTAACAATTTAAATTGATCAACTTTTTACCAATTTTATTGTGTTCAGGATAAATCATGATTACAATAATTTTTTAATTCAATTCGAAAAAATCTAATGCATCAGATAGCCGATAGTCTAGAGTTCATTTTGGTTCAATTTCGAGTCTTCGAATAAACCAATTAATCAATTCTGATCGCACAAATTTTCAATATTAATTAATGTATCAACTTTGCATTATAGTTATGATAAACAGAATGTAAACAACATTTTAAATTAGGCGGAGATGTGAGAAAGCTTGAGTGTCTCCTTGGTTACATCTCGGAAACGGAAAGTAGCTTCATTGAAGGCATAGTTTTCTGTCCTGAAACTTGTTTAATTTTGTAATTCGTTTCATTTTATTAATCGAGTTTTCACTTATTGTGACCGGTAAATTAATTAATCACAATGGCTCAACGACAAGTTCTTAGACGACGATTATGCTACAACACACCATCCAATCGTCGAAAGATGTAAGTTACTTTCACAAATCTTTTCAATTTTAGTCTTTATATTCAACCTATGTTTACCACTAATGGTATAATTGTGTTTATCTGTCTTGTTTTTAGTATTTTTTACTTCAAACTCCAATTTATTTCTAATTCGTTAATTTTTAATTTTAATTTCCATCAGTTCCAAAACTCCAGGTGGAAGGCTAGTATACCTTTATCAAAAGAAGCCAGGAACCTGTGCTCGTTGTGGTGACTGTAAGCTCAAGCTTAGAGGAGTAAGTTTAAATTCCGTCTTTTTAGTTACTTCGTGTATTTATCATGTTACTAATGGTTTTTTCGCCTATTTCAGTTAACATTCGCCCGACCACACAAATTGTCAACACTTTCCAAGCGACACAAGACTGTCTCTAGATCATATGGTGGTGTAAGATGTGCCGCATGTTTAAAGAATAGAATTCTTCGAGCCTTCTTGATTGAAGAAGAAAAGATCATAGCTCAAGTTATGAAAGCCCAGAAACAGACTAAAAGCTAAATTAACTGTTGTAAAATTTTGATCCAATAAATCAAGTAAAAACAAATTAGTTATGAATCGTTTTTGCGTGATTCAATACCGGTATAATGAAGAATACAAAATTGTTGCTGTTTAAATATCTTTTTTCTTTGTTTCTCGATTTGCGATAAGTACAATTCAATAGAGAATTATACTGAATTCATTTTACATGTGAAACCTGTAAGTTAGATATTTAAGGGAAAATCGGGTTGCCAATGATCATTTAGCGCTAGACCAGTCAATTTAATGTTTTTACAAAAGGAGCTCAAGAATCGTTTGAGTCATTTAACATTTAAGAAACTGTACAAAGGGTAGATTCTCGAATCAATTGAGGAAGATTCACGAAAACACAAAAAAGTGAGAATGAGCAAAGAGAAGTCAGAAAAAGGAAAACATTAAGATACAGACATCAAAGAGTTAAGGGTGTTGATGAAGAAATGGAGATTTATGAATGAATGAATGAATGAATTATGAGTTATGAATAAGACGAACAGAAGAATCTATGTGAATGATGGCGGAAAGATGATGGTTGATGGTCATGGCGATGATGGTACGAATAAGGAGACGAAAGAAAATGAAAGGAAGAGATCCGTGTATTTGAAAAGAAGTGGTGGAAATGAGGATGATTGTGAATGTGATGGAGAGACAAATGATAATGATTAGGATGAAATTCGTTGTTAATTTGCTAGAAATAACTCGAAATGGTGAATTCATTTTTTGTTTGAAATTTTGACTTATTTTGTTCCTAGAAAGATGACTTTTTTTTGCTCTTCGTTTTCTTGTTTTTTTTAATTAATAGAGTATTTGTAGCTTTCTTTTACACTTAAATTTCACTCGTAAGATGATCCATTGAAATTTTTCGTTTAATAATTTCAAAACACTGTATCCACAACTGCACGTAATGCAAAATTTACACTGGCTGAATCTAAAGTTGATGGTTGAGGTATCGTTGAGATTGAGTTGTTAGAGTTGTTATCAGTGTTATTAGTTTTGTTATGATTTGTGTTGTTTGCTGTATTTATGCTGTTCGTGATGGTGTTAGAGATGTTTTTAGCAGAATTTGTATTGGTTTCGGATGATGAAAAGGAGATCGCTGATGAAAATTGGTTACTGTTCATATTAGATGGCGGAAAGGAATGTTCAGGCGAAACATTGCACATATATAAATTAATGTCGCTGTTAGTGGTGTTATTCGTGGTGTCGGTAGATTCCTTTTCTTTTAACCTCTCCAGTTGTTTCCTTTGCATTTCAAAAAGCTCTTTCTGGTGATTTTTAAAACTTTCAATGTCCAAAGTTTCATTATTTGGCTTATTTGAAGATGAAAAACATCCACTTTCTTCAAAATAGTTTGGAAGGTCAATCTTTACAACTGGTATGAGGTTACCTTGCTCATCGATAACAGCCTCCGGTTCTTGATAAACTTCTTCGTTCACACAACTTTGAGGAGATGACTTTGGACGAAAATGTATCCTTAAAGAAAAAAGTGTTAATCAGATTAATATGTTTGCAATCTAATTTAGATGAAATCGTTTAGAAAAAAGTTTAGACTTACCATTCTTTTTTAATTTCATCAATAAATTCATTATCTTCTTCGTTCTCATGATTAGAATCTAATTTGGACCAATACTTATCCATAGGAGTCCATGCACGATCAAAAATAATTCTGATGGATCAATAAATAGAATGAAAAGTTAATAAAATTCAGTAAATCTATTTTTTTAAGTAGAGAACTAACCTTCCTCCCCTGCCATATCTTCTTCTAGCAAATCCGATACAGCGTTGATTAAGTCCAATATTAATTGATGTGAGACAGAACCTATAGCGTTTGTCACCAAGCCCGCCTTCAACAGAACTACACCATGGCCAATTGCCTTTTTGTTCAATGAGGGGAGCATGATATGAACAACCCTTTTGCCTTTTGAAAGCATAAGGGCCGTCGGGATCTTCTTCTTCTTGATCTGAAGTTGGCTGTGACTGGTTACCATTCAAAATCTCTTCGTCAGATGTATAAATAAATTCATTAGACTCAGTCGATTCTGCTTTTTGGACATGAGCAGTACCCTGCTTATGTCGCCGACGATATTCTCGTTTTCGTCGGGGTGGTTGAAGAGTTTCATCAATCTGAAAAAGAAAAAAAAATTGATATTAATATAATGATGAATAAGGATATGAATGAATGCTGACGCCAAAGAAAGTTTGAAAATTTACCTTTGAACGAATTTTCTCTCCTTGTTTTAACATATTGAAGTTATTAAAAGGTAAATACGTTGAGGTAGGTTTGATTAATCGTAAAGCTGAAACTTCGGCTAGTACTTGACCACTATAATCACCTATCTCATATCTATATAAAATGAAAGAAAAAGTTAGATGCAATCCAGATAAGTTTTGATGAGATTTCTTGCCTTTTTTTGAAAATTTCTAACGACAATTGAAGATGATCATGCTTCAGCTTTTCACGATGTTTCACTAGTTGTAATAAATCTCTGTAAAAGATGAAGAAAAAAAATGAAAAAAGTCCCACGGCGAAGGAAAAGAAAATATAGATGAATATGATGAATCTAAATTGAACATACACAGCCCTGCTGAGATCTCTTCTAAGTTTAAGCATCTTTTCATAAGAAACTTCATCATTTTTGCGATTTTTACGAGTTTGCATTTTCTCTGTTCTTCTTCTGAACGCCACATATGGACTGTTATTTGCTGTACCATCTCTTCGTTCTGTTTTAACCAATGGTATCAAGGATTGTTGGGTTCTTAATCTTTTATCAACCCAATAATCGTAAACTGCGGTGATCAGATCATCTCTTTCTTTGAGCAAAAGTTTAGCCTCGTCTATTAGAACAACTTGTTGCCCACTACTTTTTTCGAGTTTATCCATCATTTCTTCAAATTTCAAAGGAGTAAGATCAGGTAAGTCTTTTTGTTGCTCTAACCAAACTTCATCCTCTGAATCTAAGTCATAATCAGGAACTTCTTGCTCAAAATCGAAAGGAGCAACATGTATGAGCTGCCTAGGGAGCTTGAAATTATTAGGGTAAAGGGCATTGTAAAAATCATCCGGAGCTTTATACACTTCGGGCGTAGGTATCACAAGTTCTCCCGTATGACCGAAAGCTTGTTGAGCAGATATGGCTCGCTGCAAATGATGTTCCTGAAAGAAACAGAGATAAAAAAAGAAAACATTAGTTTATTGCAAGACAACAGTGAAAGTAAAGAATAGTATGTTAAAGATAGTGCAAAAAAACTGCTATAGTCATGAAAACTGTCAAAGCTGCACGAAAATAAGCTAGCAGGCTGTATTTCAAAGGTATAAACTACGAAAATTAAACATTTAAGTCATAATTGTGCAAATGATGAGCTATGATAATAAGATTAGTTGGTAAAATTCAATGTTTACACTTTGTGGTGCCAAAGAGAAAGGTATATTGAAAAAAGAGGGAGGAGAAAGACTGGTTAACATAGGAAAATCAGATGTGTTAACACTAATTTTAACAATTAGGTAAGATTGTACGATATCATTGGACTTACACATTCCTCCTCTTTCTCCATGCCAGTGGGCATTTGAGGTACAGATCTGTTAATAGCCGCAAAATCCGGCAAATCAGGTATCTCTTCAGACCTAAAGACGGGCATCATTTTGCTGCTGTCCAGGGCACGAGCCCTGAATGATAGTTTGCTCATCCTTATATCAACACAGGGATCTCGGCCTCTCATTAAAACACTTTTATCGACATTTCAGGCAACTAATTAACAAATTTAAATAGTAAATAGATGATTAATCAATTAATTTGAGATCCAAACTGATCAATGTTTTGATTTAATTTCAAGATTTTCTGATCTTTTTGTGTCGATTCTTACTGTTTTTACTGCCCTCTGCATCACCAGTTGATGAAATTATAAACGCGCCAAAATCAAATCTTCTATTTATCTTATTTTTTTCTGATTTTGATGAAATAAAGTAAATTATTTGAACCATAAATTGTTTTATAGATTGAATATTTACTAATTTTCAAGCTTGATTCTTTTTCATTAAATAAAAAGATAATTGCAGCACAATTATTTCATAAAAGTTCAATTTTCATCCAATCTTTATCGTTAAATTAATCATGATCGATTTATTTGTGTTTTTATTGCATATTTTGTTTGATATTTAGATTCATTTAATTACTATCATTAAACAACCCTAAAACTAAATAATCCTGGAATCTTTAATTTGATTCAGTTTTCTTGTCTATACATTAACTAAATTTTGAGACATTCCCTTGAAGTTGCAAAGTTTTCGTTTGTTTACATTGATTCCAGAGAAATAAGTGATTTTTCAAACGGGAAGATCAAGTTATCAGAAAAGTAATTGTTAGATTCTTATAAGTGACCAAAAGGATATTAATGAGTAAATTGTATCGACGATATCTCAATTTGGTTCAAGCGTGGCCAGTTGATGCAACCAAAGATGGTAGAGATTTTGGCCAATTTTTGCGAAAGAAAACAGTCACAATATTCAATCAAGGAGAACTAACAACCATTGACGAACGATATTGGGAACCAAGAATATTGGCTTTGGAAAGGATAGCTCGTGATGTTCATCGGGATAAACATAGAATGCTGTATGAATATTCAGCAACCAATTGTGATGCTGAATCGGCAAGAAAAGGTGTTAGTAATGAGGCATTAAAAACCAAGACTGAAATTGGTTTAATATCAGAAATTAAATCCGTGCTTAATAAAGAGTAAAAGCTAGTTCTTTAGCGTTTACTGGTTCTAGTGTTTTATTGATGTATTTAGTTAATTTAAAATGGTTATTAAAAATTACTCTAATCATTGTGATGTAAGTCATAATTTGGTGATCCATTGGTTTTATTACAATTTGTACCTCAATTTTACTCAATAGATGACGTGAGTGATCAGAGAGAAACTGAGTGAGAAAGGGAGCAAAGAAACAGAGAGAGAAAGAGAGAGAGAGAAAAATTAAGAGACGCCATTTTCTTGCTGGCCGAGAGTGAGAATTGACAATTTTGTTGCGGATGTAAATCGCTCAGACTTTTAAATTTGATTCGTTTTGAAACCCTCCAAAACAGCGCATCAAAAGTGATTTCTTCTTCTGATAAACAACTAAATCAACAACGGAAGGCCATAAAGAAGAAGGGGGTGTTTCGTCTTCTCTCTGCTCAGGAGGAAAGGAAGAACCTCTCACATGTAGATGGGTCCCTCCAAGCAGGATTTCAAGAGACCACACTACCCCAAGTAATACCCATGAAGATCGAAGCCAAGTTATCTTCCGTAAAGTACGAGGGTAAGTGTGCAATAATAAACTTTCAATTATTCATATTTTACACCCATTCTGTTGTTAGCATTTAGTTTTTTTATGCTTTACTATCATAATCATCACTTGTATTACAGCACCGCTCGTATCATCATCAAAAACAGTAGTAGTAGTAGTAGCATCATCATCACCATCATCGCCATCATCATCATCATCATCAATACCATTATAATGATGATAATGCGAGCTTGATTTTTTTTCTGCTTTAAAATCATCCGATGCAAAATCATTCACCTTCATTTCCTATTTTTTTCAGCATAGGAGATGATTTTTATGCACACATGTTATGCCCTTTTATTCTTTTAAATCTCAATTATCTTTTTCTATTATCTCATTTTATATCTTTCTATATCTCTCTTTCTCTGTGTCTCTTTCTCTGTCTTTCTGTTTCTTGATTTTCTTCTCTTTCTTCTGTACATTCGCTTGCTTCCTTTTTTTATCATCTTTTCTCTATTTTTGAATACCTCATCTCATTATTGCGTCGCGTATTTTGCTGCTCAACATTTTGCGTACTGTTTGTTTGTCTTTTCTTACATTTTTTCTTGCACAATTTTCTTTGCAGAATACTCAACAAGATCACTCCGGAGAAATTTGATAAGTTGAGCGAGGAACTGATAAATTTGGGTCTTGATTCAACTGCTATTTTGAAAGGAGTCATTTTGTTAATATTCGAAAAAGCTTTAGAGGAACCCAAGTATAGTTCTATGTACGCCCAGTTATGTAAAAAATTAAGTGAAGAAGTACCTTAACTTTGAAAATAACAATTCAACATTACTTAATTCTCACAACCCCAATGTAAGTGTCATCAACCTTCATTTCAGTGTACATTAACTCCCCTCTTTCCTTTTTCTCTCTCCTCTTTCTTCTCATGATTCTCTTCTTTCTGCCTGTCTTGATTCCCTTCATAAATTTTCTTCATTCCTTTCTTATTACCTTTTCCTTAAAAGTTGAACTTCTCTCCTCCCTTTCCTCCTTTTCTTTTCCATGATGGTTAATGCGTTTCACTTCACGTTTCCTTCTTTTTTTTACTCATTTCATTTCCATAGCGGACATTTCACCGGCTTTTATTGATCAAGTGCAAAGACGAATTTGAGAAACGTTTCAGAGCAACTGAGGCTTTTGGAGATGGACCTCTGTCACCTGACGAAGAGGAACAACGAGCTTTGGCCAAACATAAAATGCTTGGCAATATTAAGTTTATATGTGAACTTGGTAAACAAAAGCTTTTACAGGAGAACATTTTACACCGGTGTATTCACCAATTGTGTAAGAAAAAAGTGGACGAGCCAATACAGAGTAAGGCTGAAGACCTTGAATGTCTCTGTCAGATAATGAAGACGATTGGTTGTCTTCTGGATACACCTGAAGCCAAACCTTTGATGGATCAATATTTTGAAAGGATGGAAAAATTCTCCCAGAATCAAGAGTTGCCCTCACGGATACGATTTATGCTCCAAGATGTTTTGGAGCTGAGGGCTAATAAATGGGTTCCGCGGCGAATCCAAAGGGAACAGAATCCTAAAACCATTATTCAGATTCGTGCTGAAGCAGCAAAAGATTTTGGAGTTTATATGCCTCCAACTATTTCTTTAGGAAATCAACATCCAATTTACCAAATTTATCCGAATATGTCTATGAGACAAGCTCAATTTCTTTCTGGCTCTAATCAAATTCTTATGAGTCATACTGCACCAGGGCAGAGAGCTCTTGATGATTTATATTCATCGCCTTTGCTTCCTTACGGAATGGGTCCTACAAACCCCATGGTTCAAGGTCGTGGTTATGTCAATCAAGAAAGAGATCGTGATTCTGCTGGTCGTCCAAAATTGAATAATATTGCTCCTATTTATCAGCAACAACAGCAGCAACATCAGCAACATCAGCAGCAACAACAGCAGCAACAGCCTCAACAACAACAACAACAACATGCACCGTCTCACCACCATCATCATCATCAACTTCAACAACAACAGCATCATCATCATCATCACCAGCATCACCAGCATCATCATCATCATCAACCTCAACAACAGCAACCACATCATCCACAGCAACAACCTACTGGTCAGAACTCTTTGCAATTAAATATGTCGCCTAATTTTACGAATAATAGTGTAATTGGAAGTGTTAGCAAAGATTTGCCACCGCGATTTCAAAGAATGGCTTTGCAACAGCAAACACCACACTTGCCTATTAAACAACAGCAGCCTCAGCAACCAATTCAAATTCAACAACTACAACGGCCTATGTTAGGACCTTTAGGAGGAATAGCACCTAATATAATTAATCAAAGTCCCGTTGTAGACGGGAATGTTGCAAGGCAACAACAAGTACCCAATAAACCAGTCGTACCTGCTACCAATCATTTCAATACACTTGACGGCAATGAAATATCTTTAAGACCTGCTCAGAATTCTATCATGCACAAACATAATGTGGTTTTGAACAAGTCCAAAACCAATATGTCTTCTCAATTGATCAATGTAAACTCTAGTATGAAAATTATGGATAACCAGTTAGCCTCTTATCATGTTCCAATCGGTGTAACCAACAAATCTCACAAAGGAAATAATGAGCATCAAGCTAATTTGAAAAACAAGTCATCTATTCAAAACAATAAAGAAACAGTCTTGAAAAAATCTGAAGAAATTTTGAGTAACTTTCTATCTTCGTCCGATATGGATACAGCTGTCAGTGACATTCAAAATCTTAAAATACCTAAAAAGTGAGTATTTTGTGATCTGATTCTATCTTATTTCATGATTATCACCTCTCGTTTTTTCTATTTTGGAACCATCAATACTGAATTTACTATCTCTCTGTTTTTCTTCAATTAGTTACCAGAGTGATGTTCTTGTCAATATTATTAAAAGAACACTGGATAAGACAGAAAGTGATCGAGAATTGGTTAGTAAATTGCTGCTTCAATTGAAAAATGGCAGCGTTTTAGATACCAATGTGTTCTTTTCTGTAAGTATTTTTTCGGTTTATTTTCTTGTTTATAAAGTCTAGCAACCTTTTTCACAGTATGAGAACATTTTTAGCTATTAACAATGTTTGTTTATTTTTGTTTCTTTTTTCATATATTTTTCATCTTGTTTCTTTCCCATCTTTTTTCTTGTTTATAGGCGTTTAAAGATTTATTAAATCATATGGGCGATGTGGAAATAGACATTCCTTGGGTTAAATCATATGTTGCCGGATTTTTGGCTAGAGCAATCGTGGATGGACTTATAACCTTAAAAGATGTTTATGATGTGGTTGAAGGTGGACAATATTACCCTTTATTACTACTTTGTCTTCAAACACTTCATCAAACTAAAGGTCAAGAATGGTTGACCAAAACTTTCAATGATAACAAAATTAATTTGTTAAATACTTTGCCTGAAATCGATAGAGAAAAAGAAAGGCTAGCGGATATTCTTAAAGAACGTAATCTCAGTTTCCTTTACCCTCTGCTTAGGATTGAATTTGACATGATGAAACATTTAAATGATGATGATTGCTCCCCCAACTCTCTATATCGTTGGATTAAGAGCAATGTTGATCCCGGTTTAAGAAATACTTCTGGCTTCATCAATCTACTTTTTACCTGTGTTGCCAAGTATATCATCGAGAAAGCTAAACAAGCGACTTCCGATGATACTTTCAATGAAGGAGATTCGAATAATTCTGGATCATCTACCAACGGCAATGATCATGAAAGAGATGTATTAAGCAAATATAGAGCTGTTTTTCAGGCCTTCCTTGAAGATAAACCGAATCTTCAGTTAATTCTCCTTTATTCTCTTCAAAGCTTTTGGTATGGTCTAGGATGTCCAAAAGGTTATTATCTTCTAAATTTGATATTTATTATGCATTTCAAAGTTGCCTATCATTGTTTAGCTCATTTATTCAAATGACCGACTAATCTTTTCAGTTTATAACCGCTCTAAATAGAATGTTTAATCCTTCGAACTGTTTTGATATTGTATGATTAGGGAAAGATAAGAGAAAAATGAATTTTGAATCTCTTTCAAAAATGCACAACTTAAATCTTAAAGACTTTTGCACCGAATTACACACTTTCGCTAACCAATGGTAAAATTAATAATGAATGTTTTTTATCTGAAATTAATGATTAACCAGAATTTTCTCATCTCCTCTTTCAGTATTCATGGATTTGCTGTAATATTAGTAATTAACAATTAGTTCAATCATGATTATACCTAAGATTAACCTTAGATTATAACCGCTCTAAATAGAATGTTTAATCCTTCGAACTGTTTTGATATTGTATGATTAGGGAAAGATAAGAGAAAAATGAATTTTGAATCTCTTTCAAAAATGCACAACTTAAATCTTAAAGACTTTTGCACCGAATTATATTTATTATCACCAATCTAATTTGGCAACTAACTGGTTACAATCACCCAACATGCGTATTAGTCATTTTATTTCATTTTGTTTCATTTTCACCAGTTCTGGTCAACCTATAACCTCTCCCTAGTAACTTTTAAGGTTCATGTAGAAAAACCTTAGAGACAAGAATCTGAGTCATAATTTACTTTCTTTTCTTTTTTTCTTTCTACTCTTGCATCTTACCAGTTTTTTAGCCATGACCTTGAAATTTTGTTAACTTCCTTTTTGATGATTTGACAAAGACGAAAATATTACGTAATGATGTGATTTCTGAATGATATTTGATTCATTTCTCCATTCCAAAAGGTCAAATCAGATGTAACAATAATCAAAAGCTTATACTTGTTAGATGACTAATGAGCAACTCTTTATTGCATGAATTCAATGAAACTAAGTAATGTAATTGCACACCTCTTAATTAGTCATACAGTTTTCATCATACTAATGTTTTCACTTTTGTTTTTTATTTCTTTTCGATAATAGGAATGCTATTGAGATGGTTCTCATTTCTATATGACTTTGAGATAGTTGAAGATGACGTTTTTTTAAAATGGAAAGAGGATATAAACGATGAATATCCCGGTAAAGGCCAGGCTTTGTTTCAGGTGAGTTAACCGTCTGTTTGTCTCTTGTAAAAGACATTATTGACAAACTGTCAGTCAATAAAAAAATTTTCTGATTCCTTGTGTTAACCTTTGTTTAATTTTTCTTTTTGTCCTTTTCCCAATTTTACGCTCCAAATTAGGTTAACAAGTGGTTTGAATGGCTAGAAAAAGACGAAGAAGAGGAAGAGGAAGAGGAAGATGAAGATGATGGTTCAGATAGTGGCACCAAATGATGCTGTCTTATATACAATCATACATACCATCTTTATCACCAACATTAATATTGCTTCTACAATTATTATTAGTATTCGTTTATCATTCAGTTTCACAATTTAACATTCTGTTGGAAAAAAAGGGTTGGAAAAGCAAGCAAAAGGAAAAAAAGAGCAAAAAGATTGAAGCTGTCAGAAGCTGGTATCGAGATAATATCCAAGGTTATGAAAGGTCATTTACCTGCAAACAATTCAGCTTTCTCTTTTTCATCATATCTTGTTATCGTATCAAAACTTGACTCATGGATTCAATGGTATTTCTAGCTGATTACATGATGCATTCATCTCAACTCTAATACGCTATCCTTTCAGTTTAGCCTGATCTTTCATCAACACCATTTTTACAGCTAAATAGCTAGCTATTTGTACCTTTTCATTCAATGGTAACTATTCTTGCTCAATCCGAGTGACAATAAGTTTCATTATATTTCCTGTCTTATCTGGCATCTTTACTGTAATGATCAAGGAGTAGCAGAGAAAAGTGCGAAAAAATATTCTTGATTTCCTTTTCTGTACCTTTTCTTAACAGAAATACAATTGAAGTTACTGATGATCTAGAATATGCAAGAATAACCTTTCTTCACATTTTCTCTGTCTATCATTTTTCTTCCTACTCTCTTTCACTTTGTCATCTCCTGACATTGACCTTCAGTTGTTTCCTAAATTATTGATACTACAAGACCTTCAATTACAAGTGAAAACTATTTCAATTAAACACCCAATGCACTATGGAAAGCTGTACAAATGTAATCAAAACATTTCACTTTCAATGAACTTTTTACTGCCTATTTTGATTATTCAAAGAGTAATCTTAATGCATGATTATAATTCATAAGAAATGGCAGTGAATGGTTAAACACTTTGAAAAAAGATAAATTTAGAACCAATCATGATAAATAAAGTGTTGGATGTTTTTTGGATTAACAGAGTATAAAAATGAACATTTTATTTTCTTATCATAAATATCAATCTATTTGATTGTTAATTGTTGTTTTAGAAACATACAAAAGTCACTCTGTTTCCTTGGGTTGTTGGTTAGTTGATGATTTTTGGTTCGAAAGACTAATTACAATCAATTTTATGCGTCTTAAGAATTTTCATTTTTGGTTTATAAAGCACAATTTGATTGTTTTAAATTTTTTTCAGTTACAGACTAATTTAACTGATTTTTATTTCTCATTTGCATGGATTTTGTTTATAACGAAGATGAAAGCCTCTTGCATTGTTAATATGGTTGGAAACAAATCTAACTGTAAATGGACCTGATGTATTATCAGTAATTATTGTTGGATGATCAATGGTAGCGTTAAGAACCATCGAAGATGGCCTCCAAATGTCGGTTACAGTCGTCTCATTAGTTGATATTGTTAATGTTGGTGTTCGAGTAATCAATTTACCTGAACAAAGTCTAACTCCACCAATGGATAAATAATCATCTGGACATTCAGCAATTATTGGCCTCCATAAGGAGTAACCAGAATCATAATTTGACCCAATAGCAAAAGGAGATATCTTTTCACCATCGGTATAAAGCTCATATGAAATTGAACAAAATCCAGATTCCTTTTTAATACAAGCAACATAGTCAATATCATTTGGATAACCTTCAAAGGCCATGTTTAAAGTAGATGAATCGTAGTTGAAACTTTTAATTGACCCATGAGTTCCAGTATAATATTGAAGACAATGAGATGGAGCTGAATGGTTTTTGAAAAAGAAGCAAATTCATACAAAGACATTATCATCAACACAAAAGCATTAACCAAAACGTTTAAATAATGATCAGTCAATCGGAAAAGTCTTAATGCCAATCAGAATATTGGTTTTTTACAATTCATCAACTGAGTTGGTTAAGTGAAATAAAGTACTGTAAAGTTCAAGATACTTACCGGCATTTTCTGAATGACAAGGAATCTGTGTAATCAAGATGTCAAATTTTCGTCTTCTGGTTCCAAGCATTAAAGCATGTAAACTGACTGTATCGGATTCATCGACATTCAAATAATCTAAATTACAAATTGAAAAGCAAAAAAAAACTCATCATTTGATCAATTTACAAAGATGACTCACAATGAAAGTTACTCACAATGTTGCCCTGAATTGAGGCCACAAATTTTTGGTACGATACTGTTTTCATTTTGTCCTGAAACCACGAAAACGTCTTGTGAACAATTACCTCGATTAGGTGGAGCAAGGTCAAATGTTAACATGTCAACACGATAGAAGCAAACATTTTTATCCATTTTACCGATTCTGGCTCTACAGACTTTTGAGGATTGGTAAGACTGAGGAAATCCAGGATTTCTAAAGTAAACGAATTTCTCTGAAGCCATTTGTCCACATGATAATTCAACTGTAATCAAAGTGATAGACAGAATGATAAATTTGAACAAATCAAGATTTGCTGATTCACTATAAATTGATAATGGTTAACACTTACACAAACAACACACGATTCCATCTCTTTTTGCATTTGCACATCGGCCCATCGGTACACCACCTTTATTTACACACTCTTGTGCATCATAACAGCTACCTTTACGTCCATCAGCTGCTTGGCAAACATCTTCATTAACGATTGGATTTTCATCGGGTTCATTATTGGATAATGGTGAAGCGAGTGAAGAGGATGAGGATGAAGACGATGATGGTGTATCGGAATACAATGCTTCCCGATGGTGCCGCAGATCACCGAGTTCAGAGTTGAAATAATAAGTTGCTGCCACCAATGGTGTTTTACCTCCTTTACCTCCATTAAACATACTATCCAAAGGATCTTCAAACAATAATCAAGAGAAAGATATTAGCTGATTAATGTGAATTGAAACTGAATTAAACTTGGTTACATTCTTAAAATTTCTTATAAACTGCAGACTGATTACAACGTAATAATTAATAACTGTCAACACTAATAAAGCAAGTCCGCTTGCAATAAAGGGAACTAAATCAATAAATGGTTGTAATAATTAACTGTACTTACGAAAGGGAACTGGTGGTGGCGAATCTCTTGTTTGAAAATATCCATCAATTTCTTGTAAAACAAAAGTAAAATAGACGAGTGAAAATAGGAGAAACATGATTACCACTTGATTACAATTAGTGAAAATAAATTCGCTGTTATTTGAAGCAATGAAAGGTTGAAGTGCAATTAATAAACTAGCAAGAAATCAAGGTAAGGATTACCTTTTAAATAGTGGTGTTTAGTGAGATACTTTTAAAATAATTACAATGAAAAAGTGAGTGAGTGAGAGAGACAAGATACCAATCTAAACCATGAAATGAAAATGAACAATTTAATGTCAAAGGAAAAGGTTAAGATTCTGTAAACTAAAAATAGGCCACAACAGGGAGTTTATGTTAAATCATTTTCATTATGACAACCATTATCATTTTGATATCATTGTCGTTCAATGGTCTGTCTCTTTCTAGATTCCTATTATTAGACTATTATTACTATTACCATTATTATCGCCATTATTATTATTGAAAGATTGATGAGTCTCTTTTTTCACTCTCTTCAGGTCGGGCGTTAGGATACCAAATTTCCGGCGCAAAAATGTTGATATTATTTGCTATTTTCGCCATTACCAATTGGTACTTAATTGTTATCTCCAATTGTTTAATCATTTCTCCATTTCTACACAACTAATCATTTGATCCGTGAATTATGATCCACTCCCGTTTACCATTGGTTTCAATGAATATGCCTTATAAGCTGTTATCTCGTTAGTTTTTGTCCTGTCAACTTAAAAAGATGGGAAAATGAATTCATTTTGATTTGCTTATTTTTAATTTCAACTTTTACTTTGAAATTAGTTTAAATAATTAGCTAAATTTAGGTTTAATGTTTAATCATCAATTAGGGTTTCCATTTGAAAACAAATTAGTTAACCCAAAAAAATGTTCATCTCTTGAAATAACTTGCAACCGATTTGGTTTACATTGTATTCAACTTTTGATGTTTTTGTATAACATTATTTAGTTACCATTAAAATTAAATTTGATGAAAATTATGTAATTAATTAGGCATAACTTGTGAAGTCTGATTGAAATTCAAATTGAAAGTTGATATTGAAAGTGTATGTTAATCATTGTTGTGCTATTAAATGATCTCGATTGTTAAAAACAATTAAGGTTAGTCAGGTTTTAAAAATAAAATTTTTGTTTCTTTTGATCAAATTAGGTGATTTAAAGAGTAATCAATGAAATATCAAACTATAAATCAAGTTGAATCTGATCAAAATAAGATCTTTGTTGTTGCTTGAAAAATGGAGATTATATTTTCAATGAACTAATTTGAATATATTTAAGATTGAATGTGACGACGATTGAAATTGATATTCACAGAGCGATAAGTTGTTTTGCTCGGATCAAATGTTTCACTAGTGTTAGTTGATTGGACAGGTCAACTTTGTCACTTTGGTACTAATAGATGTTGACAGATGAAGACGGCGAAGAAGAAGATGAAGCAAAAAGATTTGGAAAAGATAACAAAGATGAGAAGAGAGGAAAGCGAAATGAAGAGAAGCTAAAATTTAAAGTCGACAAACCTTAAGGTACGACGAGATGGACGTTCATCAGGTTAAGGGTCACTCAAAGTAAATTAATGTCAACTAAGGTAATCATTTACATTGGAGTGAAAAAAGGACAAAAGTATAACAGTTAAGATGAAAACAAAATTGTAAGACGAGTATATTGGAAAATATGAGAAGCACTTTCAAGTCTCCAATTCATATTTTTGTTTTTGTTTTCATCTTTTCTTTCTTCTTCTTCATCTTCTTCTTCTCTTCCATTACTTTATTTCCTTCGTCTTTCTTTTCTTGGGTTTGTTGAAAATATAATAATTGATAATATACATGTTTATCTGATAAGTTCATTGAAGTGAAAAATGTGAGAGACAAGACATCCACTGAAGCATACTCAATGTTATACACAGACAATTAAACTCGACCATTGATGTTAACCTGGACAGACTTGAACAAAACAAATTGATATCAATAATAACCATCAAACAATATCAATAACCAGAGACTTGAAATTGACCCAAGACGATGATAAAAGACGATGTAGGAAGATGAAGGAAGAGCCTTTACACAGCAGTCAGTGGTGTAACAAAAGGTGGAAGGTAAAAGGCAAAATGATGATCTTACAATCAAATCAAAGTGTAAGGAAAGATGGTGATGATAATCGCATGTGAGGGAGGTTAGTGTTCAATGATGATCATTGGTAAGACGACTGATGATGACAAGATGAGACCCAAGAAAAAAAGAGAGCAAAAAAAGAAAGAGAAAGACTGAAATGATACAAATACAATGAGCCAATGGGATTTGAAAGGTTTACGTCTTCGGCCTACGGGTCATTTTGGCTCCACATTTGAATGGAAACAAGTTAACCAAAGTAGATCTTGTTTATTAATCGTTGTACCTAATTTTTTGCTTACCTTCAATATTTTGTCCTATTTTTTAGTCTTCAAATATTGACCTTAACCTTTACCATCAATTGTCTTAATCAAGGCAATTTGATTTTTGGCCTTTTCAACTTTTGCTTGTTTCATTTTTGATAAATATTGGTTTGTTCAAAAGAGGATAACAATCGTAGGAAATAGGATTAATTGTTGATATGTTGGATACGTTTACTGGTGGACAGATTATTAATCTGTATACTACCGGTTCAATCAACTCACCATCAATGTCAATCAATCATGAAACAATATCATCTTCAACTCAACAATGTCAATCAACTTCATCAATAACTCAATCAACCTCAACAATAACTTCATCTCCATCATCATCACCATCATTTTCAACCTTGTCAACATTATCATCAACCTCAACCTCATCAATATCATCGGCCTCTTCATCAACTCATCGTAAATTGACCAATTTTACAATTGAATCAATATTAAACACTTCTAATTGCAACAGCAACTCAGCTGCAACTAAAAAAAGCTCATCTCGCAACCGGAGGCTCAAATTTGGCCACAGTAAGTCTTGTCATCTATCAATTAGACTAAACTGATTACAATTAAGCGAGTTTTCACAAAAAAATTATAACAAAAAGGATAACTTAATATAAATCATATTGTTCAGTATTAACCTTGTTTCAGGTGATATTCACAATTGAATGAAAGGTTTATATAATTTTCAGCTTTTGACTGGTTATTATGATCATAATGATCGTTGTGATTATTGTGATTAACAGTGAATCAAAGGTAAACATTAACATGAAATACTTAACTTTGATTAACACTTTTACTTAATAAGGTAATCATAATCATATTGAAGGCAAAACATTTAACATGAATCAGATGTAGATTGAGATTTTCATTTGTTTACTTTTACTGTTATTGTAAAGTGTATTGAATCTCTTAGTTTTTTGTTGATGGTAAGATTGATTGGACTTGTAATTAGCTTGATTGTACAACCTTTTACAACCAATTAATCATTAATTTTGCTCAAAGCTGATTAAACATTTTGTTTTCATTTTTGTTTTGCTGTATTTTGTTGGTTTATACGCTAAAATAATTCAGAAGTTCATTGATTGAGTGAGAAAAATTAAAATACCGGATTTTATCTTACATTATAACATAATAATCAGTGATTTAGATTTGATCAATTGTTTACAAGGTCATCTTGATGGCCTAATTGCTGGTTAAGTGTACAAATGTACTTTTATTTTCTCATTAAGAGTCAACTTGATTAAGAATCAAGACTTATGGAAGGCTCAACAATAAATGGTAATCAACAGTTATTAATAACTTTCCATCAAATACTGAGAAACAATCGTGTAACGATAACACTTAATTTTATTCAGTATCCTTTGTGTAATCAATTTAAATGTTACAATTACATGTAATTACAATCTGATTTAAAAATTGCGGTTAAATCTAAATGAAAGGGCACAATGGCTTGTTAAGCCGGGAAACAAAGCCGTTAATTTTTGTTCAGTTGTTATCCTTTTGTTTGGTTAAAAAGCTGACTTAATTATTGATAATTACATATTAAATACATTTGATTTTTTTTCTAATTCTGCCTCTATTTTATTAACAGGAGTTCAATCGACTAATGACAATCTAAATAATAGATATAATTGCAACAATCGCGGACCTCGGATACCATTTACATCTCATCAAGTACAAATATTGGAGAAGAAATTTGCCTCAACAAGTTACCTCAGCAGCTATGAGGTTTGGAGTTTATCGGAACAGTTAAACATCTCAGAGAATCGGGTAAGTTAATTGTCATGTATTTTTAATTGCTGGTTAGGTACTTAAATTAAGTCGATATAATTTGTATTGCAATCAACTGTACTCCATTGGTTTCCATAAGCTTGCAGTTAGTATGAAAGCTTGGATTTATTTAACGCTTGTAATATTTAACAAGTCGTTGAATAAATGTTAGCTTTACCAAATCTCACAATTAATCCTTAACCAGTTCCAGATTTCCGGTTATAATCTCAAAGGTACTATTAATATGCTGTTAAGTGATCAAGATTGCTAATAATGGGTAAACATTAAAAGATTAGAGAGTTGTTATGATAAATATGATTAGTGAAAAGATCTGTAAAAGGTTATGTTAACTTTACCATGTCTTTATACACTTATCTTTATTTCATTTTAATTTTAATCAACATTACTATTATTATAGCTATTACTTAGATAATCATCTACCTTAATCCTCTTTAATAAGCCACTTTCACTGACAAATGGCCTCCATTTTTCCTCTTACCTGAATAGTATATTAAAATAATCGCTTGTGGAGTTTGTTAATCTTTCATCAAATTGGTTTCAATTGTAAGCGGAGACATTTTTTGTTGTCAAAATAGCAGTCTCCCTTTTGACCATCACTAGGCCACCATTTTACTTGGTCACTAGTGAATTGAGTGGTCAGTCAATTATAGCTTACCCTTGGTTTGAGGTCGATATTTGACCTTTACATCTTGAACCTCAATATATCTGTATTTTAACTAAACTGTTTACCTGTAAATAATAATAGCTATTATAACAATATGAAAACTTATGCCTTACGCTCAATATTTGCCTCTCTTTATTACAAACTATGTAACTATGTGCAGATAAATCAACCGGATTAAATTAATCATCATAAGCTTGGTTGATTTGTTGAGACATATTTTGCTGCTTCTTAAAAAATTATCCATACAAATATTATGCATACAAATTATAACTATTATTAATCGTATTTATTGTTATTTATATTTACCTTCAACAATTGATTTCCATCGAAATTGAATTTTTCTCCTTTTTTCAAATTCATTGCTTTTATTATAATGGCTACTATCTATTAACAATGTATCCAAGTGAAAACCAATGAATCCATAATTTAATAACAGTCTGATTAAAGTTTACTTATTAGGACGGTAAACTCATAATGATAACAACAATGCTTCCAGATTTTTTTTTGAGGTTTTCATCTTTGAATTAAATGATTGTTTATTTGTTACAATCAACCCTGAAAATACCTATTACCTTTTGTATAACCTTAACCTTACTTACCCCTGGTTATAACAATTTAATCTCACAAATGACTAGTTATTAATAATATTTAATAATATTGACTGATGGGTCGGAACCAAAATAGTTTGACAAGTTAACAATAAATCAGATTGATTAATCAAATATCTTTCATCTATCTTTTTACAGGTTAAAATTTGGTTTCAAAATCGACGAGCCCGAAGGAAACGAGAAGAAAGATTACCCGATGAAGTCGATAAACAGATATCCAATGATTTAATTGCCACTGATTGTGAACAGTATCTTCCAAGGAGTCCGAAATGAAATTACAATCAAGAATCTCAGAGAACTGATGGGACCAAATTAGCCACCAACTGAATGTACAAAACAGCCGAAACCAAAAAGCCTAAATGAAGCAAAACTGCCAAATTAAAGACCTATTTATTCAACTAATTTGTTGATTTTCAATTGTCCATCTGATTACAATGACAAACTTGCGAGGATATAGCTATTTAACAAGACTCAGCGCTATCAAAGCTGATGAAATGTTACCATTTTGTTCGTGATCTTATAATGAGAAATTAGTTAGTTTGATTAATTAAACAGATCGATAATTTTTTACAATTTTTTCCAATAAAACGGAAAAAATAAAAAAATGAAATCATTTCAAGCTGGCAAGGTAAAAATACTGCAAGCTAAGGTTAATCATTATTATTGGAGAAATGTTTTGATTCTTTGATTATTAACAAATCATTAACTGTTTTATTTATTCAACTCTACTCTCTACTTAATCATGCTGAGAAAGTTGTCAACAGGTCAGACAATTATTGTTGATTAGATTATTTAACCTGTTGGAATGAGGATTGATGCAGCAAAATAAAAGTGGCAACAAGCGTAATCCGTGATGAAACAAAAATGTATCCTTGAAGCAATGGACAATTAGTCTCATTTAGACTAGACAATTAACATTCCAATCACAGTGAATTATTGATTTTAATGTATTTTCAATCATTTTGATGACTATAATTTGTTGAATTGATTAAAATTGAAAGCAAAAATAACAAGGCAATGAGCAAAACAAAAACAAAACCTACGCTTTGTGAACCAATAAACTGGTTAACTTTTGGGTTTTCATTGAAGGTGAAGTAAATTAAAGATTATCAGTTGTCATTCTATTTACATTTACAATTAATTGATTTACTCATAAAGTGGCTCCAATAATCAATTACAAACGTGGTTAGAATCAAATTATTTGCGAATCGCAATCAACTGATCTAACTAGACGAAGTAGAAAAGTGTAGTTTGCTTTTATGTAAATCTGATCAACTTTTATAACAACCTTAATCAATTATACCTTTAAGCTGCTGCCGATCAGTACAAATCTGACCGAACGAATTAAATAATTAATAATCAATCAAGGGTTAAATCAATTTAATTTCTCATTCTAATAGCTGTTGGATGAATGGAAACAAATCTAATGTTAATAAACAATAATTAAGTTCACATTGGTTGGCAATAAAATATTTTTTAATTTCCCTCCAAAAACCTAAAGAAGAGGCAAAATTTGTAAACTCATGTGTTATTTTAATGCGTCTCAATTTTTTCTTGTGTTACTTGCAACTTTATATTTTAATCATTGCTTTAATTGTCATTACTATCAAAGTTTACAATATTTATTAATATTATTTTGTTTGCTTGGAGCGATTAACATTTATTAAAAATTTCAACTGTGACCTTTAGGCTTATTTTGTGCTATAAATTAAAGTATCGATTTCATCAAAAAAAATTTTTGTTTTTTCCTTCGCCTTTCTTTTAGGTCGCCATGTTTACTCTCTCTATTTCTCTTTCTTCTCTTTCTCAAGCCAATTAATTCAACTGAAAATGACCTGACTCTGGACATACTTAATTGTATTATGTTAACATCGATCATCTCATTAATACCTGTTGGCCTCCTCATAATCAACAGTAACATCAACATCATCATTATTGTGAATAAATCATAAAATCTTTTCCCGCTCTTCATCATATGTTCAACTGAATCTTGGGTGTTGTTACAAGCTCAACATGATTGCAAAATTGTTTCAGGTAAGAAAAAAATAAAGTAACTCTTTTTTCTTCATCATTATCATCATCTTTTCTTCTTCTTCCCCCGATAAGCCTGGATCAATCAATTTGATACCATCTTGATAATCACTGATATCAGCCTGTCCAAGTATGCAGATGTGAATGTTAACTGTTCATGACCACCAACCAGCAAGCTAATTGTGTAAACTTGTACAGATATGTAGATTGGTACCTGATTGATCAATTTCGATACAGATTTCGATTATTATCGTTGACAACACAATAAGCACAAATTTGATTTTGATCATCGCAATTTGGCATCTTCCGCAACTAAACCATAGAGAGAACATAATGGAAAACTTGAAATTACATTTACTCCATTCATGTGATCGTTTTGATGGAAAAACTTTCAGGGAAATTAATTGTGAATGTTATCAATATCATTGATACAATATGTCAGCAATCAATCCTGCACATGTTACGAAGGATCAGTCACTTCAACTCTACTGCTGCAATTACAATTTGCAATTGTTGAATGTTAACTTTTTTCATCTTAACATTGTTCTCTTATAATCTATGCTGATCATCAGATTTAATCATAAAGTACCTGAATCTTGTTAATTTTCATGGCGAGTACCACCATTCAAATGGGTCCCATTCAATTATTTTTGCCAGCAACAATTATCTGACCTCAAACAATGTTTGTCGAGTAAAGCTGTTTAATTTTGCTATTTAAATCAAATAATTACTGATTAAAGGCAGATTAACTGAACAAAACTGAAATGAATTATACAAACCTTGATGATCAAGTGAAAATTATTAATTCTCTCAGTAAATTACTCTTAATCGGACTTTATTTCACCTCAAAAATTACACAAACCCCAATGGAATGGCAACACTCGAGAAATTATTTTACTGGTTATTAATCATTATCTTGCCTCAATCTGGAAACTTCTCATTGTCAACAATTTTAAAGGTGCAATCAATCAGCAACAATTAGACCTGTTTTCAACTCAAAGTTACAATTTAAAATGTTTTTACCCAAAGGCTTGTTTTACTGCTGCCGTTATTGCCAAAAAACAATGCTAACACAAGAAGAGCCACTTTGATAACCGTTAATTATATTCTTGTATACAATTAACGTTAACTGATTAATATTTTTAATGTTACTCTTGAAAGCTGATATTGATTGGGATTATTGATAATGTAAAAAAGTGAATTTATTTACTGGTTAATTCATTGAGGGTCATCAGTATATGTTTCCGTTTTAACCAAATATTAAAATTAAGATTGCCTTCAATGTGAAAGAAATTCATTTTATCCTCTAAATTATTGATTGTATTAGTATCGATCTTATTTGATTTGTCACTGAATTATAATTAAAGAAAAAAGGCAAATTATTAAAGGGAAAAAATATATTACTATTAAGGATTTTTAAGGATACCGAAAGTAATGTGAATTAATCAAGTTGAATTAAAGGTAAAATAATAATAATTGATTGCTAATATGTTTCACAATGTTAGTGAAAATCAAAAAATTAACTTATATTAATGTGGTCATAATTAGTTTGTCAGCTTTCCAAATCAATTATTTTATTTTAATCAACCAGTTTCCTTCAACCAGAAGAGGTAAACAAAATCACATTATTTTGTACGGCCAAGTTTTCTGGTTTAATTAATGCACTTATTTGATTGAGTTTTGCTTTGTTTTGTTTTTCATTTGGACACAAATTTTAATCAATGATTTAATGGTTATAATGTAAAATTTGTAATAAAATGATTATGACAATTTCATTGAGTCTAATTGTGGTCAGCAAATGTGTCTCTAACAACTGGTTTACAACCTTTTTTGCTGCACCTTGCAGTAACATTTTTCAATCATTTAATGACCTTTATGATTAATAACAAACAAATTGTATTAAGACTAATTAATTGGGAATTAATGAAGAGCAATCAGAGTTAACAGGGTTGATTGATTCAATGATTAACGATGGTTCAAGACGAATCGGTTAGTAACTAGAAGATCGTATACAATGTAATTTGAATTCAACATCAACTATCGATGTAATCATGAACACTGATGAGTTAATTGTTGATCACTAAATTGCAATGAATTACAGTCTTGGAAAATTGTTGAATGAATAAAATGGTGAATTGACTGGATGGTTGTTGATGGCGATTGTTGGATTGTTTATAATGTGAAAAGATCGTAAATGTTGGCTTTACGTTTGAATCACTCTGGCTTGGGTAAAAGTTGTCAATTTGATTTACTGATTGTGCCTTAGAGCTTGATTATTTAATCGGAATCATGGAATAAGCGAGACTTAATCATCTTGACCAGATTTTTATCCTCAAAATACTAGCAATAATGATAATATCGGTGATCATCAAATGTGTGCTGCGTTTGATATATTGATGGTAAATTGTTGGCGACCTTGGTTATGTTAATGGTGAAAGGTGAATAGTAACTATCATGGTGTTTATATGATATTAAGTTGATCAGAAGGAGCGGGATTAATTGTAATTAAGTAGGGATGAGAGGTTAATGCAGCATTTGGTATTAGCTAATTTCATTATTGTAAACTGTAAGGAAATTGAAAAGTATACAATTTATAATTTTTAGGAAAAAAACATCAACTCACAGTTTTTTACTTTTGCCTAATAATTTTAATGCTGTTTATGATGATTTTGATGATAGTTGTGATGATTACCATTCCAAGAACATGATGAGGATGAGGATGATGAGAAAGAGAGAGTAAGATAGTGAAAGTGAAGGCTCCTCCTTGTGAATGGTCATTTTTTACTTTCACTTTTTTGACCCAATTTTCTGTCTTCACTTTTTCTTTCTTTCTTTTCTTACCTGTCGGTCTTGTTGTATTTGGTAACATTCATATTGGATACCTTCAAGGTATGGCAGAAAGGTCCTAGAAGATGAAGAGGAGGAGGAAAGGTGAGAAAGAGAGGGAGAGAGAATAAATTTGGTTTCGGAGAAAATTTGGTTCGATTTGCAATTTGTATAAAAGGACGGTTATCATAACGAATAATTACAATTCACTTGTGATCTTGCAAACTGTTCACATTGTTTAAACAATCTTGCAAACCAAAACTCAACTTAAAATGTTTAAGGTATGAATTTGAATACTTATTTTCAATTGATTAGTGATTCCTTTATTTAAACACAACTTGATTTTAAAACGGTTTTTCACTCTCTAACCATTTTGCTGGATAATTTTGTATAATCTCTGTTAACTTATAAACAGTCCCTTTGTTTGCTTCAAACTTTGACTCACTAACCTAATCCTTTGTTGGAAACCGTTCAACTAAATTTTATTTGTTATCTTACCTCTTGCTGTTATTGTTGCAACTCTGAATCATCATAAGTATCTTGATATTTAACATTTGTTTCTTTTCTCTTCTTCTGTTCATCTAACCAGGCACTTCTTCTCGTCTGTTTAGTAGCTTACGCTACCTCATCTCCTGCTTACTACGGATACTCTGGTCCAGCAAGATACCCATCTCATGGACCTAAATACTCACCACCACCAAAGGAAGATTACATTGCTCACAGACCATCCTACCAAGCTCCATCATACGCACCTCGACCAACTTACGCTCCATCATATGCACCATCATATGCTCCAGCCCCATACGCAGCACCAAAGGCATACGCTGCTGAACCCTACTACGTGAGTACAGTTGATTTACAGTTATCGCTTATATCTTTCAGTGTTGTTTATTAATCTGATTTCCAATCAAATTTAAACAGAAACCAAACCCATACAATTTCGGTTATGAAATTGATGATGGTTATGGAACCCAAACTCACCAACAAGAAGAAGGTAAGTTTATTTGCTATTCAATCTGTTCAATCTTCTAATTTTATCTCTAACCATTAACAGGTGATGACTATGGAAACAAAAAGGGATCTTACGGTTACACCGATGCTTACGGACTTTACCGTAAAGTAGATTACGTTGCTGATGATTATGGTTTCAGAGCTGCCATCAGCACTAATGAACCAGGAACCGCTAACGCTTCCCCTGCTTCAGTTAACCTTTACTCATCTGCTTCACCAGCCCCATACAAGCCAGAAGCATCTTACGCACCAAAACCCTACTCAGCCCCATACAAGGCACCCGCTCAATACAAGGCTCCAGCTCAATACAACGCCCCAGCTCAATACAATGCCTACCCAGCCCCATCATATGAGCCATCATACCCTGCCCCAGCCAACTATGGTCCTTCATACAAACAATCTTCATACGTACCAAAGGCCGGTTACGGTTTGTACGGACCAAGCTACGGAGGTGGATACTCAAAGCAATACTTCAACATGGGTTACGCCAAGAAATCCTACGAAGCTCCCCGATACTAAATCATAATCAATTAATTAGTTACTAGATGCTTTGAATCTTCTTAAATCAAATTCACAATAACTTTGGTTTCACTGGTCTTTTTTATTTCGTCCTGGTTTTCACATCTCTGGTTCATCAGTACCAATCAGTTCATCACCATCTATTTATCATCCAATTTCCATGAAACATTCATAATCATCTGATTTAATGTTCTATTTTTATACATTGGATAGAAAGAGTTTAGCTTTGCAATGACATTCGTTGCAATATTGTTAAGCCCAAAATGCATCAAGGTGCCTGCCAAAGAGTTTTTTTTCCTTCAATTATTTCATTCTAATTGAAGTAAAATACATATTTTTTAACTAATCACCCCAACTTTGTTACACCATTTCCATCTTATGTTGATTCACAAATTCATTTCTATTTTTTTTAAAACTATCATTTTCATTTTCCTGATAATCAATACCAATCATACATATCAGATGATTAACAAAATAAGCAAATAAAGAAAACTTTTGAAACCAAAACAAACAATTTTATCTCATTTATTAATAATAATTCATTCCAAATCTCCTCAAATTACCAGAATATAATCCAAACAAATGAATATTAATAATTGTGAATGAATAGAGCTCAATTTGAGCAAAAATCAGTTCAAAAAACATTAATCATTGACAGAAGAGGATTTATTGTGCGAATGTAAGTGAATAATTATCACATCAAACCAACATCTTTTACTTATTCAAACCACTAGACTAATTGTGATTGTAATCAAACAATTATAATTTATACATAAATGAATATGATTGTTGAACCCCATTAATTATTAAAGATTCAAATCACAGTCATTCGCTGATCGCTGTTAATTTCAAAGCCAAGCAAAAGTCAAAAGATGAAGGTGGAAATATTCAAGAAATATTGCGTCCAAAGAAGGCAGTTAATCAAACATTCATAATTAATTATGCATCAATTGATGAAATAGATAACATTTGAGTGGAAAAATGTAAAACTGACCGAGAAATTGAAGATTTATTAAAGGCAAATCATGTTAAAATGTACAGTATATGTACAAATGTATAGTGTGTGACAATTATTTATAATTGAATCGTTAAATGATCTTGACAGCATCAACATCTTTAAATTCAAACTGGATGAATTAATTATTTAATCAACTGATTGTCTCGGCACGTAGCCAGCATTACATTAACAAATCAAATGGTTTCCATATTTTGTCCACTAAACATTATGCATTCCTTTTCAGCATAATTTAGTCAATTGAAATTCATAATGATAAAGATGAGAAAGGATAGCATCAATAATTGAATCGACAAAAATTGATTTCCAATTAACGATTAAACTGATTAGGGATTCCCTGCTGAATTAACTGAAAACCTATCACTTCCTACATTAACTTTGATGCGTTTTTTGCTGTGATTCAAGGAAAATGTCAATTTATGTTGAATGTAACACCAATTAACATACAAATGAATCGGTATTGGATCTAAACAGGCAAATGTAAACTCAAATTTCTTGTATCCTTAACTGGTCAATCTGATTGAGTAAATTGTTGTTTACCATTGATACTGTTGTCTCGATTGTTTTGTTTGCATTCAACGAGATTATTGTTACCAAAGCAAGTGAATTGGGTGGTTAATCGTCCAGAATGATTAATTAGTAAACATGTCTGATAAGATTCAATCTATTTGGTGGGTAAAACGATTTGCATAAATAGATTCTTAAGCTTGAGTCTCAAGTTTCTTGGACTTGCTGATTGTCATCTTGATAATCAAGACTTGATTGATTAAAATGGTTGTCAAGACATTATTAACATTTTGTTTTTTTGTTCAATTTAACTTAAAAAGGAAGCCAAATATCCTTCCACCGGTAGATTTGTATCATCATTGTTGTATTATTTATCAATTTTGATCACACTTTTCCGTTCAACTGTTGACTCTTTTGCTTCCAAATCTGCCTGATGTTTATAATTTGAATTGAAAAGTTTAATCAATCGGATTGCTTGAAGTTGTGTATAACAAAAAAAAGATGATTCCAATCACAAGAATTTGCTTTTATTTTTGTATTCATTTTGTTATTATTAATTCAATTTGTGCTGATCGTTGGGATCGAAATCAAAACAGCCACAGAAACCATCAAAACAATCATAATAATGATCGCAACAACAATGACCGCAACAATCCTCATGATAATCAAAGGGAAAATCAGTTTAAACCTTCAAACAATCGCGATTCCAATCGAAATGTAAGTGACTGTCTTTATGTGACTTTCAATTAACAATCCAATTGACTTTATTAATTGATTTCTCCATTTCTTCTCCTTCTTCTTTCTTTGGGTCAATTGATGGATTAAACATTTTGATTAAAGGTTAGAGGTGGAATTGCTGAAGATATGAAACATCCATTATCTAAAGATGATTTTGATCGAGCGAAACAATTAGATGATCGATTATTCGCAATTGACGATAAAATTCTCTATTCTAGCAAATTATTTGAAGGTGATATTGCTGATGATCTTTTAGCCAATGCAACGGTAATTATACAAGTTTTGTTCATCCAAATGATTAGCTGACCCTCTCACAAGTCAATCAATTTAAGTTGAAAGTAAAAGTGTTGAAAAAAAGATGATCCACTCATCAACAAGTTTCACTGAGTAAAAGTGATTTGTAAACCAGAAAAGCTTGACTTTTATATTTGGTCAGTTGAAACGTTTCACTTTAATTATTGAAATCAAGTACATCAGTTTTGATGGGAACAGTCTTGGTTATCTGCTTGATTATTGATCTCTACATATCAAGATTGACTTTTCTATCGCAACTTTAACTATCACAAAAGTCAATTCTGTCTGAATTTTTACTAATAAATCATTATTATCCATTGTAATTTACATAGACGGAAAAAAATGCCATACGAAATCCTGGTTCTCATTGGCCTAATGGCAGAGTTCCTTATGTCATATCTAAAGATTTCAATGGTGAGGAGAGATCGGTGATTGCTCGAGCCATTGATGAATACCATTCCAAAACATGTGTCCGATTTGAACCATATGATGGTTCAGAGCCCAATTATATTCATCTAGTCCGTGGTTCTGGTTGTTCATCAAGAGTTGGAATGACTGGTGGTCAACAGCAAGTCACTTTGGGCCAAGGTTGTGTCACTGTTGGTATTGTTGAACATGAGTTGATGCACGCTTTGGGTTTTGTACATGAACAAAGTAGAACAGACAGAGATCGTTATATTCGGGTTAATTATCAAAATATTAGAAGAGGTAATTGGTCTTGTTTTTTGTTTGCTTGCACAAATCCATATTGATTTGGTTATCGTTTGTTATAACAGGATTGGAGACAAATTTCCGTAAATATTCAGTAGAAGAGATAACAACTCTGAATGAACCATATGATTATGGAAGTGTACTTCATTATGGCCCCACAGCATTTACTAATGGAAATGGGCCGACAATTGAACCGCTTGAAAGAGGAACAGATATTGGTCAAAGAGTTGGCTTCAGTCGAATTGATTTGGAAAAGATCAATAAACTTTACAGGTAATCGAGTTAAATCATCTTAATTTGCTGTGAAATTGTAACCATTTACACTGTATCTAATTATCGTTTAGATGTAATGGAAAGCAAGGTTTTGATTCAACTGATCGATATCGACCCGAGTCACAATTTGGAAATCGACCGAACAGAGAACGACCAGGAATTGATTCTTTAGTTAGACCTGACTCAGGATCTGTGAATAAACAAGAAAGACCTGGATTTGGATCCGGCTACAGACCAGGAAATGGTTTCATTTCAAGCACTTATAGACCTTCAATCATTGATGGACTTCTTGGTGGTTTCACTTCAACCCATCGTCCTTCATCAGGTTACAGACCTTCAAATAGACCTGATATAGATGGTGATTACAGGCCAGGTCATGGTCATGGTCATCGTCCGATAACATCAAGACCAACAGATATAATAGGAACAAATGGCTTCAGACCATCAACCATTGATCCTGATTCTGAATCTTATGAAATTGGCTCTGGTGGTGGATCAAGATTTTCAACTCATCGTCCATCAGGTTAGATCAAATTATATTGTTATGATAACTGGAAATGACAAATTATGCTTTTTATATCCTGAACGATTCTAAAGGTTTTGGCCATTCAACAACATATCGTCCATATAAAGAAACTGAAAATGAATATACACATCGACCAAGCTATACATCTACTTATCGACCTTATGGACAGTCTCGGCCAGATTATGGCAATTTTGGTAATAACAGGCCAAGCTCTGGATATGAAACAACCTCAGCAAACCGACCATTTGGTGGAGGTAACATTGGTGGAGGCAACATTGGAAACATTGGTTCTGGTATATCATCCATTTTTGGTGGTCGTTTTCCAGGTAGCTCAATAATTGACACAATCAGACCTGGTGGTAACAATAACAATGGTAATAGAGGTTCATCTCTTATATCAGCCTTTCTCCGACCCAGACCTTCATTGATCGGTCTTTTAGGTCAAGATGAACCCAACACTCAAACAGCAAAACCTTTAAATCAAAACTGATGGGAAATACATAAAGAAAGTGTCAGATAGATTGAATCGAAACTCAAAACGAGACTAAAAATCTTCAGCATTTAGAAAAAAAATTAAACCAGATTAAATATCATAGGTAGACCAAAAATAAATTAACAGAATAATAGATTGATTGAATTAAAAGAAATGAAAAATACAAGTTTTATGAAATACAACAAGCGTAACATTGCATCATGAAAAATGAAAAAATCGTGCACTACTTTTTTCACACTAAAGATGGCGCTACCTTCTATGATTGAAACTAACATTTAGTAAGTTTCATTTTTAATCAACTTGCAAAATAAATTTAATTTTTGTTTTTTAATTTACGCATTAATACTCTATGCATCTAGTAATTCCAACAAATTTTTCATTTCTACCTGTACACAAAATAATCAAGATAAGTAATTTTTCCTACAGAAAACACTTTCCAACCAGAATCTTGAATTCAATTCAAGCAAAAGAACTCATTCCTCAATCTTTTCCCTCACAATCAATCTGAGCAAATATCATTATGGATTTGAAAGCAGTTAACTGACTATCCTGAAAACCCTCTCCTGAATTAAACAAAACTTCACTTACTGACCAAAGATCACAAATTCAACCCAATATTTAGCACATTTAGCTGCTTCAGAGCAATTAACAAATAGTGAAAAGACTCGGAATCAGCCTTCATTAGAGATCAACTCAATGGAGTGAATTAAGATGATAACTAAAGCTATCAACATCAAGCCTTATCAAGACCATTGGCAGTCTTGAAAAATCGGAAAATACCATTGGAAACCAACAAGAAACGATAGAAGCAAAATTTCTGAATTTAAGGCCTAGTATAACACTCACAGACAGCTAATCACCTACAGTTACCTATCAGTTAATTCCTTACCATCCTTTAAATTTCTGATGCAAATTCTGGTATTAACATCTAATTTTTTTACTGTTAAAAACCAATTAAGTGTAACTCTTGAAGTCAACAAAAATAGCAAATACAATGTAAATAATGTTGATTAACATGCAACTATTATAATGGAAACTATTTACAGTTATGGGAAATTGAAAAGACAAAATCAATTACAACTGTGGACGTTACTTTAAATAATCAACAATTACATTTCAAATTTCCTTGTTTAACTATTGTTAGGTTAATTTGTCAAACTCTTTCATTCCCATAATAGATGACAGTCAAAAATAGCTTTGAAATTAAGATAATTAACGTTAAATCATTGGACAAATTTGTCAAACCAGAAAACCCAAAGCAACCCAAAAACAAAAATCTGGTTAAACCAAGCAAACAATCAACAAAGTGATCTTCAAAGGTCTAAATTTAACTCGATTTAAATTAATTGAACTTGCAAATTATTGAAATTTAAAGGATAATTTAAATTAGATGCGAAAAATTATTGAAAATTTTCATATCAAACCCAATCTACTAGACTTGAAAGCTTTCTTGCAAATTGAATATTTTTCAAGGAAAATATTGAAGTAATGTTTGTTATTGAGATAATTCATGTTTAGTCTAATTAATTAATTGAGCTAATTGAGTTAATTGAATAACAATTAAATAATTGACGTTGATCAAAACGATATGAATATTGAGAAATTAAAATATCAAGGAAATGTTATTGCAACAAATACTCATACCGTTATGATCCTTATGAGCCTTTCAATGTTATGCTTATTTATTGATGATATTAATGCAATATTATTGAGTTGTCGTGATCAATTGATGATACTTGATGAAAGTGAATTAAAAAATAATCTCACAATTACAATTAATATTTACAATTTACTTTCACTTGAGAGATTGACGATTTTAATTTGCAAGAAAGATGAGAGGCAAAGATGAAAGTGACTCTGTAATTAAGTATTGTAAATAATGTGATTTAATAAACCATAAAGGCTCATCTTTAGGCCATTATATTATCACATTAATCATCTTCTTTGATTGGAATGATTTTAAGCAAAAATTGTAATTGATATCCATAAACGTTTATTAGTTGAAAAAACCAGAAAATTGAAAGTTAAATGAAAAAAAAGAAGTGATAAAAGTCCATCAGAAAATCAGTTTTTAATCACATCTATCAACGTCACCAATTCAATTAAACTTTCATTTTCTTGTTCAACTTCAACATCATGATTATTCGTCATGATTAGTTTGAAATAAATATATTTTTATTTATATTTAATTATGTGTTGGTATTCAATTTTGGCGCTTCTCTGTATTGCAACAATTTAAAGACCAACCTTTTTTAGTTTCTCTGCTTCTCTCTTTCTCTCTCTTTCTATCTCCATCTCTCTCTCTATCTCTCTCTCTATACCTGGTTATACTGTTGTGAAGTTAAAACCGACTAACCTATTTACTTTGAGATCGTGTGAGGCTGTTTTTTAAGCATTAGTACACTTTCATGTCAGTGATGTCAAAGTAAAAACATATTATAAAAAGGTATATATATGTCTTTGTTATAAATAATCTGTGTTACATCCACGTCCGGAGTCGAAACATTGTATTCTTTTCACCATGGCTTGGTTTGGTCATTTGATTAAAGCTCTTCTCTTGTGTACGATCCTTTATTTACCCACCAATTTAGGGTACACTCGAGACGTTTCAATTATAAGGATTAGTCTTTTACTCTTTTTTGGGTTCATTGTGATCCTCTCAATGTTTGCCACATTTTTCCTGGCCTTTAAAAGGTCCACATCTTTTAAGGGACACCAACCTAAACAAGAAATTCTACAAAAGTCATCTGATAATGAGGATGAAACCTCACATCACAACTTGAAAGCCCTTTTACAGGAGATTGAAGTAAAAATTACTTCAGATGAGACTCAAATTGATAGTGAGACTCATCAAATTTTTACTCAAACTCCTGAAACTTGTGAAGCTGTTGAACATGAACGTGAACGGGCACTTACACCAAATAATATTGTTGTTCAACAAGATTCCGATACGGAAAGTGTTATTGTTGAAAATAAAAAGCGACGACCCAGCCGATTAAGTGCCGATGGAAAAAATAGTCCATCGTTTTTTCTAGGAGATGATTCACTCTCAGATTCGTGTGATGATCTAATATCTTTATCAGACAGTGATCCAGGGGTTGAACGTAATCAACGACCGTTAAGTGAAAAGAAAACTAAACCTCGTCCATTGAGTGAATTAATTGCCCTCCTTAAGTCTGATGAAGGTCTTAAAACAATGACTGAGGCTGAAATAATTTTACTTGTTGACTCTAAGATAGTTCCCCAATATAAATTAGAGATACTTTTAGATGATCCAGAACGGGGTGTCAAAATTCGTCGAGCCATCGTTGCTCGAGACTCAAAGTGCACTTCCATTCTTGAAAACTTACCATTTACCAATTATGATTATAAGTATGTTTTAGGTGCTTGCTGTGAAAATGTTATCGGTTATATGCCAATCCCTTTAGGTGTTGCTGGACCACTTTTATTGGATGATAAAAAGTTTCACATACCAATGGCCACCACTGAGGGTTGCCTGATTGCCAGTACAAATCGAGGTTGCCGAGCCTTAATGTTATCCGGAGGAGTGCGAAGTGCCATTGTTGGTGATGGTATGACTCGTGCACCTTGTGTTAAATTTCCTAACGCAATGAGAGCTGCAGCAGCTATGAGATGGATTCAACAAGAGGATAATTTTGCTATTATCAAAGAAAGCTTTGATTCAACCTCACGGTTTGCTCGTCTTGACCGAGTTTTAACCCGTATTGCTGGACCTTATGTGTATTTCAGATTCAGTGCAACCACAGGTGATGCCATGGGAATGAATATGATCTCCAAGGGAGCTGAGCTTGCAATTATGAAATTAAAAGAATATTTTCCAGATATGGAAATGAATGTACTCAGTGGTAACTTTTGTTCCGACAAAAAGCCTTCTGCTGTTAATTGGATCGAAGGTAGAGGTAAATCAGTTGTATGTGAAGCTGAAATTCCTGGTAAAATTGTTCGTGATGTCCTCAAAACCAATGTCCAGTCTCTTGTTCAAGTCAATATTAGTAAAAATTTGATTGGCTCAGCAGTTTCAGGTACCATTGGTGGTTTTAATGCTCATGCAGCTAATATTGTTGCAGCTATGTATATTGCTACGGGCCAGGTAAGAGACTATTCTTTCATTTTTTTTCTTCTTCTTCAAATCACTTGTAAATTAAAAGAGTATCATTAAGTATCATTAATTTACAGTTAAACACAATCATTAATCTTTTATTTACTTCTCTTGAACACTATCTCTCCAGGATCCTGCCCAAAGTATCGGTAGCTCAAATTGTATTACTTTAATTGAGTCCACCATTAATAAAAAAGGTGAAGAAAACCTTTACATTTCATGTACCATGCCTTCATTGGAGCTAGGAACCATTGGTGGAGGAACAATTCTGCCGCCACAAGCATCATGCCTTGATGTGAGTTGCAAAGTCAATCTTTTTTGTTTCAAAGTCAAGTCAGGCATTTTCAAGCATGACTTTTCAATGTTAATTTCATTTTATCATCTTCTCTTTTCCCATCTTTCCACAGCTTTTGGGTGTACGTGGGTCTTGTGTAGAAGAACCAGGACGTAATTCTCAAGATTTTGCTCGCATCGTTTGCGGCACTGTGTTAGCAGCTGAGCTTTCATTACTATCCGCGTTGGCAGCGGGTCATCTAGTAAAATCACACATGAAACATAATCGTTCAACTATTTCAATCAATGCCTCATCATTATCTCCTCTGTCTTCACATGCTGTGTTAAGATCAACTTCACAATTTTTGACCCAATGCCAGCCACAGTAATAATTATAGTGACAACCTTTTCATCTCTATTTTTTTCTTCTTCTTCTTCTCTTCCTCTCTTTTATTTTTCTCTTCTCTCTCTTTCTCTCCTCTGATATTAGTCAGAGAGTTGGTGATATTGTTTTATTATAGTTGATTTAAAATTTAAAAGCTGTGAATTTTTTTTTGCAATGAGATTTTTTCATAGATTTAAAAGAGTGTTGGAAATCTATACATACAAATACATATGTATATTGTTTTAAGAAAGCAAAAATTGAGCTATATTTCACTCACCATTCATCACACGTCCTCATAAAAAATCTACCTTATTATAGTGATCACATTTACATTCACACTCACATTCACACAAAACATCCATTCAAGTATACATTCATCTCTATCATCACCCACTATCATCTTTAACAAACACTCACCTCATCGATTTACGCCATCCACACCAGAAATGCAACTACAACATTTCATCATTTTCATCTTTACAAAACAAACTAAAGTTAATTATAAATATATATAAAAAAATCAAAAATTGAAATCAAAGAGGATTTATTAATTTTTCACGCTAAATCAAGAAAATCGACAAAGAATTATGTTAATTGTATTACAAGAAAATAATCTATTTATTTGTTAAGCAACTTCAACTTCCAACAAAACCAATTGTTTCAACCAGCATGAGAATATCAACGAAAAAACAAGAAATCAAAAATTGTACAGACATCCATTGAAACGGATAAAGGCAACCAACAACATCAAACATTTATATATGTCAACGACAACAACAATTGATCAATTCTTGAAGCAGAATGAACTCCTTCCCACCCTTTACCTTCAAAATTGTAGACAGTCAATTGTCAATCAGTTCACATAATATAAATATATACATATATATATATAATATTTAAACATATTTATTATATGTATATATATGCATACAAAACACACACATGAAACCAACAAAAAATAAAATGTTGCAAGTTATCTTGACCAGTTGAAAAATATACATTAACAAGATTCTGAAAACTGAATAAGAGTTGCCTGTAGTTATCATCAAGTTTGCAATTCAATTGTAACATAATAGGAAATGTCTATGTATTTACTGTGGCTCGTAGTTTAGCAAAAATTGTATTGTCTTCTCATTATCGTAAAGGATTGACCCGACAAATGTTGATGATAACCACAGGCAGATGAAAATGAAACAAAATCTGTTTGTACAAAATATCATGAAAATATAATGATGATAATATATAATATAATAATATTTATAGATTTCATAAGATCAGTATATAAATATACATATATATATACATTATTTTTTGTATTTATATACTGATAATATTTAAAATATGTTAATATTACATCATCCTTTAAGGTATATTTGCTGACGTTACTATTTGTTTATTAATATATATTTTGATATATATATATACCTTTGATTTACATTTATTTTATATTTATTTATAGCTGGTTCGGTGCTGGAAACACAAAAACTGGTCATCAGTTAATACGATGTTTAAACATTGTTTTTTCATCTTCACCATCGCCATCACTATCGCCATCATTATCGCCACCACCACCACCATCATCATCATCTTCACCAAGCTATAAACAGATGAAGAGCATGACAATACTTGATTATTTGTGATTAAGGTATAAGGCGGAACCGGAGTGTCTTAATCACAAATAACCTGACTCTCTCTCTATCAGCAGAAATATTTTTGTTTACAATATGCTGAAGAAGATGTTGATGATGAAGGTGAATTAGTGAGAGAGAGAGAGATGAAGGAGATATAAAGTTGCGATTAAGTGATTATTTTACTTGAATGAAAGATTTTGTAGAATGAAAAATCATGTATTTGCTGTATTAAGTATAGCCTAAAGGATGTTTGTTCCGGGTTCAAATGATAGTGATGATGAAGAAGAAGCAGTTGTTGATGATAATGATGATAATGGTGAGAGAGAGAGAGAAATATTAGTTTAAATTGAAGATGAAGATTCAAGAGAACTGAATAAGTTGAAGATGATAAAAGATGTGAGGAAAAATAAAGTAAAATGTGTGATGAAAAAGGTTTTTTTGTTGTCAATGGTTTTTGGGTAAACAAAGTGATTTCTTGTCTTGAGTATTGACCCTTTTTGTTTGATTGTTATGCTTTTTTAACTGGCCTTTTTAATCATATTCATCAATTTAATGGTATACATTGATGATACTTGATGTAAAATGATTTATTAGAATGATGATTGTTGGTTATTAAATTAAATTAACATTCATAGGAGTTTATAATGGTTATTGTTGATTTGAATTTACCGGTCATCAGGGCATGTTATTAAACACGCCATCTTCATTAAAACTGTAACATTAGTTGAAAATGTATTTTTTTGTGGTTTGCTTCATGTGCAATTTGAAGTTTATTTAAGGATAAATTGTGAGATGAAGATAAAATAAGGAGGAGAAAATTGATGGTGATGATGAGAAGTTAACTGTTAACGTGATAACTGTTTTTGAATGAGTTGCTAAACAACTCTGTTATCATTTAGGTAGATCAAGCTCATCGCCATCATCAACATCGGACTATCAACTTGCTGCTGAAGACTTGATCAATTAAAAACAAGTTGAAGTGAACTAATCCACGGACAGTGGCCTGATTATTATACAATTAATTCAATAAAAATACAAAGATTTCTTTTGGTAACATTGGAAGTCATCGACCACAGACTCGCAAGTGTGGTTGCACCCAGTCTTTGGTTTGTTTATAGTGAGTTATGGTGGGAAAAATTTACCAGAAATGTTTATTCAACATCTGATTAGATTCTTGAGATACTCAAAATGTCATCATATTTTTTTGCTTTATAATTGACAAAAAGGAGATTTGTCTTGTTAATTGCTTCAGACAATGACAACAAAACTCTCAGACAGTAATGAGATTATTCATTAGAAAAGATTCCAGCTGTCTTTTTGATAAGGATAAGCCTAGTTCTTGCATGCGAATCAGGGACATGTGAACTTGAATAATTGTAACAGTTGAGTCTATTGGTGAGACGGAATCCAATGTCAAAAAGGCTAATAATAACTAATAATAGTGTGAATGGAATCTGTTGAGAAAAAAATTGTTATCAAATTTCAATCTTGAAATGGTTTCTGTTTAAACTAATGGGAGTAAACCTAAGCTTATATTGAAAATATTGACGATTTTAATGGTCAAAGATGATAATGTTGATGGACATCAGTTAATCACTGTTAACTGAAGGCAAAATGCTTCTCAAGTCGCAATTGAGTTTACAGTCACAAGTTGAAGCTGAATAAGGTTGATATGAATGGCTGAGTTGACATTGTTAGTACTGATGTTCGCAATTAAGTTCAATGATCAATGATCACCTTAACATTTGCCTTTTGAAGAAACAAAAAATTCATGATTGGGTAAGTTACCACTCAGACTAATTAACGGTAAATTGACAAACAAACAGAAAAGTAAAAAATATTATTATAATTAAACAGTTGAATGAGATTGACTTTTTAACTTGACTTACTTTTTGCTAAACGAACTGCATGTTTTAAAAGTTCAACATTGAAGATGCATCAAGTTTAACAAGTAAAAACACTTTTTCTGTTTGCATTGAGGCATTTAATAAAATGGATTACCTTCTTTAATTTACAGGTAATACTTTTAAATTGTGGTTCAACTGTTGAGTGATAAATTAGCTTTAAGCCGATATTAGCCGTTTAACCTGAAAAATCGGTTGACTTTTGAATGTGTCTTCGCACTGTGAAGTCAATCATTTATGCTCATAACATATTACGATTGGTTAAGGAGTCGAAGGCTTTCGAGTTTTCAGGGTTTGTAAGGGCATGAAAACTGAGTCCATTTGTGCTATCGAGTTCAAAGTTAAACCTCGATCGCTTTTTGTTCAATCATAGAACCAGATTTGTTCATGAAACTCATTCAACGAATGTAACTTTTGATGGATAACCAGAAAATGCATTTATTTTGGGAAATGAAATTTTCTGTTCAAAATAAAACATCAGTTCGATTTTCAGTTAAATCTTCCGCATTCTGGCGATAAAAATTGTTGGTACACTTCAATGATCACTTTTTTTAATTTATAATTCTCTTGATTTCGGCCATTGGCCATTATTAGATTTTATTATGGGCTTTAATTTATTGATATTTAGGACTGAATACCGAAGCAAATCTGAGCTGATTTACTGATCGTGATCTTTACATTGAATTAAAAAGCGATAATAGATCCCAAGGATTGGAAGATCAACATGAGTTCAATCTAGGAGAATCGGTGCAATATGATTAACGGTCAATTAACCAGTCATCAATCAAATAGTTCAGTGTTTCAACTTTCAAATTGATGAGAAAAACTAACAATAAAATAAAATTTGGTTCTGCAACTGAACAAAATACAATCGAAATTTGAACTTTGAAAGCGATTGCATCAAAAACTGTCAATCTGATAAATTGTTTCAATAACACAAAAGGTTCCAGTTCATATGTCCCTAAAAGTCCATCAGGTTAACTCGAAATTCAAAATTGAAGGCATAAAATTGATTCCATTTGTTAGATTAAAAAGTTTCTTTGCTGGACATTCATTGACAAAATTGAGTTCAAAGTTCAAACTTTGGTCTTCTTCTGTAAATGTGTGGGCACCAGATTTTATCACCATACTCTTTACTCGAAACATTTTTATCTTAATCCGACAATAAACGATCAACCTGAATAACCAAAAAGTTTTCTCAAACACAATGGTACAGAATACTGATTCTGTATTTTTTCCTCAACCCTTTTTAAACGTGAATTTCTCAGTAACTGAAATTCTGGCTGAGCTCTGACTATTTGTCGGACATTTAGTTCATGTAGCTTTCAGAATGGGTAAAATTTTCCTCGAAATGCTTTCAATTTAGCCACAATTTTACACCAAAATTTGATTTCATGACTTTATGTATTGCATAGATGCACAGATACATCATGTAATTATCAATTTTTGTTCACGGTTTTTCCTTCTTATGAATCAATTCAAAATCATCATCTCCTGGAGTAATTACATGATTATTAATGTTCCAGAATGGTTGAGTGTTAAATGCCACTTTTAGGTTTACATTTTAACCTTTTGCAACAGTAAATTTAATGTTTCAGGTCAATCTTAAAGGCCAAATTAACATTTACATTGATATAAGATAGATGGCGTATGGTATATGACCTGTGTTTAATCAGCTGAAGTGTGATTGAAAAATCAAATTTTTATTAAAATATTATGTAACCGGAATTAATCTAATGGCTTTGGGCGAAAGTTTTTTGTGTATCCAATATCATAATAAATCTTTTTAGTTAATCAACTTCTCTCTTTCTTCTCTTTTACTCTAATCTCATCATCAACCTTTTCATCTTCATTTTCTTCCTACTTCTATCTTTCTTGCTTGTGTTGCCTCTTTACCAAAAACTGTGATTTTTCATTTTGTGTGTCCAATTAAAATGCTTACAATTTGCCAATTTGATGACAGTAAAAGTATATATTGGGTTAATGTTTTCATCAAGCAATTTCAAAAGCAAATATTAATAGTTTACTTTTTCTCTTTTTTCCCTCTTTTTTTTCTGTAGAAGTGAAACTTCAATATTACATCAAATGCCTTTCAATTTAACCCAACACCTTGATGTGGATTTGAAGCTAAATTATGATTAACACTCCCAGTGACAAGATAAACTAACCATTGTTTAACGATTTGGTCGCTAAAGCTCGTGCTTAACTTACTGGCTCCAGGATTGAGGAAGAAATGCTTACATGGGAACAAAACGTTTTGCTCTTTGAGCCGTTTCTTAACAAAGTCTTAATTTAGAGGCACCTTTTCAATAACAACTCATTGAGACTATTTACATGAGAGATTATGAGTACCATGAGATAAGCTACTGTGATGGAAAATTCATTATCGGCTCCATTGACTTTTGATTGTTTCAAGCTTCCTATTGATACCAGAAACATAGTTTCAAAAACATATTCAACATTGAAATTGAATGGAGTCATGTTGTGCTTAGTTTTGATAAATTATTATGAATTTTTTCCATGGATTGTTTTTGCATGTGCAGCATTATTGAAGTCAGCTTGAATAATCGTGATTACTAAAGTCCTAAATTCAAGTGCATTTAGGAATGAAAATGACATTCATAGAATCAATTTGACCTTTAATGAAGGAAAGGTGAGATTGTTGATTGTGAGGTGCAAATGTCGATTAAAAGTAACCAAGAGCAATTGAACTTGACAAAATCAAAACAGTTTCAAGTAGTAATTAACATTAATATTTTGAAACAAAAGTGAAACATTATTAACATGATCAGTCTTTTAAGATTTTAAAGTAACTTTTTAGCAGGCAAATCCTGAAAAAAAACACTTTAAGCTCAAGTAAAAAATTGGAAATGAAAAGTAAATTAAATTTTTCAATTTTACCAAATCAATAAGACACCGTGATTCATAATGACCTGACGGCGTTTAAATGCTAATAACATTCAAATTACTCGATATGTCATTCCACCAGAAAACATAGAAATGATGTTCATTGGTTCCATTTTGAGAAAATCAAAATTTTCAGATTTTTCGCTTTTCCAACTTTTGACATGATTTTATTGAGTAAAAATGCGTGGATTTTTCTGGTCTTAAGCTGAGTTGATGATCAATCATTCAACAATTAGAACACGTGATTCTGGTCTTTGTTGGTTGGCTGGTTAAAAATCAGCAACTGATGTCTGAACATCGCTCCATGCTGCAGATTCCTCACGTGTCAAACAACCAGCAAGAAATTTGAGATAACTGGAAGATATGAGACAAACTCACAGATAAAGATATTCTCCCGCTCAGAATATCATACAAATTCAGATAAAATTCCATAGAGAATGATGGTGAAAACAAGTTGCACCATAGCATCTTGTCGTAAAGCTGGTCTCTTCAGTCTTTGATTTATATTTCTGTATTAGTTTTAATTTTTTGTTTGTCGATGAAAAATTTATTATCATTTAAACATCGTCAGATCATTATTAATCACTGTGTACAATATGTAAGAATATAATACTAAAATGAATGCCAATAAAATAATACTTATATACATCATCGCATATTATTGACCAGAAATTAAATAATCTCATGATAACATCTGTACTAACCTTGGTATAAAAGACTTATTTGGACTGAACGTTACAAATTGTGGTCAAATTATGCCTGGACAAGAGCATAAAAACGGTATAAAATAAGCCATAATGAATATTAGCAATCAATTTAACCATAAAATATCTGTTTAGACGACTGAAAACAACTCCATGAGGATATTAAACTGAGTCTGAACCACCATTGGTCAGCTAATTACAATGTAATAAGAAGGCAATCAAATAACCATGTACATCAATCGAAAGAAATTAAATACCTGACAAATTATGAGTAAATTGGATTTTAGGTAGAGTTAGTTTTTTGCGAAAAAAATGTTGGACTTTTTCATATCGTTCTTTACTACCAAGGTTAATACAGATTTTATCGTGAAATCATTCAATTTCTGATCAATAGTATGCACATATTTTATATGATAAAGGCTGTTACAAAAGTAGGGAGAGGAAATTGAAATCTTAACTGCTTGATAAATATTCATGCTATCAATTTCATTTCAGATACTTAGTAACATAGTTAGATTGAAATCTGAAGGGCAACATGATTATTATGTTATTGTATCAACATGTAAAATAACAAAATCTGTATATAAAAAGGTTTACGACTCATTTTTTAAACACTGATTCAAGATGAGCATTTAGTAAAAAGTTAAAACCATGTAAAAATGGTTAATTTGATGTTTAAACCCAAATATATTCTGGCTAATTGTTTGTGCATATCAATGGAAATTCATTCTTTGAATATCATTTTCAGTTGAATTGTAAATGTCAAGATTAATGTGAATTTAAATTAACTGTTGGTTGATTCAGGCTTTTACATTGTAAATGAATAAAATGGTATGACTTATAACCTTTTTAAGGTTAGCTATACCTAAACCACAGTAATTATTTATAAATTCATTATCTTGCTCAGATAAGGTGCGACCTAAAAAGTTTGCAACCAAACGGTTTTTTAGTCATAGCTCCTCTTAAACTAGACACTTTGGCATCATTTTATATTACAGGATTAGTTGAAATATAAGGAACATTTTGATATATTTTTTGTATGTATTGATTCAGTATCAAATCAGAAAATGGACCTTAAACATTTGATAAACGGAGATCGATTTTTTGACTAGTCTCTGCCTTTCTTTGTATCAGTGTGGTAATACTCTGATAGCCTTAGAAATTTCAGAATTCAGTGTTTATCTGGCAAACAAAAGACTCAGGAGCGATGAAGGAATAACAAATTATGAAAATTCTGGTCGAAAGGCCAAAAAAATGGATTCGAAAAATTTGGCGCGTTTTTCAAAATTGCCGACGGCTGAACTCGATTTCAGTGGACTTTAGCCTGAAAATTTTATATGAGTCTGTCTAATTGACAATATTTATCGAAAAAGAACAACATAAAAGCATTCAAATAACGGTATAAGCCCAAATCAACGTACGAACAATAAGAGAGGTTGCAAACTTTTTAGGTCGCACCTTACAGTTCAAGTGAAGGATCATATTGTTTACCTAATCAAATTGATCAACTGATTGCATGTCAGCATTGATGTACTGATTTATTACTAAGAAAAATATAAAACAAACTTGACTCTTGACATAAAACGATTATTTGATGGTCATATTTAGACTTTTGCAATTCAATTTAAAAAGTCAATTATTGTAAAATATGTAATGATTTGTATACTTTAATATTTGGACGATAGTTACTCAAACCCATTCCATATTTCAGTCGTTTCCAAGCAATAATCAATCAACTAAATTTAAAATTATTGAGAAATGACTTTGAAAAGTTTAGGTTTATCAGCATGTTATAAATGTCACAATGTCAGAATAGATCTCTTGATAGAAGATTGATTTTTCATTCAGTTGTTATTCAATGAAACATATGATGTTATCGATTCCAAGTGTATGATTAGTTCACGTGTGGTTAATTCTTGGTTCGCAATAATAGTTGCTGATAAATAGCTGAAGGATAAAGTTTATGATGAAGCTGTAACTGTTAATTTCTGCTAAGAATCATAACTTAATATAGATATTAGATTTATCTCAACTTGCATCCATTTTTGAAACAAATTCACATGATGAAATAGGATTTTCAGTTACTCTTGTATATGATATAATTTAGCTCTAATCTTGATTTTTACGTTCAGATTCAGTTTAGTATTAAATGATTCAAGGTGAATGAGACTAGGCTATTGACAGTGTTGTTCCGTATTGCTATATCCTGGTACACCTGTTCTTGTTCTTGTACTTTCTCCAATATTTGTGAAGATTGTTCTCGGTAAAATTAAGAACAACCAGAGATCAAAACAAAACAAGGAATAAACTGGAAAAACAAAATTGAAAAAAGAAATGCTGAACAGCGTTTTGTTCTTAACGTGAAATGGTTCCTCAATTCTGAAAACAAGAAATCTTTGTTTTAAAGATGGGACAAGAATAATTACAATTGTTTCCAGTTCTGGATGAAACAATAAAACATTGATTGTTGTAATAAAAGCAACTCTTTCTGGTTACACTGTTTTTAGCGGCAAAATCAACATTTACAATTATACAAAATAGATGGCGTATTGTGTCAAGCAGCCGGTCAAATCAGCTGAAGTAAAAATGCGAGGTAAAATTTTTAAAAATTTGATTTGATTACTTTGGTTTAGCTATGTTTTCTTAATTATTCTGTTTGTTAATATTAAATTTTACATCTATTAAGTGCTGTGAATGGAGGATTGGAATATAAAGCAAATCTTGATTCGTCAAATATTGTTTGATAGAAGGGTAAAATAAAAAAGATACTTACTGCTCGTGAAAATCGGACATCGTTGAAGTTTTTGTTGATTTGTTATGAGATCCATAAGGATTTGGTCAGTTTTATCTTGAACGGAGGAAAATTTACCAATAACGTTATCGACTTCTTTTACGACATTAATTATACAATCCATTGCTACGTGTTCCGAGCTCGTACCAAAGAGTAAACATACAAAACAATTGCAACTTCCCGATTTTTGACTGGTACGACGGTGTCCTCCTGTGTACCTATTTAGGACAACTTGTAAAAAACCATTGTAAAAACAGTAATCTGTGATTTTTCCAAAGAATGGAAAAGATTGATAGGAATTAGGAGAGTAAAAAGCTTACCTATTTTCGGCCTCTGGATTGGAGCAACTTTGGATTGATAAAATTGTTAATACATAAAATATTTCTGGGTTTGGACTTGAGCCTCATATTATATTCGCATTGAATCCATCTCTGATATTTTAATTAAAAAGTGAGTCTTCATTGTTACTATTTTTGAAGAAAAATAATTAATGTTTTTAAATTTACTTACGTTTTATAGCAATAATGGAGCACTCAACTCAATGTCCAGTTTGTGGCAAAAATTTGGAAGGATCATTTGAAGCAACAACATCCCATGTTAACATGTGTATGGATAACAAAGAAAGTTTAGACGCAATAGGAAATATTTTTAGTAGTGAAATAGCATCAGCTGCTCTGGATGGAAAAAGAACCTTCAAATATTGTCCCATTTGTTATAAGTTGTCAGGTGTGAATGCAAGACATATCAAATCATGTGGTAAATTCAAAGGAATTGACACCAGAGAATTGATCCGTATGTGTGAAACTGAACCTGAAGCTGCTAAGACAACAAATAATAAATCAACTAAAGCAGCTAAAAGTAAAGCATCAAAGAAGGCTAAAGATAGTCCTTTCGGTCCTGGTTGCACAAAAGAAGTTGACGATGACCCAAAAAAATCTTTAAATCAACCTAAAACCAAGCAACCATCAGAGTTTTTATTTAAACCAAAGAAACCACCAAAACCAAGGAAGCAAGTCGAGAAAAAGGAGAAAGAACCAGTTGCAAGAAAACGTAAAACGAAAGTTACAAAGGTAAATATTCAAAATGTCATCTCCAGAAAAAATACTAACGGTTTAAATTATTTATTCATTGCAGGGTAAAATTGATCTCAATCAATCTATATTACAACCAAGCACAAGTGGTTTGATGATAAAATTAACAAAACCAATTGGCATATCAAGTGGTGAGCTAACCAAACTTAGCATAGAGGAGAAAAAGGAGCGCATCAGAAATCGAATTGGTCTCATCATGTCCAGAATTATTTGTCCTAATAATTTTGTCTCAAATTACTTCCAAAATGAATTACCTTACTCATGGACTTTATCATCTTTGAATAACAATCAAATTAAATACGTTGTTGATGGCTTCGAGAGATTTTGCTCCGAATCGCAGGAAATTACCGATAAAGACGAGACTTTTTCCTTTATTGAAAATTTTCCTGATCCAGTGAAGGAAACGAACCAAGAAAAAGCAAACACTGAAGACCATAGTGCCAATATCTCAACGGATAGTGTTTCATCAAATTTATCCGAGGACAAATGTTTTGACACAACTGCTAACACAGGCATGCTTGGATTGCCAGATTTAACCTTTAGCACACCAGACAAGATAAATGATCGTTTTGATATTTTTGGCAAAAGTGATCGAGATTCCCCTGATATTCCATCATCACAACCAGTTCCTAAATCAATTTATGCCTGACTCAACCTTCAATCATTCGGAACAAGCATATTCTTTGTTCAAGAAAGAAAAACTTTTGCTATTTAATAATTTCAATGAAATTCCCTTTTTCAGTCTTACAAAGCATTTAAACGCATGAATTGCATGAACTTTTATTTTAATTTCACATGTATGATAAATTGTTATATTGAATATTTTACCAGCAAAAAAGACAAAGTTGTTTACATAAATTTCTTATATATCTTAATATTTTGTTTGTTTTTTAATCATTAAAAAAGCGGTTACAAATTTGATCTGCTTATACGAAATCGTCTTAAGAAATTCCAACTCCAAATAAGTAAACTCGAACTGGGCCAACAACTGTTCCATTTTTGTAGATTTTACGGTCAAGTATAACTCGAACCATTCCCGTTAACACTGAAAGATCCATGTCAGTGTGAGTGAATTCAGTCAAATTTTTAGTCTCAAGTCTCATTTTAACGAACAATCTAATAGAGAGAAAAATGTAAATATTAATAGAAAGATTCTTAATGATAAATGTTCCAGTTGATTTAACCGGTTGAACTTGAAGATTGACGAACTTGAACCTTACCAAAATGATATAAATAAATGATTAACTTTGAAATTTGAAACAATAAACAATAGCTTTCGGCACAAATGACTCAAAATAAAAATTAAGTAAATCAATTTCATTCACAAATAGATATATTCACACAAGGAAAGAGATTAAGACTTAAAATTAGGACATGTTTAGCGTATTCTTGATGTTATCAATGATATTAGAATATTCGAAGTTTAAATAATATGTGGTTGAGCCATGAGCGAAGCTTTAAGTCGTTTTTCACTATTCATTTATCACTGTTTAAGTTTCGAGTCTACAGCCGTTGTATCGTACATCTACATGTACATAGCATTACTCACAAGAAAGTCTAACGTAAGGACCAAAGTCTTGCATGCTTTATGTTTTCAAAGCATGACCTGATTGCATCTGTTAGAACATGTTAACTTGATCAAAGCCAACATCTTTTCATCTCTTCTGGTTGTTATTATTATAACTGATATAATGATTGATATAACTGATCGATGTACAGAATAATAATATGTTTGTTAATCGAGTCTAAGTTTGCGTATTTTAAGTGATTAGTGATTAGTTTACGCGGTTAGTGATTTGATCTTAATGAATAATAAACCAAACCAAAAAGTTTACGATCTAAATTACTTTGGCTATCGGTCATGAAATTTTGGATTTTGCATTTGCATAGGTTTTAGGTTGACTCTTTGATTTGCAAGGAAATAAAAACTGAGTCGCGTTGTGTGATTTAAAAGTTTCTCTGGTTCACAGTTTTCGAGAAAATCGGGTTCGAAGTTGAAACTTCGATCGCTTTTTGTACAATAATGGGACTAGATTTTTTCATGAAACTCACTGTGCTAATGTAACTTTTGATAGTGAACCAGAAAATGTCCTTATTTTTAGAAGTAGCATTTTCTGTTTCCTCTAAAGCAGATCAGCTCGATTTTTAGTTAAACCGACAGCATTCTGCGACCGTGAAGTGCAGAGAACTGAAACTTAATGATTTTCCATAAAAATCGTTGATGTAAATCATTGATTAAATACTTTTTTCAATTTACCCACAGTTCTCTTGATTTTGGTCATTTATCTAAAAACTTTGAACATTAATACTTCGAGAATGGTAATGCCAGCAACGATAATTCTTGCACCAATTTAATCCTTTACTAATAAATAATTAGATTCAACTTAATAACTTTTCATTACCTCATTTGGGTCATAGTTTTTTGGCTTTAAATGTGCGAGAAACAACTTGTTCAACAAGGTAAACTCATATTAACCCATTCCTTGGTAAGTAAACCAATTTTCTGGTTAAACTTACAAATAAAATCCAAAAAGTAATGCCAAAGGCTCCAAGATTTGAGTAAAGAGTTTAGACTTGGTGGGGTTGTTGTAACATGAAAACAGAGTCCATCGGGACTATTTAATGATTCCTCCGATGATTAGTTTTCGGAGAAAATGAAGTTGAAACTTCGATCGCTTTTTGTACGATAATAAAGTAAGATTTTTTCATGAAACTTCATTTTAGTGATACAAATTCAGAAGACGAACCAGAAACTGTTCTTATTTTGAGAAATAACATTCTCTGAAGTTCAAAGTTTAAAGGCCAATGGCCAAAATAAAGAGAACTGGAGCCAAATGCAAAAAATTATTTAAGCAGTGATGTACATCAAAGATTTTTATGGACAATCATTAAGTTTCAGTTCTCTAAACTTCACGGTCCCAGAAAGAAGTCGGTTTAACTAAAAATCGAACTGATCTGCTTTAGAGGAAACAGAAAATGCTACTTCTAAAAATAAGGACATTTTCTGGTTCACTAGCAAAAGTTACATTAGCACAGTGAGTTTCATGAAAAAATCTAGCTTCATTATTGTACAAAAAGCGATCGAAGTTTCAACTTTGACCTCGATTTTCTAGAAAACCGCCATCGGATGGATTATTCAATAGTATCAATAGACGCAGTTCTTATGTCTCTACAAACCCACAAAGTCTAAACTTTTTACTCAAATGTGCAAGCTTTTGGCATCACTCTTTGCATTTAGTTTGTAAGTTGAACCAGAGAATTGCTTTATTTACCAAGAAATGGGTTAATATGAGTTTACCTTGTTGAACAAGTTGTTTCTCGCACATTTAAAGCCAAAAAACTATGACCCAAGGGAGGTAATGAAAATTTATCAAGTTGAATCTAATTATTTATTAGTAAAGGATTAAATTGGTGCAAGAATTATGATTGTTGGCATTACCATTCTCGAAGTATTAATGTTCAAAGTTTTTAGGTAAATGACCAAAATCAAGAGAAATGTGGGTAAATTGAAAAAAGTATTTAATCAATGATTTACATCAACGATTTTTATGGACAATCATTAAGTTTCAGTTCTCTAAACTTCACGGTCGCAGAATGCTGTCGGTTTAACTAAAAATCGAACTGATCTGTTTTAAAGGAAACAGAAAATGCTACTTCTAAAAATAAGGACATTTTCTGGTTCACTACAGTAAAATACATTAGCACAGTGAGTTTCATGAAAAAATCTAGCTTCGATATTGAACAAAAAGCTTTGCAAGTTTAAACTTCGAAGCCAATTTTCTCGAAAAATGTGAATCAAAGAAACTTTTTGTTAATGGGTACACCCGTCCTTGACCTCTCACCCTCTGACCTTAGGCTATGACCTATTTGAACTAATCCTTTTGTTTACTCTTTGAGTCCTCGTTGTGTCCCTCTTTTTCCTGGGTATATAAACAAGTACCTTTTGACCTTTACTTTACTTTCATTTTCTCAATAAACTATTTAAGTATCTCAATCTGAGATCTCAATTTGAGCTTTCATTCCTACTAACAGGTTATGGGCCCAGCTCTCTTGTTTTAAATAGTTGTCGCTGTTTAGAAGTTTAATTTTTCACTTGTTAGTTTCTATACCTTTGATATATTTTGTGATTCTCAAAAATGGAGAAAAGTAATGTTCATGTCGCTACCTTGACTGCTTCGTCTTTCCAACGCTGGAAGTACGAGATATCTGCTGTTTTGGAATCCAAGGATCTTATTGATACGGTGTTAGGTATTGATTTGAAACCAACGGAAGGTGATGATAAAATTAAACAATGGAGAATGAAAGACGCTAGTGCCCGAAGTATTATTTCGGTTACTTTGGACGAAGAGCATCATGCTCTCATTCGGTCATGTGCAACATCGCATGAAATGTGGAAATCTCTGATAAACTATCGAGAGAAGACAACATTGAACAATAAATACTTGTGTGCTCAAGCTTTTCACGAGTTGAAATTTCAACCCGATATGTCGGTTAGTGCTTACATCAGTGAGATCTCAACTTTAATCAAGCAGATGAAAGATTTGGACCAAGAGCCTTCAAAAGAGACTGTGATGGCAAAAATTATCAACGACTTGCCGAAGTCTTACGACTCCTTCCGGACCTCGTGGCGATTGGCGGCTCTTAGTGGTCTCAACTTGAAATTGGATGATCTACAGGCTCAATTGCTGATTCATGAGCGGGATATAGTAAATGATGGTGCCGTGAGATCTCAAGGTGAAGCTCTAGTGCTAAACAAGAAGAAATTCAAGAAGTGGACATTCAAGTGTTATAATTGTGGTGAAGTTGGTCATCTAAAAAGGAATTGTAAGAAGCCTAGAAAGCGAAACGATGATAATCAAAATGGTGGTTTCATGGTGAGATCTCGCAATGAGATCTCAGAAGTGAGATCTCACAGTGAGATCTTAAGTGTTGGATCTCAATTTGAGAAATATCCAAGTGACTCTGGTTGGATCATGGACTCTGGTGCTTCAAATCATTTTGTTCGAGATAGAGAATTATTCGCTTCATACAGGACTCTTTCTGAACCTGAAAGATTCGAAGTAGGTGACGGTAACTTAGTGGAAGCAATTGGTATTGGTGATGTTCAAGTCAAAACATTCAATGGAAAAGAGTGGAAACCTAACAGATTACTGGAAGTTAGGCACGTACCGAGACTATCAGTCCCTCATTTGATATCGATGGGCCAAATCACAAGGCGAGGACTGGAGGTAGTTGCTAAAGGTAGAGATCTCGTAGTGAGATCTCAGAATAATAATATTGTCGTAATTGGTCGGAAGAATGAGCACAGTAACTTGTTCAGATTGTGCATCCAACCCTTGAATGAGATCTCAAAGATCTTGGTGAATCAATCAAAGGGTAATTCATTGAAAGACTGGCATGAACGGATGGGTCATATCGGTGTCGATAGGATAATAAAGATGGCTCACGTTGGACTGATACCAAAGTTTCAAAATATCAGTATCCAGAAAGAAAAGTTCTTTTGCCATGGATGCACCCTAGGAAAGCAAGTTAAGCTTCATCTTGATACATGCGAGTCAAAACCGATGACAGTGGGGTCACATATAAGCAGTGATGTAGTGGGACCAATGGAAGTGCCTTCAATTGGTGGTGCACTCTATGCTGCTATCTTCAAATGCAGGCATAGTACCTACAGAAAGGTTTTTACGCTCAAACATAAGAATGAGATCTCAAACGTTCTACCTCGTGTTTTTAAAGACATTAAAATTGAGACTGGAAATGATGTTAAGGTTCTGCGTACGGACAATGGACTCGAGTATCAAAATAAGGATGTTAAAAGTATCACAGACAAGTTCTTGGTTCAACATGAATTCAGCGTTCCATATGTCCATGAACAGAATGGAGCTGCTGAAAGAGAAATAAGAACGCTGGTTGATCTAGCAAGATCTATGATCCATGCTAAGAATCTGCCTAAGAAGCTCTGGGCCGAAGCTCTCAATACTGCTGTGTATTGCTCTAATCGAGCTCTCACTGGTGAGATCTCAGAGTCAACTCCTTATGAAATTTGGTTTGGTAAGAAGCCTGACATTTCTCATCTAAGACCGTTTGGAACAGAAGCTTATGCACTGGTACCGAAGGAAAGAAGGAAGAAATGGGACCCAAAGAGTCGTAAAGGAATTCTCGTAGGATTCACCGAGACTTGCAAAAATTTTAGAGTGTACTTCAGTGAGTCGAACCGAGTTGAGATTGTTCGTCATGTTAAATTCAACGATGCTAGAGACCCATCTTTAATAGAAGACCAAGACGGTGTTAAGACTGTGGAGATCGAGATCCCAGAAGTAAGATCTCAAAATGAGATTTCAGAAGAAATTTCTTCTACTGAGCTTACAGAAGTAATTGCTGGTAATGAGGTTCAAGAAGTAAGCTCACAAACTGAGTTTCGGGAAGCGAGATCTCAAAACGAGACTCCGAGATCCCAAATTGAGATTCCGGGATCTCAAAATAAAACTGCGAGATCTCGAAAGGAGATCGCGAGGTCTCGAAATGAGATAGCGAGATCTCAAAACGAGATTTCAAGGTATGACCTCCGAGATCGTGAACAATGTAAGCGAATACTGACCATGGTTCGAGATGAACCGACTACCTTCGAAGAGGCTCTGGAGAGCGAGGATTCCAAAGAATGGCTTGCAGCTATGGAAGATGAGATCTCAGCTTTAAACAAAAACAAGACTTGGACGCTCGTCGATCTTCCGTGTGGAAAATCCAAAGTTAAATGTAGATGGATCTTCAAAATAAAAGAAAAGCCAGATGGTACTGTGGAGCGATATCGAGCTAGACTTGTTGCAAAAGGATACTCTCAGGTACCAGGCCAAGACTTCAATGAAACATTTGCACCAGTTGTAAGATATGAATCCATAAGGACTGTGTTGGCCGTAGCTTCTCATTATGGAATGGAGATCTCACAATTTGACGTGAAGACTGCTTTTCTCTATGGAGATCTGTTAGAAGAAATTTATATGGAGCAACCTCCTGGCTTTATCGAGGATCCAAACAAAGTTTGTCGACTACACAAGGGATTGTACGGACTGAAACAAGCTCCGCGTCAGTGGAATCTTAAATTCACATCATTTTTGAATGCGTTTGGTTTCGAAAGACTTGAAGCAGATCATGGCATCTTTGTTTCGACTAGAGAATCTAGTTTCTCTATTTTGGCTCTCTACGTTGATGATGGATTATTGTGTACGACTAAAAAGGAGCAAGCTGGTAAAATAATAAATTTCTTGAGATCTCACTTCGAGATGACGTTCGGCGATGCAAAGGCTTTCCTTGGTATGGAAGTTAAATATGATATCTCGAAAGGAGAGCTCAGATTGAGCTCTCAACGATACATACGGAAGATACTGGCCAGATTCAAGATGGATCAATGCAAGCCTGTGTTGACTCCGAGTGATGTTAACCACAAGTTAGAGCTTCCAGAAGTAAATGAAGATCAGGATAAGCCATATCAGGAAGCAGTGGGAGCTCTCATGTACCTAGCCGTAACAACACGTCCTGATATAATGTTTGCCGTCTCAAAATGTTCTCAGTTTTGTTGTAACTACTCAACTAGCCATTGGACTGCAGTAAAAAGAATCATGAGATATCTACAGCTAACAAAAGATTACGGAATATCATTCATGCGATCAGGATCATTACATCTGACTGCATATTGTGATTCCGATTACGCTTCGGATACCTTGACCAGAAGATCAACAACTGGATATGTACTCATGCTCAGCAATGGACCGATCTCTTGGGCTTCGAGATCCCAAAAGACAGTAGCCCAGAGTACCACTGAGGCTGAATATATGGCGATGGCGGAATGTTCTAAGGAAATTATATGGAGTCGTCAGTTGCTAAAAGAATTGAGATCTCAACAAGAGATCCCAACTAAAATGCTTTGCGATAATCAAGGGGCTATCAAGTTGGTTGACAACCCCGTTTTACATCGAAGGACTAAACATATCGATGTGCGCTATCACTTCATTAGGGACGCTAAGGAAAGTGGTCAACTCATGGTGGAATATGTACCGAGCAAGGATCAAGCCGCAGATTTTCTAACCAAGCCACTCTGTTCGGAGGCTTTCAATCATTGTCGGGATAATATAGGAGTTGTCAAGACGAGTGAGTGGGAGTGTTAATGGGTACACCCGTCCTTGACCTCTCACCCTCTGACCTTAGGCTATGACCTATTTGAACTAATCCTTTTGTTTACTCTTTGAGTCCTCGTTGTGTCCCTCTTTTTCCTGGGTATATAAACAAGTACCTTTTGACCTTTACTTTACTTTCATTTTCTCAATAAACTATTTAAGTATCTCAATCTGAGATCTCAATTTGAGCTTTCATTCCTACTAACACTTTTAAATCACACAACGGGACTCAGTTTTTGTGTACCTACAAAGCAACAGAGTCAATTTCTGAAAGGAATATATTTTTACCCATTTTTGCCCATATTTTTGCAGTATTTGTGTCAACTTGTGCATAAATGTGATGATTGTGTCTTTTCAGTAACAATCTTATTATTAGAAGAAGAGATCGCCATTTCAACAATAATTACAGCATTGAAGCACAATATCGAAGTAGTAAGATGGAAAGATACAGCAAAATACGATTGAAATGTAACTTATGGGACTAATCAAGTCTAACGATCAGATCAATATTCGTAAATGTATAAAAGATGAAAAACAATTAACTTACGGTATATTAAGATTTACAGTCTTTGGTGGTATTTCTTGGTTAGGATTGACGACTTCTTGTGAAAGAACACCAAAAATAAGAGTGAAAATGTAACACAGACCAATGGTCTTGATTAAACTATTGCTGAACATGTTTATATTTCAAAGTAAATCCAGTTATTAAAACTTATTCAATGATCTCACCAAGATAAGTGTTGAATGTTAACTGTTGAACTGAATGATTTTGAAAAATGTTGATATTTTTAAGGACAAATCCGATGTTGTTTACATTATTCAATGTTGTCACTCCAATAACCTCTCAGGTCGTTACTAATGTGAAGATCATGAGTTTGTGGTTATTTGGTTAATTATCAGTAAAATGTCACATTAAATTATAATATAATATACAATTGTCTTCATTTGATTGTTAATTTAAGAGGGGAGCTTTTTTTATTATTGTAAACACATTATCATAATAAACATAACCATAATAGTGAAAACAATAATGGAAACTTATTGACACTTATTGGAAAAACTATTATTTAATTGTTTTTCACTTTTAGTTAATAGCTAATTATAAACCTGAATAAGTAACCACATCAAAGCCAATGGAAGGTTAATTTAAATTGTACTGTATCGCCATTACAATTGAATAAATACATTTTTAATGTAAATTCAATCAAACTAAACATTCGCCATTAACCTAATAACCCAAGTACCCAATATCCCACAATAATTGGACATGGACATTGTAATTTCAACTCTCATTAGATCCTACTTTTAATGTTATAATAGACGGCTAAGATCAGCTATTTGATGATCACAGATTCACCCAAATACATGTATCATGGTACTAAATAGGAAGCAATCCTGGACCCATATATGATTTAAAATTGTAATTAGTAATTGTATTTCCTCATTGATTTGTTTAATCACAGAGGAAATACAATTAGCATCAATTGCTTAGCAAGACTGGCAATTGATTCTGAAAAACATACTTGAATGATTAGCCGATTCTTGACTCTGTAACCAATACTCTTTGAATCAACATGATTAAAAATTTAGCCAAATTTTTGCTTCTAATTTATTTAGTAGCTAATAATAATTCAGTTTCAGGTCAAACATGGTTTTCATCTTTGAAACAATTTGGTAATTTGTTTGAAAAGGTATTTTGATCTTTAATGTTTAATTTGGATTAAAGTGTAGCTTTATTGTTGTTTCGTTGTTCAACTAATCAGCTCCAATCTTTGTGGACACTTGAAAAGCCCAAACAATCAAATAACTGGACAAGATCAAGACAAATCAAGTATTGGACCAACAATCAAGTTCCTTTTGTTTTTCATCAAAGTTAAGTTCAATCGTTACTTTTACTTCAGTCTTTGATCAATATTGTCCAAATCATTGTTATTAACTAATTGTGAATTTATATTAACAGGTTGTAATAAAAACTGTCGTATAGCAGTTAAAGAGGCCATTAGTGATTGGGAAAGATACACTTGTATAAAGTTTCTTGACTGGGGCGATGATGAATACTTTGATGAAGATGAATACAATCGTTTTTACATCAAATTCAGAGCTGATCAACCAGGGTAATTATTGATAATTTGCACACCAATCATTAATGGCTTTGTTTATTTTTTAAATTTAGATGTTTCACAGTTTTCCGTAAAAATAATTACCATCTTGGGCAAAGTGTAAATCTTGGAGATGGATGTTTGACGGTAAGGATTCAAAAATTATTAGATTTAAACATAAATGGCAGAAGAGTCTGATATTATTGTCTCTGTTATTTTTTTCAGAAAACCAAAATTCTTCATGAACTAGGTCATGTACTTCATCTGGATCATGTCCATGGTCGTCCTGATCGTGATCTTTACATTGACTTAAAAAGAGATAATATCTTCCAAGGATTTGAAGATCAATATGAGTTACGCTCCGATCTATGGGAACAAGTGCCATATGATTACCGATCAATTATGCACTACCAGTCATCTGATTTCAGTGTTTCACCTTTCAAATTGATAACTATGTCAACTCGTTCTCCGAATTTACAGTATTTAATTGATGAACCGAGGCAAGGTTTGAGTTTTTATGATATCAAACAAGTTAACCTGATGTACAATTGTACTTATGCTTGTCCAAGTGACCATTTTTGTCTCAATCAAGGCATTAGTTTACCCAATCTTTATTATTATAACATTAATGAAGTTGATAGCAATAACAATGACTTTAATGATCCTGATCATGTTGATACTGATGAAGATGGTTGTTCATGCCTTTGTCCACCTGCATTTGTTGGACCACATTGTGAGATATCGAAATACAAAACAAATTATGCTTTTGATCAAATGATAAAAAGGTCAGGAGCCAGTGCTTGTGGTAATGTCCTCAAGTCTGAAGGTTCAATCCAAACCCAAGATTATCCTAAACGGAGTAAACCATTTGACAGTTGTAGTTGGATCATTAATGTAAGTAAAATGAATTGAACCTAAAGAATTGTGTTTTAATCGTTATTCCATTGTCTTGTTCAAGGCTCCAAAAGGCTATCGTATTGAATTATTTTTTGTCGATTTCTGGTTTGACGAACCGACGACCTATCTTAATTACTATGAAAATCGCTGTGCCTCTGAGCGTGTTGAAATTAGATGTAACGATCCATATGAACCAGAAATGTGAGTCAATTTAACTTTTGATTAATTCACAGAATAATCGCATACTTCTTTCCATTGAGTGCGAGAAATTCAATCTCCATTTAAATTGAAAAAAAGCACCACTCAGCTCTGCCTATTTTTCGGTTGTTACCTAAAAGACACAAAAACAATTGCTAAATTATTCAAAAAATGACACAATTTGATACAAATAATGCAAGACAAATGGGCAAAAATATATTCCTTTCAAATTTTGACTCTGTGGGTTTGTAGGGACACAAAAACTGATCCCTTTTGTGTGTTTTAAAAGTTTCCCTGATGTACAGTTTTCGAGAAAATTGGGTTCGAAGTTTAAATTTGCAAAGCTTTTTGTACAGTAATGAAGTTAGATTTTTTCATTAAGCTCATTTCACTAATGTAACTTTTGATAGTGAACCAGAAAATGTCCTTATTTTTAGAAGTAGCATTTTCTGTTTCCTTTAAAACAGATCAGTTCGATTTTTAGTTAAACCGATCGCATTCTTCGACCATGAGAGCTAAAGAACTGAAACTCAATAGTTATCCATAAGCACTGTTGGGCCGCATCATGTATTAAATACTTTTTTCAATTTGGCAACAGTTCGCTTTATTTTGGACATTGAACTTAAAACTTTGCGAACTCAATACTTCGAGAATGGTAATACCTACAATCATTATTCTTGAACCAATTTAGTCCTTAACTAATTAATAATTAGATCCAACTTAATAACTTTTCATTACCGCACTTCGGTCATGATTTTTGGGCTTTAAATGTGTCAGAAACAGCTTATTCAACAAAGTAAACTCATATTAACCCATTTCTTGGTAAATAAAGCAATTTTCTGGTTCAACTTACAAATCAAATGCAAAAAGTAATGCCAAAGGCTCGAAAATTTGAGTAAAGAGTTGAGACTTGCTAGATTTGTAGAGACATAAAAGCTGCGTCTATTGGTACTATTGAATAGTTTATCCGATGAACGGTTTTCTAGAAAATCGAGGTCAAAGTTGATAACTTCGATCGCTTTTTGTCCAATAATGAAGCTAGATTTTTCCATGGAATTAATTTTGCTAATGTATCTTTTGAAAATCAACCAGAAAATGTCCTTGTTTTTAGAAATAGCATTTTCGGTTTCCTTTAAAACAGATCAGTTCGATTTTTAGTTAAACCGACCGCATTCTGTGACCGTTAGGGTTAGAGAGACTAAACTTATTATGTGTGGACAAAAGTTGTTGTTTAACATCATGAATCAATTACTTTTTCTCATTCATCAACCTTTCTCAAAATATTGGCCGTTGATCTGAAAACTTTGAACATCAATATTTCGAGAATGGCATCACTTACATCCATCATTCTTTCACCAAACATTAGATTTAAATATGGACTATAATGCATTAAAAATTTAATTATGAAAGATCATACAGAAAAAGCTGTAACATTGTTTAACTTATGTTACCCGATTTGAGACTTGATTTATAAAGATAAATGATTACACAAACATGAGTCTTAAGTTTCAGAAGGATATTCATTTTTAAATGAATCAGCTCAGATTTTATTCGATATTCAGTCATTTTATATCATAGCCCATAATGCAATCTAATGTTTGAACAAAAAATGATGGATGTAAGTGCTTCCATTCTCGAAGTATTGATGTTCAAAGTTTTTAGGTAAATTACCAAAATCAAGAGAACTGCGCATAAATCGAAAAAAGTATTTAATCTATGATATACACCAAAGATTTTTATCGACCAATAATGAGTTTCAGTTCTCTAACTTTCACTGTCGCCAAATGCGGTTGGTTTAACTAAAAATCGAACTGGTCTGTTTTAAAGGAAACCGAAAATGCTATTTCTAAAAACAAGGACATTTTCTGGTTGATTTTCAAAAGATACATTAGCAAAATTAATTCCATGGAAAAATCTAGCTTCATTATTGGACAAAAAGCGATCGAAGTTATCAACTTTGACCTCGATTTTCTAGAAAACCGTTCATCGGATAAACTATTCAATAGTACCAATAGACGCAGCTTTTATGTCTCTACAAATCTAGCAAGTCTCAACTCTTTACTCAAATTTTCGAGCCTTTGGCATTACTTTTTGCATTTGATTTGTAAGTTGAACCAGAAAATTGCTTTATTTACCAAGAATTGGGTTAATATGAGTTTACTTTGTTGAATAAGTTGTTTCTGGCACATTTAAAGCCCAAAAATCATGACCGAAATGCGGTAATGAAAAGTTATTAAGTTGGATCTAATTATTTATTAGTAAAGGACTAAATTGGTGCAAGAATTATGGTTGTAGGTATTGTCATTCTCGAAGTATTGAGTCGCAAAGTTTTAAGTTCAATGGCCAAAATCAAGAGAACTGTTGGTGAATTGAAAAAAGTCTTTGATACATGATGCTTATCAACAATGTTCATGGACAACTATTGAGTTTCAGCTCTCTAACTTCCACGGTCGCAGAATGCGGTCGGTTCAACTAAAAATGAGCGGTGATTGTGAAGTGACTTTTGTTTTTTCATTCTGGTTTTCTCAGGTAATACAGCTACACTATCCAACTATAGCATGTTGAATTTTCAGAAAAATTCAAGCACATCTCAATTCAAATTCATTTCATTATCTTACGAGATATAAGAAAAAAACCAAAAATTCCCAAACTTTTTCCTCACAGGTTATGCAAAAGCAAATAGTAAAAATTTCATGATTCTAAGAAGAAAAGATGTTCGCTAATATAATCAAGTTACTCTTTAGATTTCAAGTTACTAAGTAATGAACAAGTATGAAAATTAAATTAATAACTTGAATAGTTATCAAGCAGTTACAATTTTCTTTTACTGTTTTGACTTCATATTGCATAGATGCACAGTTAATTATTAATTTGCTTTACGTCTTTCCCTCCTTAGGTATTGTGGAAATCAATTGAATAACACAATTATCATCTCAAGGAGTAATTACATGATTATCAATGTTATAGCGGGTTCCAGAATGGTTGGAAGAGGATTCAATGCCACTTTTAGGTTCATACCTTAACCCTTTTCTAACAATAAATTCAATGTTTCAGATCAACTTCATTTACATAAATATATGATAGATGGCGTACCAATACTAAAATGAACCATGAATAATCGGTGTCAAATGGTTAATTTGATAGATGGTGACACCGAAAATTGTATTATTGCATGAATTGTTTACTTCTAAATTTGTGTACAGTTATTTTAATAAAAGTTTTATTGTTTTTAATTGTGCTTGTTATATTTTGATGGAGTTCTCAACTCAATGTCCAGTTTGTGGAAAAAATTTGGATGGGTCATTCGCAGCAACAACAAGACATGTTAACATGTGCATGGATGACAAACAAAGTTTTAAAGCAATAGATGTTTTGAGTTCTAAAATAACATCGGCTGTTATTGACGGTAAAAGAACCTTTAAATATTGTCCCATTTGTTTTAAGTTAACCAAAGTTACTGCGAAACATTTAAAGTCGTGTAGAAGAGTTAAGGGAATTGACACCAAAGATTTGATTAGTTTATGTGAAACTGAACCATCAAAACCGAAGAACCAAAAAGTGAACGAACAAGTTACGAGAAAACATAAGAAGGTAACATTTATAGTGTACACTTTAGCAACCTTTAGAGTAATTCAAATGTCTTATTTCATTTCAGGGTGAAGCTGATCAACCTTTATTCAAACTCTATCCAAGTGATTTGGCGAAATTAACAAAACCAATTGTTATACCAAATGGTGATCTGACCAAACTCAGTATAAAGGAAAAAAATGAACGTATAAATAATCGCGTTGATTTAATCATGTCCAACATTGTTTGTCCAAATAATTTTGTCTGTAATTCCTTTCAAAAAGAGTTACCTAACTCATGGGAATTATCATCTTTGAACGGCACTCAAATCAAATACGTTGTTGGTGGGTTTGAAAGATTCTGTGGAAGAAGAAAGTGGAAACAATAATTTAAAACGTAACGACATCTTTAGAAGAGAAACACAATTAAATAATTGTTTCTCTCTTGTAGTTAACACTCGCTGATTATCATCCAATCGAAAAATCTATCCTTATAATTGAAATTAGAATAAAAAATATCTAAATTATTAGCAAGCCCATTTGATAATTATTATCAAAAAGATTTAAAATCGATGACATAACAAACTGAGAGGGCGTCCCAACTCTTGAGACTCTTGAGTCATGCTCAGCTGTTAATCTCATCTATGAAAGAAAAGAATGTTATTTTGTTTCTTATCTATTATGATTTTTGATTGAAGTGTCGATTAATTGGATCCAATTTGTGGTTGATTCAGCTTTGTGGCCCTGGAGGATACTTTCTTTTCAAGGAGGATATCCTTATCAAATCAACATCTGGTTTCAACCAATATCTACTCAATCATCTCAGCTTTGATTTATACATATTAATAATGTAAGTTTTAACTGTAGCCATTTTAATGATCCCTTCTTTTACTCTCCTAATTCCTATCAATCTTTTCCATTCTTTGGAAAAATCACAGATTACTGTTTTTACAATGGTTTTTTACAAGTTGTCCTAAATAGGTACACAGGAGGACACCGTCGTACCAGTCAAAAATCGGGAAGTTGCAATTGTTTTGTATGTTTAATCTTTGGTACTAATAGCTCGGAACACGTAGCAATGGATTGTATTATAAATGTCGAAAAAGAGGTTGATAACGTTATTGGTAAATTTTCCTCCGTTCAAGATAAAACTGACCAAATCCTTATGGATCTCATAACAAATCTACAAAAACTTCAACGAGATCTGATCTTTTTAAGCAGTAAGTATCTTTTTTATTTCTTCGATATTTGACGAATCAAGATTTAATTTATGTTCCAATCTTTCATTCACAGCATCTAATCAATGTGAACTTTCTGGTATTCAGACAGTAATAATTAACCAAAATATCGCTAAAATTCGCGACACAATTTCTCAAGTAGCAATGAACCATCGGGAAATTCACGGGGCTGTATCCAAAGTCGGCAAAGTTTTAGATAAAAATTTCATCTCCAACTATTCTCATTTGACATCAGACACATTTAAACAGGAAGGTCTCAATCCGTATCTATTAAATCAAGCAATCATAGAACATTTTCTAAGACAAGGGATGTTGGAAATAGGAGAGGAGCTGATGAGAGAAGCTAAGATATCCGTTCCTGAAGAAAAGAAGAATCCATTTTCTGAGCTAAATGACATTTTAGCTGGTCTTAAAAAGCATAATGTTAAACCAGCATTGGAATGGATCAAAGCTAATAAGGAAAAGCTAGGTGATCGTCATACTCAACTGGAATTCAAGTTACATAGACTCCAATTTATTGAATACTTGCGACAAGGTGTTCATAAACAGAAGGAAATGATTGAGTATGCTAGACAAAATTTTCAATCATTCGCTGATGACCATGAGAAGGAAATGCAGTCTCTCATGGGTAGTCTAGTTTTTCTTAAATCTGGTATTGCCCAATCGCCTTACAGCCATTTACTCGATCCAATCAATTGGAATGAAATCTGTGATATATTTACCCGAGATGCTTGTTCACTTCTAGGTATGTCTGTAGAAAGCCCTTTGAGTGTGACTTTCAACGCTGGAACAATCGCTTTACCGGCTTTATTAAATCTTCGCCAAGTAATGCTTCAAAGCTCGGTTCCAAGTGTTTGGACGACAAAAGATGAACTACCTATTCCTATTGATTTAGGGAAAAATTCTCAATACCATTCAATTTTCGCTTGTCCTATTTTACGTCAACAAAGCAATGATTCTAACCCACCGATGAAATTGATTTGTGGTCATGTCATTTCTAAAGATGCACTCAACAAATTAACCATTGGAAATAAATTGAAATGTCCTTACTGTCCAGTAGAACAGAACCCAACAGACGCTCGACAAATACAATTTTAAATTTGTTGATTGAAGATAGAAGATAATTCAACAATTCATCTTTTTATTATCCACCAAACATTTTGTTCACTCCGTAGCTTAATAATTAGATTTAAGCACCATTTTTATGTGATAACATAATTTGTTGTTCGTTGCCTACATCCAATGCTTATCTCTCCATCAATTCACATCTTTATATACCATCATGAATTGCATTTCTCATTTCGAGCTTAAATACACCAAAACATTGTTATAAAATCTCTGATTTAACCAAGGTCGATCAACGAAATGTAATCTAATAACACAGCATGGACTTTGAATAGCTGATAATCCCATCTTCATGTCTATCATGTTTTTTTTTCTTTGGCTTCATCATTTGTTTCTCTCTCTCCTCGAAATGTTTCACTATCAATTTAACCCGGTGTTTCACTTTCTATCATTTGAGACTTTATTCTGTATAATTCACATATCATTTCTTTGCATTATGTTGTATAACCCTTGAAATTGTTAGTTCTTGAGTTAATCAAAAAATGAATAAGCAATTTCACAAATCTTCATAATTTTGATCAATTAGCATTTAAATTATAACCATTATCGTCAAAAAATTGTTGGCCAGGCAATCAGCAATATACTGTTATCACTTAATCACTTTTGACTTTCAGTCCAAGTGAAAACTGTCAATTCAAGTCATAGAATTGCTGTAAAATAAATTATTGCAATTGTTGTTTCAAAAATCAAATTGTCAAATCTCTTTTAATTAATAATAATACGGTACAAAAAGGTCCAAAATTATCACTACAAGTAAAAGTATTACAGACAAAATATTTAAGCGATACAACAAGAGAAAGAAAATTTATCCAAATAAAACACTACACCATATATTTAAAGTTGATTAAGTATATTTTCATCATTTAGATTAATAATTACTGATCAATTTTGTATAAATTTGTTCAATTTCGCCAATAATTTAGTAACTTTACATTATGCACTCAGTTAGATAATCAAATGTTGCGCCTCAATAAAAAGATCTTGATACAAGGTATTGAGTAGTCTTGGATCTTTCTGTTCACTTGAAAACAGTTTACTTTTGGCAATCAGAAAGTGAGTCTCTTGTTGAGTGGAGTGTGTTTTAAGCAATCTTGTATTTTACTTTCTCTTCTCTCTCTCTCTTCCGACTTATTTTCTCTCTCGCTCTCTCTCTCAATTGTCTTTTACCTTTTGTTTTTTTCAATAAACATCAAAAGTGTATCTTCACACGATGGGAGAAGCAATCAGAGGTCAGATTTTCGAGGTTGGACCTCGTTATGTAGATCTACAATATATTGGCGAAGGAGCTTATGGTATGGTTGTGTAAGTATCAAACCTTTTATCTGCTTTTTTGTTGCATACTCAATCCTTTCTATTTTGCATTTTTTCTCATTTATATTTTTTTCCTCTCTCTCTCTCATTACCTTTTGTTTACCTCCCAACATTTTTTTCTTTCTCATTCTCTTACTTTTCCACTTTCATTTTCTTCTTCTCTATCATTTTTACTCTTTCCTCGTTTTGTATCTATCACTCAATTTTTCTAATGACATTTCTTCTTTCATTCCCTTTCATTCCCTTGCCTTTCACCTTCTTTCATTCAAACTATCGTCTTTCATCATATTTCTCTCCTTACCACAACTCTCTTTATTTTTACATAATTGCATTCCATTTTTTCTTTGTCTTTTTAAATCCCTCAATGACCATTTTCAATTTTTATTGATTTTCATTCAGTTCTGCAACGGACACAATAACAAAACATAAGGTAGCTATTAAAAAGATCAGTCCATTTGAGCATCAGACATATTGTCAACGGACTCTACGGGAAATCAAGATATTAACTCGCTTCAGACATGAAAATGTAAGTCAACGTAAAGAGGTCAACTTCTTTGTGCCTTTTTCCCCAACAGAATAACATTGTAACTATCTATAGTTATTTCTTTGTATCGGTCAAGACTTTACTTTACCTATGCTTCTCCCTCATCTTTTGAACTCTTTTTTTGCTTCATATGTCTTGTGAACTTTCTTTTTCAATTTCGCAATTTCTTTTTTTGCTATTTGTTAAATATTCTTTGTTAGATAATCGATATCCGCGATATCATTAGAGCGCCTACAATCGATCAGATGAAAGATGTTTACATTGTACAATGTCTAATGGAAACAGACTTATATAAATTGTTGAAAACCCAAAATTTAAGTAATGACCATATATGCTACTTCCTGTACCAAATACTCCGTGGTCTGAAGTATATTCATTCTGCTAATGTACTCCATCGTGACCTAAAGCCAAGCAATTTGCTTCTAAATACTACTTGTGATCTCAAAATTTGTGATTTTGGCCTAGCTCGTGTAGCTGATCCGGAGCACGATCATACTGGGTTTTTGACCGAGTATGTTGCCACTCGTTGGTACAGAGCTCCAGAAATTATGCTTAACAGCAAAGGTTACACCAAATCAAGTGAGTAACTCATTGCAATTTGCGAAAATCTTTTGCAGTTATCTATTTAATGTTCCACTTTTGTTTGTTTATATATAAAAGCAAAACTAATTGTACATTTTCTCAATTTTGTTTAGTTGATATTTGGTCTGTTGGTTGCATCCTTGCCGAAATGATTTCCAACAGACCTATTTTTCCTGGTAAACATTGTAAGTAGTCCGAATAATATTTTGATTTTTGCAATAATTTGCATTTCTTAAACTATTTACATTTTGCAAGCTAATATTCATTGTAATTTATATCTTCCGCTATATCAGATTTGGATCAATTGAATCATATACTCAGTATATTAGGATCGCCCTCTCAAGAAGACCTGGACTGTATCATTAATGATAAGGCCAGAAGCTATTTACAATCATTACCGCACAAAGAAAAAGTACCCTTTTTCCAATTATATGAAAATGCCGATGATAAAGGTATGTTGAGTCCTCTTTAGCTTTTTTTCTCTACTATTCAAATTGAAATTAAAACTAATGCATTATTTTTTTTGCAGCACTTGATCTTCTTGACAAAATGTTGACATTCAATCCTAACAAAAGAATCACAGTGGAACAAGCATTGGCCCACCCCTATCTTGAACAATATTATGATCCTGGAGATGAGCCAATTGCTGATGAGCCTTTCCGATTTGAAATGGAATTGGATGATCTCCCGAAAGAACGCCTGAAAGAATTAGTTTTTGAAGAAACCCAACGGTTCAAGTCAACTTTGGTTGGCAATCAAACTTGGACAGCAAATTGATTGTTCATCCAGCAAGGCATGGTCATTATCTTTTTTTCTGGTCCTTCTTTTCTATCTTTATCTTCACTCATCTCCTTTCCTTTCTTACTTTCATCTTCATTTCCAACTTTCTTCAATTTTTCTCATGCCTTTAATCAACATTATAAGTTCTTTCTTCTACTTTCCATAAAACTAAAACACTAAAACGCATCATAAGTTTTCCCAAATTCAATGGGTAACAATTTTTTTGCCCATGGAAATCAAAAGTGACAAGAATCTTATTCCGGTTAATTCAGTTTTGTTGGTTCATTCGCGTTTGAAAGCAATCAATACGTGACGTGATAATGATCATGACTTTTGCCCAAGTTATCAAGATTTATTCTTTTTTCCTTTGTTATAAATTCAACTTTTTTACACCTTTTTTTTGGTGAAAATGAAGTGTGAAAAGAAACTACTTCATCTTTTCGTTTCATTTTTCTTCTGGAGGACAAAGAGAAAAATGGATGATATTCATCGCCAAAACACGTTGAAAGATTAAAATCTAACCGATGTTTCAACCCCAACTCTATACATACATTTTCAATTATAAATATATTTTTTCGCTAATCAAATGTATGGGGAAACAGAACTCGATCCCAAAGTGACTCCGAGAATGATGAAAAGAAGCCAGACAAAGCGATAAAAGAACTACAATCACAAAGCCAAACAATAATTAAATCCTGAGAATCAGAAGATTGACGATTGACCGATAATCATTTGTGCTATCCAATTGCTTTACCAATTGAATTTTTACCGCTCAATCACTTTTCTCTCTCACGTACTTTCACTGTCTCTGTTCCTCCGATTTCTTCCCTCCCTTTTATCAATACTAATGAGTTATGTTAATGTATAAACTCAAAAAGACCATTCCAAGGCAGAGAAACCCTTTCTTTTTTTGCAAAGCCATTGATTCAATCTTTCAAGCAAAGTGAGCAAAAAACTCATCTTGGAAAAAAACTGCATCTTCATGATCAAGGAAACAAATTGGATTGTTTTTTCATTTACCCCAATTGAAGATGCCAATCTCGGTGAAGACGAAGACGATAAGGTCAATAATGTATCTTATTGCTCTTCAATTTAAAATCCGTAGATAATGCTTTCAAGTGATAATCTTCACTAACAATTAGTTTTTTGCTTATAAACCCTCTGATTGATTTGTCTGTTATGAACAAAAAAAGGTCCATTTCTCTGTCTTATTTTATCACAATCACCTTTTCCTCTCCTTACATCTCTTAACCTGAAAATATAACGCAACATTGAAAATCTTATTAATATTTACAACTCTCTAATTACTATTATTACCATTTTACAGAAGAGATAGGAATTAAATTGATAATGCAATCCATCCTTGAACAATTAGCTGACAAGTTTATAATATAAAAAAAAGAAAATGCAAATTTCAGCTTAATCATGATAAAACCATGTACAGTTAAAGGAAAGGAAAAGGTTAATCAATCAATTAATTTCTGGCTCTTCTTGCTGTTCCTCTTATTGTTTCAAAATATTGAACCTTTTAACCCAACAGCTGAACCTTGATAATGACCACAACAACTAACCTTAAACTCTCACCGGAAAAAACAACAACAACAAAAGTTACCATGAAAAGGAGTAAGGAGAGAGTAAATGAATCAATATGAATCAAAATGAATATAAAAACGAAACAAAATTTGAACCCAAAAGTGATTCTAAATATAAATATATATAAATGAAAATAAAATGAGAAAAAAAAGATTTTTTTAATTACAACAAAAATTGGTTTCAACCATTTGTTTTGCGTTCATTTTTAACAATCAATATTTTTGCATGTTCATTTGCAGATTCATCTTGATCACAATTACACCATCATAATAGTAGGTTGACAAAGATGCGGAGCAAGAATAGCAGGAGAAAGAAAGAGTTGAGATAAATCTGATGAATCCCTGGATAACCTCCAGACGAAGGATGAGTTGAGGTCAAGGTTTTTCAGGGTATTGATGATGAGTGAGAAGAAAGGGAAATTGTTCAAGATGATGAAAATGAAACCAGAGGTAAAAAATGCTGACATCTAATATTGAATCAGTTTTATGTTTACAATTGAAGTTTACTTTGAAATGTTGCATTGAAATGAATTGTAATTTGCTCCTCAACTTGCTAATCAATTGCAAGACAAGCATCATCAGTGAATAGGCATTAAACAATGAACAAAACAAAATCAGTTAATGGTTACTAAACTTGAATCATCGAGTAAAGTCAAGGCAGTTTGTAAATTAAAATTGCAAATTTTGTTCATTTTTTTGTTCATTTTTCTGTAAACAATGAATAACATTATTAGTAGATTACAATGTTGATATTGATGGTGTTAGCATGGTTAGTCCTTGTGTTAAATTGAATAGCAATGTTCAGGATAAATGATACAAAAAGAGTAGCAACAAATTTGAACCTTATTTTGTTATCATTTTTTACGCTCTCTTTTTTACTCCCTCTTTATATGTGCTATTTGTGTTGCAGTTCATATGATGAGAAACTCAATTCTCAAGGAAAAATCGTCATGTCAAGAGTCAAGGATAAAAGGTGGATGCTAAGAGTGAAGATGAAAAGGGAATGATAGGAAAAAGAGAAGGAGAAAGAGGTAAAAGAAAGAGATGTTCAAGGGTTGAGAGTAAAAATATTTTTCTACTCTCAATGGATTCAGGGGGTTGAGCTGCATTTTTCCCGGAATTCAGGTCAAGCTGTATCGATCAATCCCAGGGTATTGATGACACCATTACCTAGTCTATCTTTCAAAATTATATTTTTCACTCTCACTTTCATCATCATCTCACTCGTTTACAGCGTTTACATCCTTTTAGTACATTTATAAACCTTCTTATGACGTCAACAACACTTGTCCCAGTCAATTTTGTTTCATTATTTGCTTTACATGTGAAGACCTGGCTTGATGTACAAATAGCAACCTAGGAAAGGTGCATGACTCGGTTGAAAGTTGTAGGTTGCTTGGCTTCAACCCGTAAACCCAATGTACGATTCAACAAATGTTGCCTTCAGCTTTGGCTACTTTTTTGCCTGCAAGTTTTGCTTTCCATTTCTTTGTTTCTATCTTGCATAGTTTATTATTTTCATAATTGTTCAGTTTAATCAGCACATTAAATTGGGTTAAATGAGGGAAAAGGATTTGATTGAAAAGATGAGTAAAAAAGAGATGTTTCAGATAAGAATAGTAGATGAAGATGATGTTGAATGGATCAGTTAGTTTTCTTTGTAACTCGCGCATTCATCTCTCTTCTTGTGTTTGTAGATCTTGACCTCATTTTTAAACTGAGCCCAGATATTTTTCACCAGATTCACAGGGATGATGATGATGAGGAGGAGGAGGTGGAAGAAAAAATTAGGAACCAAAAAAGTAATAAAAGGCAAAGCCTTGATGCATTTAGCTGTATATATAATTGGCTTGTTTTTTTCTCTTATGCTAACCTCTAGTTAACTATTTCAGATTCAATCAATTTTTAACCTGTTGAGATAATTGTTATTAATATTTAAGCATATTCCATTGAAGATGCTATCAATTTGAAATGGCAATAATAGACCGAGTTAATGCAATGGCTAGTGGACGAGAAACGTGAAAATTGCAAATTTCTTTCTTGTTTCCTTTTTCTAGGTCAAATTGGATCAAATTTTGGTCATTTAAGATACATGTTTCAATCTTCATTGCAAAATTGGAAGTTATCAAATTTAAAATGGCTAATTTATTCATCAAATGGCATTAAATTACTTTCTTTAGGCTCAAATATTCGGATTATTGTTATGCATTACGGGTTTTCTCGTTTATTTAAACTTTTGATACTTTTGTCATTTTACCAAATCAATTTTTAATTTAATTGTTATCTATTCAATCATTTGTAAAAGTAGCAAAGCTATTTTGTTGAGTTTTATAAATGTTAATTAATTGATCATTTCGTTAACTTTGTTTTTTTTAGTTGGTAGATGACGCTACTTTATAAGTAAGGCTTGCTTGTCTAGAGTTGCTTGGCTACCATTCACATGGTCCATGTGACATGATTTTACGAGACAATTTGTTTGTGATTTTTGATCATCTACTGTGTTAATTTATTGTATTTTGTGATTTTTTGAATTGTTCAGTTTGTCTTAACCATGGCTGAAGTTGTTCAATATCATCTTGAAGAGTTGCTTGATGTTTTTGTCAGCTTTAGAGAAGTGAAATTATTCTCTGCTGTAGAAGTTAAAACCATTGTTAATGATATACGATCATATGAATACAAAATTCAAAAGCCCAGTAAAACAAAGCATGACTATCTCAAATATATTCAATATGTGCAAAGCCTGTTACTTTTGATGAAAAAACGTAAAGTAAAATGTATCAATATGTTGAAGTATAAAGAGATTGAAATTAGACTCATCAATTTGGTTAAAAAACTGCTCAGAAAAGTTGTCTATTCCAACCAACAGGATCTTGTCCTTTGGTACACTTGGATTAATTTTTGCCGCGAAATGGGTCTCAGAGAGGACACCAGTAAAGTTTATACTCGTATGTTGCAAGTTCACCCTGATAAAGAGGAAGTTTGGATTGCTGCTGCTAAACATCAATTTGAGGAAATGCGTATGCTAACCGTTGCTCGTAATTTGCTGCAAACTGGCTTACAAGATAATCCCGATTCAATTAAGCTTTGGGAAGAATACTTTAAATTTGAGTTGTTGCATTTCGAGATTGTTCGGAAACGTCATGAAATCTTGGCACAAGATTTAGACAGTGAAAAATACCAGAATATTTCTAAAGGTATGATTAAATTATGAATGAAATTATCTTGTGCTTATAAATTTTCTCTATTCTTTTTCAGTTAATTTTACCCTAGACGAAAGTGATGCAGTGGTAAGTGGCAAAATAGCAGTCATTGTTTTTAAGAATGCTGTCCCTGTACTATCCAAAAAATTGGCTCTTGCGAAAGGTTTTTTCTATATTCTTGATAAATTAGAACCTGGTTTGCGAACTCCAGTTAAAGTAGAGATGATAAAGATTTTAGAAGAAAACTTTCCTGATACTGAAGAGTTATATGACATCATCGCTCAAGGACTAGTGGATCAATCTTATGCTTGTCGGTACAAAAATTTATCTGAAGACGAGCCAGAATCTTTTGCACCAAAAGAAAGCGGATCGAAGTGGCAGTTAGTATTTACCGAATGGGTACTGACAAAGTGCCTACCGTTAAAATGTGGAATTTATTCATAAGTTTCAATTTAAGATTGTTATCCGAATCTGCTGATGGAAAAGACCCAGAAAAATTGTTAGACAACTTACTGCTGATATTTGATGAATGCTGGAGATCACAGTTGATGTCTAGACATGCTTTTCTCGAGTGGATTCTCGCCTTACAAATCAAAGATAATTTTGCACAAATGGATAATCTTATGGCCAAAGGATGTGAAAAGTGGTCAAAGTACGCGGATATTTGGTACCTGCGTTTAAAAGTTCTCTCTACAAGGGTTACTTCCAAGGAGGATGTAAAACATCTTTTCCCTCTAGCTTTCAAAAGCATTGATTACAAGATCGACCAGGATGAAGACGAAGATGAAGAAAAGATAGAACAATCTGGAATGATAATCCGAAATATGAAAAAGAAAACTATTGACGATGTCTGGAATCTCTTCATTGAATGGGCATCTAAACACTTACACCCTACTGAAGTCATCAGAAGAATTGAGAAATATTTTTCCGAATTACTTGGAGGAGGCAGTTGTTTAGTGACTCAACGTAAAATTTCTTCATTGCTGAAACCTGAATTATTGAGAAAATCGATTGAACTCAAAAAGAATGGGTTAGAACTAGCTCGAAATTATTACAATAAATATAAACATCATCCTCCTGCGGTTGCATCTTTTTTCAATGAAATGATTCAAATTGAACGAAATCAAAATCCAATTGATTATAAAAGAATTGTGAATATTTATGAAGATTTAATTAGTTATTTCGGAGAAAATGATCATCAAATATGGTTGGATTATTGTAAATTTATTCTGGAAAACAAAGAACCTACAACAGTTGGAACTATACATAATAGAGCTTGTAAAACGTTAATTGCATCGGAAGTTTCACGTTTTGTATCATCATATTGTCTTTTGCAGAATAAAAATTATAATTCATAACAAAAAATATAATTTAAATAAATTGATTAAGTTAACAAAAAAATACAAATGGGAATGCAAAGATATTTATTTTCGTACTGGATTGAACCAATGAGTACTGCCAGTCACAAACAATCTCCAAAACCAATCAATGTATCGACCAATTTAATCGATATGAAGTAAATTGTGATTTATCCGATTTATTGACCATTTTAGTGCTAGAGTAAATTATTTTAAATAAACTCTAATAAAAGTAATGTCATCAATCATACTATTAAATGGAACTGATTGTTAGTGAGTATTCTGATGATTCCGATTAATATATCTTCATTTCATGCCATTGTTCATAGTTCGTTGCCTTAATGTTCCTGTTAGCTGTGTTTAGTTTTCAATAATCCTTTGGATGATTAAAGCGTATAATCTTTTATTAAGTTTATCACCTGGAAAAGCCGCGAAAATAATATCAACTCGCTCATTTACATCTCCAAACACGGTATGTCAAGCAAAACCTTATAATCAAATTCCCGGTCCTAAGCCCATGCCCTTAATAGGGAATACTTGGCGTTATTTACCTTATATCGGCGAATATGATATTGAAAAAACACCAGAAAATTGTGAGGCCAATTTAAAGAAATATGGTCCATTGGTTCGAGAAGTACTTTTTGGAAAATTCAGTATCCTTCATGTCTTTGATCCTTCTGACATGGACTCAGTTTTTCGCAATGAAGGGAAATATCCTTATCGTCGTTCACACCGAGCACTTTGCAAATACCGTCATGATAGACCTCATATTTATTCATCTGGTGGAATGTTCACTGAAAATGGAGATGCTTGGTATCGATCTAGGAAGCTTGTGCAGTCAATGTTACTTAATCAATCCCAGATAAATCAATTTATTCCTGAAATTAGTTTGACAGCTGACCAATTAATATCTAATATACTTGAAATTAGAAGTCTCTCCGGTTCAGTTGAAAATTTAATGCCGCATCTCTACAGGTGGGCTCTAGAAACCAACGGACGAGTATTTGTTGGTCAACAACTTGGATGTCTGAATCTCAATGGAACAAGTGAAAGTGAAGCTTTATTCGGCGCAATTCATGAGACTCATGAAGCAATCATGGCTACTGAATTGGCAGCAACTAACCTGTGGCAATATTTTCCGACCTCTGACTATAAAAGGTTGGTTAAATCGCAGGATGTCATGGGTGATATAATATCTAAATTCATTGAAAACATCGATCACAATTCAACTTCTATTCATGGAGCCAAATCTATTGTGTCTCAATTGTTTATCTGAATTAGAACTTTACATTTTAATTGCCAAAATTTTAAGGAATTTTCGCGTTGAATTTGATGATAATGTGCCATTCCGAGCTAAAACTTAATGAAGTTTACATTTTAATTTTGTACTTGAATCGTCTTTGAATTTTGAAATTATCTTGCTGTTAAAATTTTTATCGTAATCTTTTTTTTATTAAAAGGATGATTTTTTATTTGATTTTTGTATCATTAATATTACTAAAGGACCTTTAAATTAAAGGTTGAACTGTTATATTATTTTGATTATTGTCTTTTTGATGAATTAACACAGAACACATTTATAAATTTTGGCTGTTTGAATGTCAAAACTCTGGTTAACAATCTCAGATTAAATCAATAATCAACCTGTTGAGATAATTGTTATAATATTTAAGCATATTCCATTGAAGATGCTATCAATTTGAAATGGCAATAATAGACCGAGTTGATGCAATGGTTAGTGGACAAAAAATATTCGGATTATTGTTATACCTTACGGGTATTCTTGTTTAGTTAAACTTTTGCTACTTCTGTTATTTTATCAAATCAATTTTTAATTTAATTGTTATCTATTCAATCATTTGTAAAAGTAGCAAAGCTATTTTGTTGAGTTTTATAAATGTTAATTAATTGATCATTTCGTTAACTTTGTTTTTTTTAGTTGGTAGATGACGCTACTTTATAAGTAAGGCTTGCTTGTCTAGAGTTGCTTGGCTACCATTCACATGGTCCATGTGACATGATTTTACGAGACAATTTGTTTGTGATTTTTGATCATCTGCTGTGTTAATTTATTGTATTTTGTTTATTTTATTTTGTGATTTTTTGAATTGTTCAGTTTGTCTTAACCATGGCTGAAGTTGTTCAATATCATCTTGAAGAGTTGCTTGATGTTTTTGTGAGCGTTAGAGAAGTGAAATTGTTCTCTGCTGAAGAAGTTAAAAAAATTGTTAATGATATACGATCATTTGAATACAAAATTCAAAAGCCCAGTAAAACAAAACATGACTATCTCAAATATATTCAATATGTGCAAACCCTGTTAGATTTGATGAAAAAACGTAAAGTAAAATGTATTAATATGTTGAAGTATAAAGAGATTGAAATAAGGCTCATCAATTTGGTAAAAAAACTGTTCAGAAAAGTTGTATATTCCAACCAACACGATCTTGTCCTTTGGTACACTTGGATTAACTTTTGCCGCAAAATGGGTCTCAGAGAGGACATTAGTAAAGTTTATGTTCGTATGTTGCAAGTTCATCCTGACAAAGAGGAAGTTTGGATTGCTGCTGCTAAATATCAATTTGAGGAAATGCGTATGCCAACCGTTGCTCGTAATTTGCTGCAAACTAGCTTACAAGATAATCCCGATTCAATTAAGCTTTGGGAAGAATACTTTAGATTTGAGTTGTTGCATTCCGATATGGTTCGAAAACGTCAAGAAATTTTGGGACAAGATTTAGACAGTGAAAAATACCAGAATATTTCAAGAGGTATGATTAAATTATGAATGAAATTATCTTGTGCTTATAAATTTTCTCTATTCTTTTTCAGTTAATTTTACCCTGGACGAAAGTGATGCAGTGGTAAGCGGCAAAATAGCAGTCATTGTTTTTAAGAATTCTGTCCCTGTATTATCCAAAAAATTGGCTGCTGCGAAAGGTTTTTTTGATATTCTTGATGAATTTGAACCTGGTTTGCGAACTCCAGTTAAAGTAGAGATGATAAAGATTTTAGAAGAAAACTTTCCTGATACCGAAGAGTTATATGACATCAAAGCTCATTGTGTAATGGATCAATATTATGCTTGTCGTTACAAAAATTTATCTGAAGACGATCAAGAATCATTTGCACCAGAAGAAAAGCGGATTGAATTGGCCTTCAATATTTACCGAAAGGGTATTACCAAAGTTCCTACAGTTAAAATGTGGAATTTATTCATAAGTTTCAATCTAAGGTTGTTATCCAAGTCTGCTGTCGGAGAAGACCAAGAAAAATTGTTAGACAACTTACTGCTGATATTTGATGAATGCTGGAGATCAGAGTTGATGTCTAGACATGCTTTTCTCGAGTGGATTCTCGCCTTGCAAATCAAAGATAATTTTGCACAAATGGATAATCTTATGGCCAAAGGATGTGAAAAGTGGTCAAAGTACGCGGATATTTGGTACTTGCGTTTAAAAGTTCTCTCTACGAGGGTTACTTCCAAGGAGGATGTAAAACATCTTTTTCCTCTAGCTTTCAAAAGCATTGATTACAAGATCGACCAGGATGAAGACGAAGATGAAGAAAAGATAGAACAATCTGGATTGATAATCAGAAATATGAAAAAGAAAACTATTGACGATGTCTGGAATCTCTTCATCGAATGGTCATCTAAACACTTACACCCTACTGAAGTCATCAAAAGAATTGAGAAATATTTTTCCGAATTACTTGGAGGAGGCAGTTGTTTAGTGACTCAACGTAAAATTTCTTCATTGCTGAAACCTGAATTATTGAGAAAATCGATTGAACTCAAAAAGAATGGGCTAGAACTAGCTCGAAATTATTACGATAAATATAAACATCATCCTCCTGCGGTTGCATCTTTTTTCAAAGAGATGATTCAAATTGAACGAAATCAAAATCCAATTGATTATAAAAGAATAGTTAATATTTATGAAGATTTAATTAGTTATTTCGGAGAAAATGATCATCAAATATGGTTGGATTATTGTAAATTTACTCTGGAGAACAAAAAACCTACGACAGTTGGAACTATACATAATAGAGCTTGTAAAACGTTAATTGCATCGGAAGTTTCACGTTTTGTATCATCATATTGTCTTTTGCAGAATAAAAATTATAATTCATAACAAAAAATGTAATTTAAATAAATTGTTTAACGAAAAAATACAAATGGGAATGCAAAGATATTTATTTTCGTACTGGATTGAACCAATGAGTACTGCCAGTCACAAACAATGTCCAAATCCAATCAATGTACCGACCAATTTTATCGATATGAAGTAAATTGTGATTTATCCGATTTATTGACCATTTTAGTGTTAAAGTAAATTATTTTAAATAAACTTTAGTAAAAGTAATGTCATCAATCTTGCTATTTAATGGAACTGATTGTTAGTGAGTATTCTGATGATTCCGATTATTATATCTTCATTTCATGCCATTGTTCATAGTTCGTTGCCTTAATGTTCCTGTTAGCTGTGTTTAGTGTTCAATAATCCTTTGAATGATTAAAGCGTATAATCTTTTATTCAGTTTATCACCTGGAAAAGGCGCGAAAATAATATCAACTACGCTCGTTTACGTCTCCAAACACGGTATGTGAAGCTTGTGCAGTCGATGTTACTCAATCAATCCCAGATAAATCAATTCATTCCTGAAATTAGTTTGACAGCTGACCAATTATTATCTAATATACTTGAAATTAGAAGTCTCTCCGGTTCAGTTGAAAATTTAATGCCGCATCTCTACAGGTGGGCTCTAGAAACCAATGGACGAGTATTTGTTGGTCAACAACTTGGATGTCTGAATCTCAAAGGAACAAGTGAAAGTGAAGCTTTATTTGGCGCAATTCATGAGACTCATGAGGCAATTATGGCTACTGAATTGGCAGCAACTAACCTGTGGCAATATTTTCCAACCTCTGACTATAAAAGGTTGGTTAAATCGCAGGATGTCATGGGTGATATAATATCTAAATTCATTGAAAACATTGATCACAATTCAACTTCTATTCATGGAGCCAAATCTATTGTGTCTCAATTGTTTAATCAACCCGAAGCTACAAAAAAAGATATTTTTACAATAATAATGGATTTGTTCTTGGCTGCTTTCGATACAACCTCATTTGTCGTCGCTTTTGCTCTCTATCATCTTTCATGTAACCAGAAATGTCAAGATCAAGTTCGCAAAGAATTATTTGAAATATTCCCGAATGGCAAAGAACCTATTTCCGTTGAAAGTCTTCAACAAATGAAATATTTAAAGGCCTGTGTTAAAGAATCAATGAGAATCAATCCTTTTTCAATTGGAACTGGAAGAGTTACAACTCGAGATATGACAATTAGAGGTTTTCATATACCAACTGGAACCATGATAATTGTTCAAAATCAAGTGGCTTGTATGCAGGAATCAAACTTTCCTCGACCTAATGAGTTTATCCCTGAAAGGTGGTTAACTTTGGAACGAGGAAACTGGCCAAAAGCGTCACCATTTGCTATGCTTCCTTTCGGTTATGGAGCTAGAATGTGCATAGGAAGACGTTTATCTGAATTAGAACTTTACATTTTAATTGCCAAAATTTTAAGGAATTTTCGCGTTGAATTTGATGATGATGAGCCATTCCGAGCTAAAACTCGTTTCATAAACGTTCCAGTTGGTCCTTTAAAGTTACGATTTATTGACATTTCAAACTAACTTAATGAAGTTTACATTTTAATTTTTTACCTGAATCATTGGATTTTAAAGTATCTTGCTGTTAAAATTTTTATCGTAATCTTTTTTTATTAAAAGGATGATTTTTTACTTGATTTTTTATCATTAATATTATTACTAAAGGTTGTTGTTATGCATTACGGGTTTCTCGTTTATTTAGACTTTTGATACTTTTGTTATTTTATCAAATCAATTTTTAATTTTCTTGTTATCTATTCAATCATTTGTAAAAGTATCAAAGCTATTTTGTTGAGTTTATAAATCTTAATTAATTGATAATTTCGTTAACTTTGTTTTTTTTAGTTGGTAGATGACGCTACTTTATTGCTGGTTTGCTTGCTTTAAAGTTGCTTGGCTACCATTCACATGGTCCATGTGACATGATTTTACGAGACAATTTGTTTGTGTTTTTTGATCATCTGCTGTGTTAATTTATTGTATTTTGTTTATTTTATTTTGTGATTTTTTGAATTGTTCAGTTTGTCTTAACCATGGCTGAAGTTGTTCAATATCATCTTGAAGAGTTGCTTGATGTTTTTGTGAGCTTTAGAGAAGTGAAATTGTTCTCTGCTGTAGAAGTTAAAAAAATTGTTAATGATATACGATCATTTGAATACAAAATTCAAAAGCCCAGTAAAACAAAACATGACTATCTCAAATATATTCAATATGTACAAACCCTGTTAGATTTGATGAAAAAACGTAAAGTAAAATGTATTAATATGTTGAAGTATAAAGAGATTGAAATAAGGCTAATCAATTTGGTTAAAAAACTGTTCAGAAAAGTTGTATATTCCAACCAACACGATCTTGTCCTTTGGTACACTTGGATTAACTTTTGCCGCAAAATGGGTCACAGAGAGGACACCAGTAAAGTTTATGTTCGTATGTTGCAAGTTCATCCTGACAAAGAGGAAGTTTGGATTGCTGCTGCTAAATATCAATTTGAGGAAATGCGTATGCCAACCGTTGCTCGTAATTTGCTGCAAACTAGCTTACAAGATAATCCCGATTCAATTAAGCTTTGGGAAGAATACTTTAGATTTGAGTTGTTGCATTCCGATATGGTTCGAAAACGTCAAGAAATTTTGGGACAAGATTTAGACAGTGAAGAATACCAGAATATTTCAAAAGGTATGATTAAATTATGAATGCTTTATCAATATCTTGTGCTTATAAATTTTCTCTATTCTTTTTCAGTTAATTTTACCTTAGACGAAAGTGATGCAGTGGTAAGCGGCAAAATAGCAGTCATTGTTTTTAAGAATGCTGTCCCTGTATTATCCAAAAAATTGGCTACTGTGAAAGGTTTTTTAGGTATTCTTGATAAATTTAAACCGGGTTTGCGAACTCCAGTTAAAGTAGAGATGATAAAGATTTTAGAAGAAAACTTTCCTGATACCGAAGAGTTATATGACATCAAAGCTCATTGTGTAATGGATCAATATTATGCTTGTCGGTACAAAAATTTATCTGAAGACGATCTAGAATCATTTGCACCAGAAGAAAAGCGGATTGAATTGGCAGTCAATATTTACCGAATGGGTATTGACAAAGTTCCTACAGTTAAAATGTGGAATTTATTCATAAGTTTCAATTTAAGATTGTTATCCAAGTCTGCTGATGGAGAAGACCAAGAAAAGTTGTTAGACAACTTACTGCTGATATTTGATGAATGCTGGAGATCAGGATTGATGTCTAGACATGCTTTTCTCGAGTGGATTCTCGCCTTACAAATCAAAGATAATTTTGCACAAATGGATAATCTTATGGCCAAAGGATGTGAAAAGTGGTCAAAGTACGCGGATATTTGGTACTTGCGTTTAAAAGTTCTCTCTACGAGGGTTACTTCCAAGGAGGATGTAAACATCTTTTTCCTCTAGCTTTCAAAAGCATTGATTACAAGATCGACCAGGATGAAGACGAGATGGAAGAAAAGATAGAACAATCTGGATTGATAATCAGAAATATGAAAAAGAAAACTATTGACGATGTCTGGAATCTCTTCATCGAATGGTCATCTAAACACTTACACCCTACTGAAGTCATCAAAAGAATTGAGAAATATTTTTCCGAATTACTTGGAGGAGGCAGTTGTTTAGTGACTCAACGTAAAATTTCTTCATTGCTGAAACCTGAATTATTGAGAAAATCGATTGAACTCAAAAAGAATGGGCTAGAACTAGCTCGAAATTATTACGATAAATATAAACATCATCCTCCTGCGGTTGCATCTTTTTTCAATGAAATGATTCAAATTGAACGAAATCAAAATCCAATCGATTATAAAAGAATTGTGAATATTTATGAAGATTTAATTAGTTATTTCGGAGAAAATGATCATCAAATATGGTTGGATTATTGTAAATTTACTCTGGAGAACAAAAAACCTACGACAGTTGGAACTATACATAATAGAGCTTGTAAAACGTTAATTGCATCGGAAGTTTCACGTTTTGTATCATCATATTGTCTTTTGCAGAATGAAAAATTATAATTCATAACAAAACAGGCAACAAAATTTGTAATGATTCAAATAAATTGATTAAGTTAACAAAAAAATACAAATGGGAATGCAAAGACATTTATTTTCGTACTGGATTGAACAGTGTGTCAAGGAAGTAATTTAGTAAGCAATGAAATATTAAAGTAAATAAAGTGAAAATTCCAGACTTGGTTTTCAGTAAATAATATTGATAAACTTGTTATAAAGTTAATAAGCATATGGTAGGAAGAAAATCAATATGACTAGGAGAATTTAGATGATTGTAAAATTTATAAAATTAGCTTTAGATGCAAGTAAAAATGTAAATGTCATAAATGCGTTGAAATTGTAGGGCAATTAACGAGCGGCAGCTACAGGTGCGACTGCTACAGGTGGTGGAATGCCAGCAATAGTGTCGATGGATGACCTCACTTTATTAATAATATCGAGAATTTCTCCAGTCAGCTTGGTCGCACCAATTGGCCCATCTCCTTGCGAAACCATAACCACTTTATTACATTGAGCCAATGGAGCAGCAATTTCAGCAGCCAACTATACCAAATAAAAAAGCATTTAATTAGTAGTGATCACTCATCATAAATGAATGTTAATCATAACACCAAAGAATATAATTAACTTACCTTAGGCATAGTTTCCAGAATCATATCAACCTTAGCAGCATTGTCATATTCTTTATAAGCATTTGCTTTCTTGGCCATTTGTTCCGCTTCGGCCTTGGCTTTGGCTTCAATTGCATATGATTCGGCTTCTCCTCTCAATTTAATTGCTTCTGCTTCAGCTTCTGCTTCAATAATTAACTTATTTTTGTATGCTTCAGCCAACTTTTCAATTTTATATTTTTCAGCTTCTGCAGGTTTCTTTACAGTGGCTTCTAATTCCTTCTCTCGTCGTTTGATTTCCTGTTCTTGAACTTCAATTTCCGAGGTTCTTTCGACAACTAAAATTTCCATTTGACTATCTTTGATTTGTTTTTTCGTTTTGGCTGTTTGAATGTCAAAAGCTAAATCTGATTCAGCTTTCTTCGTAAAAACTTCATAATCATAAGCAGCTTTTTTCATTTCAAAATCTTTCTGGGCTTTGGCAATTTCAGCGTCATTCAAATATTTAGCCGCCATTTTATCCTCTTCAGCTAATGCCTCCTTTATTAATGCATCTCGCTGAGCTTCAGCCTCACCAATTCGAGCATCACGTTTAACTTCAGCTGTTCGCGCCATTCCTAAAGCTTTAAGATATCCTTCATCATCACTAATATCTTTGATGGTATATGAGACAACGGTAAATCCCATATCTACCAGATCAGAGGAAGCCACTTCGAACACTTTTTTGGAAAACCTTTTACGATTTTTGTAAATTTCTTCGACAGTTAGAGAAGCCATGATTGCTCTTTGATGTCCCTCTAGAGTTTCACGAGCGACATGCATGATGTCTTGTTCAGATTTTCCCATAAATTGTTCGCATGCAGCTCTTAACATATCAGAGTTCTGCCCTTGGATTTTAACTTGTGCTACACCAGTTACAGAAATTGGTACACCTTGCTGGGTATAAACACGAGGGCTTTCAATCGTTAATGTCATAGTATTTAATGAGATTCTGTAATAGAATTTAAATATAAATTTTAATGAGTAAAAGATTGAAAATAAATTGTAAAAGCTTACTTTTGAACTCTTTGAATGACAGGCCAAACAAAAACACGACCACCAGCCACCATATGAGGCCTAGAATGGCAGCATCCTAAATTGAAAAGGGATCAGAAAAACATGAATGTAAATTAAGTGTTTATGCAATTAATTGGAAACAATCAAAATATCTAAATAAATAATAGGATAAATGAAATTCCCAATGAATTATTCAAAACAAAACATCAAAACAATGGTCTCACAATTTTTGTACATTAAACAACTTACCAGAGACAACAAGAGCCTCATTTGGCCCACAAGTTTCAAAACCAGGCATATTGAGTCCTATTCAGGTTATTTCATAAAAACAATTGGACAATTTGCTTTTTTCACGCTCTGAATGAAATCAAAGATAACTCAGGATAAATATTTTCTCCACTCCCATTTTTGTCTATTGTCTCTGATGTTTATGTCAAGTTAAGCCTGAATGATCGAGAAATAGGATCGGATCCTTATATCGATAAGTATCGCTTAAACACACATGTCATAAAATAAAAAAACAAATGTTTTGTAAATAAACTTTTGGCGCTGTAATGATGTTATTCCTTTGGTTTGCTACATGAAATGTCCACTCATTATTTTTTCAAACTCTAGTAGACCCTTTAATCTGCCACCCTCCCAGAAGGTCAATTCTGAAGCTGATCGATTTTAAAGATTGGCCCTCAAGGTTTATGTCACAAATATTGGTTTATTTTGAATGATGATGGCTGATGAGTTCGTCTTGATTAATAAACAAGTCTCAACTGAAATGATCATCAATATGGGTTACTTGATTCGCATTTGACCTACACCTTGAAGCAAGCTTGTTGAATAGATAAAATTTTGTGTATGTCAAGGTATTAACTTTGTTTTATTACCATTAGTATTTCGTCGAATTAAAAACATTTATTTATTTCAACTCATTATCAATCATAATTATATCAGACCATTAATATCACGTAATTATTTCATTAAACATTTGTAAATCAATTGCTGACAAAAACAAACCAAAATCAAATGAACAGTACATTTCATTATGCATTATAAAAATAACAATTTCATTGTTTCATCTTTTCATTTATATTTGCATAGCAAATGTCTCATTCTATTATTCAAATTGTCCTGGTAATAGTTGGACGTAAATTACGTTGATAAACTTAAATAACCTCTTCTAATCAAAAATGGCCACGGACTTGAATTGTGTTTAAATTGTGATGATGATTAACTTCAATAAAACAAACCAAGCACAAAAACTTAAAACATATGTTCCTCTCTCTCTTTCAACCTTCGCCACTAGGGCTTTTTCAATATAACTCAATGCATAATAATAAAGAAAGGCAATGAATAGTCAAGTATTAATCATGAATTTAAATTTTAGGGCTAATTATGGCAAACCTTTTCTAAAATTGTTTGATCAACTAACCAAAAACAGCTTCTATTTTAACAAATCAATCCATTTTCCTTGCTTTAAAAATCTATTCTCGTTTCTTTGTAGTTATTGGTAAAATTGAGAGATACTCATTGAGTTACATTTCTCAATCTGAGTTGACCGTCATGCCAGGTATCAGGCGAGTGTCGATTGAATAATAAGACTTAATTCATTTTATTATTAATGGATTTGTGGTGGAACACTCTTTCTTAATGGTCTCCTCTTTTGTTTTTGTTTTATCTGTCAAGTTAAGTAACGCAGATTTAACTTGAATCAAACCTTGATTAAAGTTATATCAAAAAAGTTCATCATTGTGGCAGCATTTTAGTTAACTTTTTTAAGTTAACATGGAAACATCTGTACATACGCTGCTGGTTTTTTGATAACATGGGTCAAAATACTTATTCTGTTTTAAAATAGGAAAACCAATATTTGTTTTCCATGTAAGTTACTTTGTTAATTATGATATTTACTTTTTTTCCATATTAATTCCTATTAATCATCCTCTTAACCTTCATTCTTTCCGATCCATTTTCTCATTTAATTCCACTTTCCTTCATTTACTTGTCTCACTTGAACAAACATATCTTCCAAACACTTGCAATTTCACATCTTGGCCATTATTTACCGGTTTCCCTAACAATACTCTTATTTTAATGTATCTGTGGTGAACCTCAGTTACCATCATGTTCTTATCCTATGTTAACCTGGTATCGTTTCTGGTAAATCAATTCTTGACCTCAGTGATGAAGCTATACTCAAAACATTCGAAGTTAATGTTTTTTCCCATTTCTGGATCAACAAGGCTTTCCTACCAGAAATGATGTCTGACAATAAGGGTCATATTGTATCTATGGCTTCTGTTGCATCTTTTGTTGGTTCTGATAAATTAACTAATTACTCGTCTTCAAAAGCTGCTGCTTACATGCTACAAGAATCTTTGTTTCTTGAACTGAAAACTGCTGGCTATGATGGCATTAAAATAACCACGGTATTCCCTTACTTCATTGATACTGGAATGTTCCAGGCTGCTTACGATAAAGTGATCCCTATGTTGAAACCAGATTACACTGCTGACAGAATAATTGAAGCTTTACGAACTGACCAGTGTCTTTTGATCTTACCAAGGCCGTTTTATTTCATGAGTGCTATAAAAACAATGATTCCTGCAAATAGTGGCTTTTATCTCTAAAGTTTACTTGGTGGACTAGAAACGATGAAAGGCTTTGCTGGTTTTAATAATAATATTGAGAAACCTAAAGTGAAGAGTAATCAAACAACAATCAATGGCAATCATTTTCATCAATCATTTTTTCTGATCAGCGAAAAATATAAAGTAGCAAGAAAAAGGAAAAGATATGTTTTTCAATGATTAAGCAAACTTTAATTGATATGAACAAATGAGAAATTCATAAATTCCATGGTTTGCCTAATTTTCTGTGAGTTTCATTACCTAAGCGATGACTGTATTTGAACTAGAAAGCATAAACTTGTAAAAATCAATTTTTCAATTTAGATTTTGCTTTTATCTTGTATTTCTTCTTGCATTTCCTCTTGCATTTCTTCTGGTGTTTCATCTTGCATCTCATCGTGCTTGTCGCTTTGCTTATCGCTTCGTTTGTCATCTTGCTCGTCGTCTAACTTATCTTCTACTTTTTCACTTTGTTTTTCATCTTGCTTTTCTTGTTGTTCTTCATGTTGTTCTTCTTGTTTTTCATCCTGTATTTCATCTTGCTTTTCATCTTGTTTTTCATTTTGCTTTTCATCGTGCTTTTCCTCTTGATTTGTAGTAATCTTTTCATTTTGTTTCAAGTTTTGGTCCTCATATCGGTTCTTATTTTGATTCTCTTCAAACTTTTCGACTTGTTTTACATCTAATTTTTCATCTAAATTGTCGTATGATTTATCATCTTCTACCTGGTTCATTGGTTCTTCTTGCTCCATCATATTCACCTGTTCATCATCAGGTTTTACAGAACCGTTTAAATTACCCATTTTATTGATGGTTGAGTTCTCTTGACTTTTTGCATCTTCGAGTTCTACATCTTGGTTTAGTTCATGTGTTTCAGGAGCTAGACTTGGAGGAGGCGAAGAAGATGAAGAAGGTTGTGGTGAGGATTCGGACGATGAGGAACTGGAAGATGAAGGTGAGCCTGCATCGTAAGGATGAATGTCAGATACAACGGCAAGTGGTGTGGATGGAGGCGAAGCAAAAACAGTAGTGAAACTATCCAATTGCTGCAAAGGTGCAGGGGCATTAGGTAATGGATCGGAGTCTTGTAAATGTGAACATGATTGTGACATTTGATTAGAGCATAGTAATGCTCGCGAAGATGATTCTTCTTTTTCGTTCAGTCCATTCATAAAAGCAGAAGACGAAGAGGCAATCGATGAAATTTGTGAAGATGATGATGCAGAAGGTGCAGATGAAGATGATGGTAATGGTGATGTTGATGATGACGACGATGATGACGGTAAGGGCGACGAAGATAAGAGAATATTTGAGGAAGATGCAGAAGATGATGGAGATGAAGAGTTGTTGTGCGGTGAACGTGAAAACTCTCTTTGGAAGGGTTCGGGCTCGTTTTCACTATCCACACGTCTTGCTTCAATAGTACTTATAACGCGTATATTTTTTTCTAAGCCTCTCATAAATTTGTCCGATCTCTTGTAATATTTATAAGGAGCCGTGAGGAGTTCGCAAATCCGTTGTATAGTGAATGGGGCTCCATTAAAGTATTCGAATTTTTCAATTATTTCATCTTTCATTTCCTGGAAGTTGAATGGTTTAACATTTGGTAAGACCGGGTTATTTTCATAGGGATACTTGGTATTGAATTCATTGACCACAAGCTCGATCTTTTTCAAAATCACAGGTTTAATTTTGTTCCAAGGATAACTAATCAAAAAGAGAAAACTTAATCAATGAGAAAGAAAGAAATAGTGGCATATAAGAGATAAAGAAAGAGAGAGATATATAGAGAGATATAGAGAGAGGGAAAATAAGGTGAAAATACTGAAGATGTAAACACTAGATGCTGTCCTCCCACTTACATTGTATCCCCAGACTTGGCTATATTGATGAGTAGTCTTTCCAAATAATCCGGCAGACCATTTTCACAGTCACGTCCATAATTTTTCTCGAAATCTGTAAAAAAATAGCAAAAATATGAAAAATGTATCAATAAGATTACAAATTATAGAGCACATAAAAGGGTAAGGGTATACACAAATGAATTAGAACTTGATAGATACTGAGAAAGGCCTCGATGCCGAAACGAAAGAAAATGAAAATTTCATAAGTTAAACGCCAAAAATCTAACAAAACAATTAATGAAATATTTAAATATATCTAAGATTGTTTTTCAAAATTTTGAGAGATAGCAGAGAGAAAGAGAAGTGATAGAAAGATAGGAAGAAAAAAACGCAAATTTACTTACTCATGAGTTCATTCAAAATCTCTTCTTTATCTAGTTCCATTTTAATTAATGTTCTAAACAGATACAAATGTAAATTTCACTTCAATTGAAATACTAGATGATCCAAAAATTGATTGATTGAAAAGATGAGATTACGGTATGAAACAGTTTCCTTTTGTTGAGTTAACCCATCAATAAATGTTATAGCATAAGAGCAAACCAACCAATAGGCTGAAACTTGTGTAACCTTATAACCAATCACAACAGAGTTGCGGTTTATTTAAAATTGCCTGGTTTTTCTTTACAACTTAATGTCACTGTTATTTTGCTTGGACGTGAGTTTTGTTTACACCCTTGGATGAAGAGATAATTTTGATAGGTGCTTTCTGTTGTTTATGTTTGTTGTTTTCATTGGGAATTGATGATTCTCCCTAATAATTACCATTGAGCTTTTGATGAAACAGCTGATCTAAAATGATTCAATCTTTGTCTCATTTGGTTCACTTTATTATTATTGAGTTTTTCTTTGATCTAGCTTTGAATCGAGCTTCATGTCTACCATGATCCTAATTCGAGAATGTAAGTAATTTCAGTTTTAAGTTGAATATGAATTAATCAATGAATTGACTATTATAGCTTTTGTTCATTTACTCGTATTGATACAGATGTGAGGATAGTTCTTTAAATAATCTTTCTGTATTTCATTTCTTTTCACCTACGGCACTTTAACTATTTAGAATGTAATTTATAATATTAGAAATAAGTTATTAAGATGTTCTTTGCTTTCTTATTTCCCGTTTCGTTAAGAACTTAATTCATGTAATTTTTAACCATTGAAATTATTGTAGATATTTGCATGAACTCCCAACGATTATTTAAAAGATTCGGATGCCAGTTTTTTGATAAATTTTGAGACTTTTTTCTTAGATCTTATTCATTTCATCTTTTTATTTACTTTCGGAACCATTCAATGAATGGGCTGAGAAAACCCCAAAAAGGATAGGGCGAAGGATGGGGTAATTTACAATTTTTAATGAAACAAAGCGTAACATAAGACTTATATTATGTATCATTATATTAGACAACTTCCATTATTTATGATGATTGGATCAAACATTAGACGTGGTCAGATAGCTAAATACATATAATTTCAAAAGGGTGAGAAAAAAAGTAAATCTTGTAAGATTACGTGAAAATAACAGTGCTTTCACAAGCATATATTGAGAAAATTGGAAAAATTTTGTTCCGTTTAGGCCTTTTCGAGAATAAATTTGATTCAGCAAATACTAACAGAAAACAAAAACATGAAAATTGATCGATAATAATTGAGATAAAAGAAATTATTCAGTCCTATTTTTGACTATTGTTTCTTTTTTGTAGCTTCATCATATGTAGGTGGATGATCCACTCCTGGTACATTGAATCCTGGTCCAGCAGGAACATTTGGATTTAGAGTCGGATAAGCTCCTCCAGCAGCAGAAAATGGATCCATAGGTGACATTACACACTGAGTTGTAGCAGTAGGGTAAATTGCTGGTGTAACCGAAGAAGTACCAAACATGAGTTCAGCTGGGTTAGGATGAACGGCCGCGCCTGGAACCGAAGCAGTTACAGTGGTTGCTGTTATGAGACCTGGGTAAGGTGGAGGAACATCTGACGTGTAAATGAATCCAGGCGGAGGTGCATCTGGGAAGGTTTGAGTGGGTAGAACAAAACCGACAGGATAATTTGGTTGATAAACATCATCCGGAGCTTGGTAATAACTAGCTGCGGCAGGTGTAGGACTATAAGGTGGTGGAGCTGTAAATCCGCTTTGCTGAGCCATAGCAGCAGCCTGTTTAGCGGCATTTCGCATGGCTTGACCAAATTCAACGGCTCCACCTTTATTAAATTTCAATTCGAACCCAAATTCTGGATCTCCTCGGACTTTGCCTTTGATTGCATTTGCACCAAATATTGGCTGCTCAAGAGACAGATCAAACATCGAAAAGAATGGAGCCGAAAAGGATTTAAGATTGGCATTTTGTTTTAACGGAGTAGATGTGAATATTACTCTATGCGTCGTCAGGTAAATCCTTCCTTTCGCCTAGCAAGAGAAAATAGAAGAGTAATTAATTAGAATCGATTAAAGAATTAAACCATACAAGTTTGAAACAAAGGCAAACAATGCACTGATTTTTTTATCGTGAGAATGATGTCATAAAAGTATGGGTTAGTCATCATTTCATAAATCTGGTGCAATAACTATAACAAACGAATGAATTGTTATTTTAAAGCTGATAGGACCTTCAAATGAAATAACCAGAAAATTGATCAAGCTCAAGTCGTTAATTAGGCTTTCTAATACGCAGTGAACCCATTTCAGAGCATCAAGTCAAGCTTAAGATCGATTAGAGAATGAAAACCTAACATCAGCTAATACTGTATTTGTTATAGTTTAAATCAAAAATACAATAATGTATAGAGAAAAGGCTAAAATTATTTGTAAACAAAGAAAATAAACAGATTTATTAAAGTGGATACTTACATGACCACGGGTTTTGATCTCACAATTAACAGAATCACAATATAACAGAATCAATTCACCAGAGTAAAGAAGAACACCTCCATTCTCTTGATGTGCGTTATTTAGTGATCCCATATTTGTTTTAGAAATTTAGATGTGTTATTTCTCGAGGAATGTTATATTGATGTAAGTTGGTAACACGATCAAACACAATTACTCAATAAATGATTATTTCGATGTTGTTGACAAATAAAACAAGTTGACAAGTAAATGTTTTCTAGAAATTTACAGAAACATACGTCAGTCTATCTCAGTACATCGTAACCATGTACACTTAATATCAAACTGAACCGCTTCTTTTGAATTGATTCAGTTTTACATGCTTTTTGGTGATCAATGATTAATGCACATCAATTTAAAATAGTTGATCGGTTTTCATGATTGATGCCTTCAAAACTCAGTATTTTTTCTATACTCGATTGATTCAATAAAATTTTCCCAAAACATGGCTCATTTGGGAAAGGGTTTACAGAAAGATTACAAATGAGTCGATTCTTGAAAAGTAAAACTTAATATTAACAACTGATAATTTGAAAGATATCCTTCAAGTTTGGATTGGATTAGAATAGATTGAATTTATTATTTTGATTGTCGATTTCTGAATTTACAAGTGAATCCATAGTCACGATTGTTAACTATTGCATCGTCAAGTAAATTTACCTTAGATTTTGATAGGCCTTTCAAAATTATTGCCACTAAAAAATTGGAAACACAAAAAAAACAATCGATAGATAGATCAATGTATAAAAATATTTTTTAACACCCATAGAGAGAAATTGTAAATTGGAGAGGAAGATTACAACAATTAATAATTTGTTTTGTTATCATGTGACAAAAAGTCATTTGTTTTTCCATCAATAATTTTAAATAATTTTCGTTAATTAATTAATAACTTAATATTTGATGTTGATCATCATATATCCATTGTATAAATTTGTTAAAATTGAATATTCAATATAATAATGATATGGTCAAACTAATGCTTAAGTTTGCCGGTTTTAGCTGCTGTCCTTTGTGTAACCATTTTCTTTGTATTTTGATCTACTTCAGGTAGCTCATTTACATCGTCATCGGTACGTTTAGGTTTTTTAGGTTGACTCTTGAATGCTTTCTTTTTAGCCTGTTGCTTCTCCGTGGCTCTTTCTCGCATTCGTTTCAAATGGAATGTGATGAAATTCCACATCATCCATGCTTGTAGGAAGAATAATGTTAATAAGCAATTGATTCTATTCAAACAATCAGAAAAAACAATGAAATTAGAGTTAATGGCAAATGTTTCAACAGAAATGATACATTGGTAAAATGATTGAGTCCTTGACTTACCTAATTAATTGTGTATTGAAATTTCCCTCGAATAAGGATAAGGTACTCTTTTGATTAACAGCTAGTCCATACCAGAATGTCAAGACAGAAAGAGTGATTGATGCTAAACGTACAAATACGAATAAAACGTTCCAAAGCTTGAAGCTAGAGAATAAATTTGAGAGATATTAGTACAAAGTCTTAAAAATCTAAATAATTATTTGAAAGGAGACAAGTAGGCCGAAAATTAAGAATTCAATTCACATTAGCAAGAATTAACGAGGTTGTTTGAACAACAATTTGCTTATATTAACAAGAGATCAAAAATTCGCATCAATGTATTGATATTGGAAATACATGTTTATACAAAACATGTTGATTAATGGTGAAAAGCAAAATTAATGGCAGCTGGTATTAGGCTGATGATAAACAATTTCCGAAAAGATAGAAAACAGATCATCGACTTGGTAGATTAGAAAAAAAATGAATGTAAACTTTTTAGATGTACGAAAGATAATATCTTAAGTTCTATAGTCTTCAGAATCATGTCAACAAATCATGAAGTGTGAACATCGTTCTTTTGGCTCAAATTGAGTACATTTAAAGTTTTTTTTTGTAAAATATTTACTCACCCATATTCAGATAATGGTACTTTATCAGCAAAGTAGCACAGTCTGGAGAAATGGAATAAAGCCTCGACGGTGTAATGCAAGACAGAAAGGCACAATGCAATTCGCGTGAAGCTTTAAGAAAAGAGGTTTATCGGTTAAATAAAAAAAAGGTAAGTGTTCAAAAAATTGTTCAGACGTGGATAGCCATGTCATCACTTGTGATGAGATCGCTAAACAAAGAGACTAAATCAATATTTTATGCTACTTTAATAAGTAGCATGAACAAGAAAAATGACTTAAATTTTATATCTTTTTATATCTAATCATAAAGAGATATGGACACGTATGATTTATTGAAATAGGTACTTACTTTAACACATAAGCGGCAGCGAAGAAGAAGAGATAAAGACTCGAATATGTTATCCGTGGGCCCATTTCTTCTTTTTTAATTTTTTGCAAATAAAGTTCGGGAAAAGTGTGTAACCAGTATGATATTTGAATAATAAAGTAAAATTTAAAGATGTAACTCATGTGGTGATAAGGATAGTCAATCCAAAGTTTAGAGATAGACCAAAGATAGCCTTCTCTCCGGATAATCTCAATTGCCCAAAGTATAGAAACCAAATAGAAAGATAAAAGTTGACCACTTTCATTGAATTTACTGTGTTTAATTTTTGACAGGTGAAGCCGGCGGTTTAGTTTCTATGAAAGCAAAAAAATTGGAAGTTGGTTAATGTGAAACTTAGGAATTAGGTGAAAATCAACTTACATCAAGCAAATATTCTTGGACAACAGCGTGCATAACTATTGAAATTAAGAAATAGAAGAAAATCAAAGCCAAATCTTTAGTACCATATGAGTATAGAACCGTTTGCTCATGTAGTTCGGTAACATTATGGCTCATTACGATAAAAAGGCTAGCCAAAGGAGAAGTTGCCTAAAATTAAGGAAAAACGCATAATAAATTAAATCAATGAATCAATCGGATGATGTTACTTCTCTGTGAAAAGAATGCAACGAGGATGATCAATTTACAATTAAGTAGTTGGCAATAGTCACTTCTAACCTGGAAAAGTAGTCCAACGATGAATATCATGGCCACGCAAGAAACAATATCAGGATGATTTTGAATGAAAAATTCATGACTAAGAATTGGGGGATTTTTGACAACACCGGTGCGCCTTTTAACAGGCATTTTTAATTTAAAAACAATTGATTTCCTAAATCAAAGTAAACCAAAGCAAATTTAAAAGTCTAACTGTAGATAAAATTGGTTAAATACTGTTACAAGCTGTTCTGTTATAACAAGTTAAGTTTGTTTTGTTGTGCCCGGAAGGACGTGTCCGCGAATGTGCAGACATCTTACAGACTCTTATTATACAATATGCTTGCGAGGGAAATTTGTTTTTCAGGTAATCAATTGAATCTTCCTGTAATGATAAAATTACAATTTCTTGTAATAGCAATTGAGTTATAATTTTAAAGAAAATTTTAATTTCACAATTTAAAGTGAATCTGCTATTAACAATCATTTATTGATGGATATCATTCATTATACGCAAACAGATCAATGATTAACAGCAAACATAATTTAAAAACAAAAGAAAAATTTTAATACAAATTAATTCAAATTGTTATTTGAAATTTTTTTGATGCTCAGATTTATCTTGGGATTTCGTTTCCTATTAAATTTCTTCAATGAGTAACAATTCTGGGGAATGAAACAATTTTTCAAATCATTTTGATTAAGACTCGTTTTTCAAGATGTCTTCACATTAAACGCTCTTTTTAGAAGCTCTGGTTATTGCTAATGGATTACTCGATCAGAGAACGAGAAATAAATCAATGCTGATTATATTCATCGTAACTTTGATATAAACCATTAGCAATAAACTTTTAGAATCAAAAGTACACCTTATTTTGGGAGAATTTGATTAAAAATTAAAAAATTTTAATATAATCCCGGTGCTTTACTATTTGATCACTAGATGGCGTTGGAAATTGTTTTCAGAAAAGGCCCGGCTTACTAAGCCGCTTTAAAAGATATCTTTTACTCCAAACAAATTGTGATTTTATAAACACTGTCCTCTTCATTATCGCGGTCATCTGTCTTTATACATTTATTACTCATAGGATTTATATCTTGGTGTTTCTTATTTTGGTCTATTTAATTTCATCTTATGACCAATAGTGATATCAAAAAAGAGCCTGATTGTACACCTTGCCGCTTAGTTGGTGCATCAGGAATCACAGCTATTGGTGCTTACATACTTAGCACTTCTCCTAAAACAAAAGTTCATCATACTCTTATTAGACTCTTTGGTTGCTCTTTTATTGGTCTTGGTGTTTACCAATTTTACAATTTAAGTAAGTGACTTTTACTTCAGCTTGATATTTTTATGATGAGTTCTAACTTTTCGTTATTTTAAATCTTCTATATTCAGTTCAAGATGAGCGGAACAAAAAGAAAGTTTGATGGACATGAAGAAGAACGGAACAAGAGACTTTCTACAGTGATTGCGGCTCATTATAATAAGATAGAAGAGAAGGGAATCGAGTCACGTAAGGAATCTAGAATCTACTATCTTCGTGCCTTCAACAATTGGGTTAAAGCAGTCATTATAGCTCAGGCTCTCGCTCAAGTCGATAAGGGAATGAATAAACAAAAACAATCAGAAAGAAAAATAACAGTTCTGGACATTGGATGTGGTAAAGGAGGTGACCTAAGAAAATATCGTCTTCACGGAGTAGCTAATTTGGTTTGTGTTGATATAGCTAACGAATCTCTGAATCAATGTCAAGAAAGGTACAAAGAGATGAGAAAACTCCCCAAGTCAAAAGAACCTTTATTTGAAGCATTTTTTATTGAAGCTGACGCAACTCGTGACAACTTAAATGCGAAAATGCAGGCTACTGAAGGCTTGATTGAAAAGCTCGGAGATAAAGAACAATTCGATTTGGTCAGTAGCCAATTCACTTTCCATTATTGTTTTGAGAGCTTACCTCAGGCAGAGAAAATGATTGAAAATATAGCTAACAACTTGAAAAGTGGAGGCTATTTCATCGGAACAACACCTGATGCTTATTATATTGTTTCTAAAGCTCGTAAACATGGACCCTCATTTGGTAATGAGGTTTATTCAGTGACGTTTGAGGATTCTTCTATTTTCAATAGTGATAAAAAAATTCCTTTGTTTGGAGCTCGCTACAATTTCCATCTTGATGGTTGCGTTGATTGTCCTGAGTTTCTGGTCCATTTTCCAACATTTGAGAAAATAGCTTTGAAATATGGGTTGAAATTATTATTCAAGCGGCGCTTTGAAGATTTTTATGACGAAAACCTTAAAAAAGGAGAAGAATCAGAACTATTAAGAAAGATGGGTGCCCTGGAAACTTTTCCTTCTTTCCATGGAAATCTCAAAGGCTCTCCTGCAGATTATGTTCACGCGCGTCAATACATCCAAGAACGTCACGTTCATAGAGTTGGAACTCTTTCTCAATCAGAATGGGAAGCAATAAATCTGTATCTTGTATTTGTATTTCAAAAATCGTAATTATTAAAATAAAAGTTAATTATAAAAGTTGCTATCCGATGCAGTATTTTTAGGTTAATTAAAGCTCTAACCTACTCCAATAGCTTTTGTCTGACTTTTTCATACAAATTTCAACTTTAGAGGGTGTAAACTCAACAGAACTGTTCTCTGTATCAATAATACCAAACAAGATGAAATCATGGCTGAAAATTTTCTCATCCTTATCACCAAATGTTATAGCAACACTTATTTTGACTCGGTTAGCTTTGATTAAGGATTTATCTGGTAATGGAAATTTCGAGTAAATCGTTAAGACAACATTATTACCAGTTTGATGCCAATCATATCGACATGATGTTTTCAAACTATCAGAATTTTCATTGGTTTTTAGTTTAAACCACAAATGACTGCTTGATTCACATCCTTCTTGAGATAAAAACGTCTCGAAATCACTAGTTTTCTTTCGACAGCAGCTCCAGTACTTCATACCCTCATGAAAAATAGGAGTACCAGGGTGAAATAAACATTCCTCTTGGTTTGAATGAGGTCCTTCATAACTCTTTTTGCATCCATTATTCTTACAACTAGTCCCTATTTCAACTTTAGCAACATCACTTGAATCTGAAAACAAAAAAAATAGAAATTTTTTAGTTCAGTTGCAAAATCCTCTTCCCTAAATTCATTTACATGTTGGCAAAGAGTATAACTCTTACTCCTTGAATGTTGGTGATATTGAACTGACCTGTCAAACCTTTCTGGGTAGGATTTTCACTTTTCATTTTATCGAGTTGTTTCGTCAAGGTTGGTGAGATTACAGTTTTCAAGATAATCAAAGGGTCGTCTGCAGATGGTCGTTCACCAATATCATTGAGATTTATCGGCTTGTTAAGGATCTGTTCCATGCAAGATGATAAATTTTCCACAGACTCGTCTGTTGAAGATGACGATTTAACTGCTTGTTGTGGTTTCACATTACTGTGTCTACCACGGGTGCAACCGGGAAAATTTAGAAATTCTGTAAAATCGGTAGACTTTTTCGAGCAACACGACCAGCTCTTGAGGGCGTCGTGAAAAATAGGAACTCCTGAATGATAGGTACAAGCGTCATCTGAATTTTCTAGTTCACTGTAAGTTTTACCGCAGGCAGCATTATAGCAACGAAGAGAATGTTCCTGTGATGTAGAACACATTTCGCGTAATTTGGAGGATCTCCTAAATAGGCATAAATAAAAGAAATTAAATTAACAAAAAGGATTTATGAAAAAAACAGATAAAAGTTAGCTTTCAAACATTTCACGATTGTATCAACAATTTGAAGGATTTCCCAGCAAGTTATTTATCATTTGGGTTTCAGTCTTATATAAGTGCTGCTTATGTTATTGGGAAAGTCAGCTACCTGGTGGGAATAGCTTATGCCTTTGACTGGCGCCATGCTGCTGATGATTTAAAGGAGTCTGGTTGCCTAGTAACTTTTTTCACATGTTTTTTTTTCATTATTCAAAGGTAATTATGTCTTAATTTGTTAATTATCGCTTTTGGTTGATTAATTAATTTTATTTCCTGTTTTTCTGTGTCTACATTATGTGTTGTTAATTTTAAACGATTCAGTAACAAGGTTCATCTTTATCTTTGTCAATCTTCAGGTGCTTTTCGGCTTTCCTTTCAGTTTATTTTTGATTGTAATTAAGGAAAACAAATAATTATGGAAAATATCAAAGTTGCCAAACAAAATTTAAGAACTTCAGCTGCTCTACCAATGTATAAACTGCCATGTAGAGAAATGGAATTCGATAAAATTTATGACTTCATTATGGATCGATATCAAGCTCAAAACGGAGGGTTAGTAAAATTCATATTTTTAATTGTTCCGTTCTTTTAAAAATTCCTTTTCTCACTTATTACTTATTAGGTGTTACTATCTTGCTGGTGTACCTGGGACAGGTAAAACTGCTACTGTTAGAGGTGTTCGGAGATCAATTGAAGAGAATTTCAAAAAGTTGAAAATCAGAAAAGGCTCTCTTGTGTTTATCGAAGTAAATGGGTTAAAATTGACGGATCCTTACCAATGTTACTCTTCCGTTTATCATGTATGAACTCAATAATCATATTCATTGATGATTGTTAGATTATAATCTATTCTTTCTCATTACAGGCATTAACAAAAAAGCGAACATCAGCTAAAAAGGCCGAAGAATTATTACATGATATGTTCTGTTCACCTAAATCTAGTGATCCTTTTGTGGTTTTAATTGTTGATGAGCTTGATTCTCTGCAAACCTCTAAGCAAGATATACTCTATCATCTATTCGACTGGCCATCTAGACCGAGCTCTAAACTAGTAGTCATCGCTATTGCAAATACTCTCGATTTACCTGAACGTATAATGGATAAAAGAGTCGTATCTCGAGCTGGCTATGGACGACTTGACTTCCATCCCTACAAATTCGGAGAGCTACAAAGTATTGTCGCGGCTCGCCTCAAAGGTACAAAGGATTTTTTTGCGTCAGACGGTATCCAATTAGTTGCTCGGAAAGTTGCATCAATTTCTGGTGATGCTCGTAAAGTTTTGGATATTTGCAGACGATCCATAGAAATTGCTGAAGAAGAATGGAATGGTGTAGGCAAAATAGAGGTTAATCGTAATCATGCATTGAAAGCTGTAAATGAGACAACTTCAGCACCGAAAATGGTATACATAAGAAATGCATCAGAATTTGAGAAAAAACTTTTAACTGCTATTATCAAGCATTTTCAAGTGTCTGGGACAGAAGAAGGCTTTTGTATGGATATCTATCGATATTTTGTTGATTTATGTGAAGCTGATGATATATCTGATGTAAACTTTTCTGAGTTTCTTGAGGTAGCTCAAAGTTTACATGAATCTAGATTGATTATTTTGGAATCAGATAAAGTGGATAGCCAAAGACGTATTCGTCTCATCGTATCTTCTGAGGATGTTGACTTTGCTTTAAAATTGGATAAAAATTCAATTGATCTATGATATTTATTCTTCTTATTCTGTTTCTCGTCTACAGACCCTCAGTCTTTCGCCTCATTCAGCCTAAAATCGTGATTCTTCCTGCCATTTCATTTGAAAATAACTATTTTTATATTTATCATGGACTCAAAACGTTACAATTTTGTAAACAAATCACTTTCAACAACTCTTTTCTCATGTAATTATGATCATTTCTTTTTCATTTTTTACAACCCTATTCATTTAAAGAATGTCTAAATAAATTTGACTGACCAAAAGCTTCCATTTCTTTTGTAACTTTATGTTTTTGCGTCATTATCTTTTAAGTATAACTCATAAGTCTTCGACCTTTTCCGTGTTCTACCGAAATTTCATACCATAGATAATTCAATGCCAAATCAATTCTCTCGTTTTCTGCTCTTCTCTTTTGGGTTAGCTTTTGATCTCTTAATTTTTCTGACTTCTGATTTGTATTTACTACCAAAATCCTCAAATTGTTGAGCTTACAGGTTTCTTTTACATTTATCAATAAAACGATTTGCTAGACGGTAAATAATCAAAACCGATGAATTTTGGTTGTTAACTGTATTAAGACCTTCTTTGTTCTAGCACTAGATAGAGGCTATTGCGGCCAGTAAGCCCGGAAATGTGTCAAATATGTAGTTACCTTATATCAATAATTATAACTTGCTCTTGTCATTGACAAGAGTAACTGTCAACACTATTCTTTACATCCAAACCGGCTTATTGATTACTTGTGAGATAAGGTTAGAAAAATAAAGTCTATTATTGATCAATTTGATTATAAGACTTATAAGTATTAAGATCGTAAAAATTGATAAAAGTTTGAAATTATCAAATTAAAAAGATGAAAAATCCATGTTTTTGACTCTTTGTAGATGAAAATGGTTGAAGATGGTGAAGTATTATTTACAAATCTGGTCTACAGCTGATTGTATAACTAGGTTTCATCACTTGAAGTGTTCAAAAAGGATGATGGTGCTTTCTTCATATTTAGATAACTAAATAACTGCTAATCATTTCACTTTACATTCAAGCAGTCATGATTTATTATCAACATTTTTGTTGACAGTTTCAAAGTTCAATTTATGTGATCCATCTCTATCATAGCGTTATTTGCAATAATCTTCTCTATTTTGTCATACCGTTCCTTGGTTGGCTCATCATTACTTATTTTGCTTGTTTGATTTCACTAGATTTCTTCACTCGTTTTTGGAATAAATGTGATGACCGAAAATTTTCACAATCTGCTAACTTCCAATATACTGAATAATTAAGAGCATGAATGGTAATAAAGACGCTCAGGTAAGAAATCATTTTTGCTGTTTGCCCTACCTCAACATCATATATTTACTACCTATTAGTATTGTTTATCTTAATATACTGATTATGCTTTCCATGAGTTGGTTATTTTAGTGAGATTTTATTGAATAGCACCTATTAGCAACATAATAAAATAACTCTGCCAATCAACCAATAGCCCCCAATGAATAAATTGACTCTAATTTTAGTGTCTTGTTATCTATTTTCTTGATGAATTACATGATTTGTTTAGGGTCTTGGAATCAATGATAATAATCGAGCTCATCCTGATGACGAATATGAAGATGATGGATCAGGAATAGAGGACGATGCACCCGAAAGCTTCCAAGCCATGGTGGTTACAGAGCCTCCTTGGGCAACATTTCCTGATTTATTGAGAGTACCGACAAGCATCAACAATAATATAGCAGCTGAAGATGATTCACCCGAGAGTTTATCATTCGCTGCTACTCAGTCATTCAGATCAAATGAATCAAGCTCTGGTTATGTAAATTTCTTGATTTTTCAACATTTTTCACCCTCAAATTAATCTATTTTTCATTCATCTACAGAGATCAACCGCTGCCAATCCATCAAACCAAGCATCATCTAGTAACACCAATGCTCCAATAAGAAGTTCATCATCGAGAAATCGTCCCTCTTTTACCCATCCAGATGTATCTCAAACTGAACAATCTAATGTACCCAGTGCCTCATCTCAACCAGGATCATCTTCAACAACACCCGTGGAGCCCTCGGGGACAGCATCTTCGTCGAGCTCTAGGTCATTTTTACCTAATAATTCAATGTTTAATGCATCAAGTCGATATCCCTCTAATTCCAGTCAACCTGATCATACAAATCGAATTGTTCATCATCCACATCGCAGTTCGATTAATAGTTTAAACCTCTCATCTGCGTTATGCTCTTCATCTTATTCTTTTCATCCTCCTTCATCATCAGCCTCTCCATCTTCTTCTTTAAACATTTCCTTAGCTCCCATAGCCAGTGCATTAGCTCAGGTCCAATCATCCGTTGATGCTTTAAGCAAACAGGTTAATGAAAGATTGGATGCATTGGAAGGTCGGATAAATAATTTAGATCTTACATCTTCATCTCTTAATTATTCATCATGCATTTCAGCTGATAATAATGCAGCAAATTCTGAAACCAAAAGTTCCAGAGAAATCCACCCAGAATCTTTGAAAGTCTTCATTAAAGAACAAAGAAAGGTGAGTTTTCCAGACATGGCTACTTAGTTCTGATAATAATAATTGTATTTTTATTTATATTTTCAGGAAATGCATAATGAACGTCGTGCATTTTTATTATCATTTGCTGAGGCTTTAAGAAATGCAGCTGAATCTGTAACTCGACCAGAACCATCAACTTCTGGGCTCAATGGACCTAAATTTTGATTGCAGCGCGCTAAATTGATTGTTCAAAACTTAAGTAGTCAAAATAATAAAAATGAGTTCTACACAAATCTAGACAATTTAAAAGCACAATAAATTTGTAAATGTGTTCTGTGTTAATTCATCAAAAAGACAATAATCAAAATAATATAACCGTTCAACCTATAATTTAAAAGTCCTTTAGTAATAATATTCATGATACAAAAATCAAATAAAAAATCATCCTTTTAATAAAAAAAAGATTACGATAAAAATATCAGCAAAAGATAATTTCAAAATTCAAAGATTATTCAAGTAAAAAAATTAAAATGTAAACTTCATAAAGTTAGTTTGAAATGTCAATAAATCGTAACTTTAAAGGACCAACTGGAACGTTAATGAAACGAGTTTTAGCTCGGAATGGCTCATCATGATCAAATTCAACGCGAAAATTCCTTAAAATTTTGGCAATTAAAATGTAAAGTTCTAATTCAGATAAACGTCTTCCTATACACATTCTAGCTCCATAACCGAAAGGAAGCATAGCAAATGGTGACGCTTTTGGCCAGTTTCCTCGTTCCAAAGTTAACCACCTTTCAGGGATAAACTCATTAGGTCGAGGAAAGTTTGATTCCTGCATACAAGCCACTTGATTTTGAACAATTATCATGGTTCCAGTTGGTATATGAAAACCTCTGATTGTCATATCTCGAGTTGTAACTCTTCCAGTTCCAATTGAAAAGGGATTTATTCTCATTGATTCTTTAACACAGGCCTTTAAATATTTCATTTGCTGAAGACTTTCAACGGAAATAGGTTCTTTGCCACTCGGGAATATTTCAAATAATTCTTTGCGAACTTGATCTTGACATTTCTGGTTACATGAAAGATGATAGAGAGCAAAAGCGACGACAAAAGAGGTTGTATCGAAAGCAGCCAAGAACAAATCCATTATTATTGTAAAAATATCTTTTTTTGTAGCTTCGGGTTGATTAAACAATTGAGACACAATAGATTTGGCTCCATGAATAGAAGTTGAATTGTGATCAATGTTTTCGATGAATTTAGATATTATATCACCCATGACATCCTGTGATTTAACCAACCTTTTATAGTCAGAGGTTGGAAAATATTGCCACAGGTTAGTTGCTGCCAATTCAGTAGCCATAATTGCTTCATGAGTCTCATGAATCGCTCCAAATAAAGCTTCACTTTCACTTGTTCCATTGAGATTCAGACATCCAAGTTGTTGACCAACAAATACTCGTCCATTGGTTTCTAGAGCCCACCTGTAGAGATGCGGCATTAAATTTTCAACTGAACCGGAGAGACTTCTAATTTCAAGTATATTAGATATTAATTGGTCAGCTGTCAAACTAATTTCAGGAATAAATTGATTTATCTGGGATTGATTGAGTAGCATCGACTGCACAAGCTTCCTAGATCGATACCAAGCATCTCCATTTTCTGTGAACATTCCACCAGATGAATAAATATGAGGTCTATCATGACGGTATTTGCAAAGTGCTCGGTGTGAACGACGATAAGGATATTTTCCTTCATTGCGAAAAACCGAGTCCATGTCAGAAGGATCAAAGACATGAAGGATACTGAATTTTCCAAAAAGTACTTCTCGAACCAATGGACCATATTTCTTTAAATTGGCCTCACAATTTTCTGGCGTTTTTTCAATATCATATTCGCCGATATAAGGTAAATAACGCCAAGTATTCCCTATTAAGGGCATGGGCTTAGGACCGGGAATTTGGTTATAAGGTTTTGCTTGACATACCGTGTTTGGAGACGTAAATGAGCGAGTTGATATTATTTTCGCGGCTTTTCCAGGTGATAAACTTGAGTGGCAGCTTAAAGATTTGATCAAATGATGATTGGCTACCATTTTTCTTGGTCGATGTTGATTTCAGCTGAATTGACACGTCAAAATGAACAATCTAAACTAGATATTGAGATGTTAGAAATTCAAGTTATTTGACCTTGTAGTAAGAATATGAACTCAAGCTAAAGTTGGGTAAGTCGTCAAATGAAAGTTGAATTTCAACTAGAAAATAGTTCAAGATGAAAATTGTCGCAAAGATGTTATCAATAATTTCATAAGCGATAAATTTACTAACTATTGTAGTTTATAATACTTACTTGTAAATGATTACATCTGAAATTCAGTGCAAAGATTATATGCTTAAATCATTCAAAGTATCATTGAAAACTAAACACAGCTAACAGGAACATTAAGGCAACGAACTATGAACAATGGCATGAAATGATGATATATTAATCGGAATCATGAGAATACTCACTAACAATCAGTTCCATTAAATAGCAAGATTGATGACATTACTTTTAACAGAGTTTGTTCAAAATAATTTACTTTAACACTACAATGGTCAATATATCGGATAAATCACAATTTACTTTATATCGATTAAATTGGTCGATACATTGATTGGTTTTAAAGATTGTTTGTTACTGCTCAGCTTGCAACCAGATTGTACAAACTTGATTTTTTATTGTGAACCATTTGATATTGAATGATTATTTTTTTAAACGGAAAATTAGTTCTCAAAATTTCTATTATTGTTTCGTCGCATGGCCTTTTTGCTTAATTTTTGTTGTATTCTTAAATTATGATTCATTGAATTGTTGACTTAAAATTGTTATCATCTTCTGATGGAGGAAAAACAAGAAAGCTCTAAAGGACCTAGTAATGGTGATGCTGAATCTATCGAGCCTCCAAATAAAAAATTTAGAGCAAGTGATAATGTTGATATTCGCTTATTGATCTCTCGTAAGGAAGCTGGTGCCATAATTGGTAAAGGTGGTGTTAATATAAACCATTTACGTAAAACTTACAAATCAAGTGTAACCATACCAGATTGCCATGGTCCAGAGAGAGTTTTGAACATTCTTATTTCATTAGACTCACTCAATGATTTCATGATGGACATGATTGGTTACCTTGAAGATAAAAGTAATGACAAGGAGGTTGAACTTAGACTTTTGATTCACACTTCGATCGCCGGTGGAATCATCGGTAAAGCTGGTAAAAAGATCCGTGAATTGCGGGAACAAACTAAAGCTGCCATTAAAGTTTACAGTCAATGTTGTCCTAACTCTACTGAAAGAATATGTGCCATTTCTGGGGGTCCAACTGTTGTCGCCAACGCAGTAAAGGTTATTTTGGATATTATTCTGTCCACTCCCCTCAAAGGCATTGTCAAGTTATATGATCCTCGAATGAGTGATCCATTTGTTATCAATGCTGTTGATTATGGTGGTATAATTGATCCTTCTTATGCTACAAACATCTATCGCAATCTTACCCGAGTTGCAGCCACACCGTTAGCAATGGCTCGGAATCGTTTGGGCGAAGTTTGGGATCCTAGGAATGCTATTCATGTCCCTATCACAGATTTGCGAGCTGCAGCAGCTGATCCTAAAGCATGGATTCAAGCCAGTCATCAGTATGCTCCCTATGCACCCCAGATGGGCCCTGAAGTTACTGGAGCTCCAATTCCAACCACAACTGATCTTTTTCAGAGATGGGTCACTCCTGTTAAATTTTAAAATAACACGTAAACAATAAAAAACCACAACAGAAAACAATTCTATTTTTACCGAATTCACCTCATCTTGGTCACAAAACTCTTTTTTTCTTCATTTATGATACCTCGCTTTTTGCTATTAAATCATGAAATGTTGATCGAGTTTAAATCCGACTTCTACCTTAAAAGCACCACTTGCTCTTCTACAATCATTACAATAATTACTGAAATATACGACAACATATAACCAGCTAATGCAACTTAACGACAATCACTTAATCTACCATCTGTCGGTCCGTCTGATCATCTGTCTTCGCTATTTCGGGTAATCATCAAATTGATGATTTATTGGCCATGCTTGATGTTTTAAAAATAGATTTGTTTTATTTGTTAAGATTGGATAATATAATTCGATAAAAAATATCCTTTAGATGAAACAAACATCGTCAATATACAATATTTGGGACCTGATATTAAGAATGAGTTCGATGAACAAATCTCGTAAATGTTTTCAAACAAATGAACTTATACACAAAAATATCTTTTATATAAGGATCATTATTTTTTCGTCAACTATCATCGTTTCTTAAAAGTGCTTTCATTCACCCCGAATGTTCAATGTAAACTTTGAATTCAATATTGTGAGCTTTATCAAATGTGATATCTTTTTATAAAATGTTATGTTTCAGGGATAAATCCTGTTTATCCTTACCTTTGTTAGCATCAGAAGTGAATATGATATTAAGTAAGTATTTCAATGTAAGATACTCACAGATATGAATTTGAACTAACTTATTGTTTGAAAGTCAATTTGAGGCCTTAATGATAAATTGTAAAACGATTGTCTCATTTTTGTTCTACTTTTTCAGTTCACCAAACATCTTGTATCCTATTGAACAAATATTTAAATATTTTTATTGTACTTCATTATAATTTGAGTGTATGTAAATGTTGAATGAAAATTAAATTTAAATAATCTAAATGGAATCTCATCGTAGAATTTTCATAATAATATCTAAATCATTCAAATTACATTGAAGCAAAAGCAACTATTGATTCAACTTTGTAAAAATAAAATGATTTGTATCAAAGAGTAAAGGAGTAAAGGACTCCTTTAATCTTTGATTTGTATTATATTACAATTAGTATTGTAAACAATATTTACCATTATTAGTACAGATTTAGGTATCTAATTCATTCACTTGAGCCTTTCTAGATTTGACCATTTTTAAATGGATAAGCAAAAATATAATACTATGGTTGCTAATGACAACAGAAATTTTTGTCAAAATTTTAGCAAAAGCTTCAGTAGCTAACTTAATTGTTTACTTTTCTAAATCACCTGTTTATCGTTTAATTGACTTTCTAGTAGTATTTTGTTTTTTTGACCTACTGTTAATTTATTAAGGTTTTGGCTAATACTTCTCTCTCTCTGCTTTTTACTCTTCCTAAGTTAAGCCTCATCCATTTGTTTCTCATCAACATCTTAAGACGCTTGTATCAATAATTTTAATTGTTTTTGTATCCATCATACTATATAATCGTCCCAGTCTGTTTTTGAAGACTCATCAACCTCAATTCATAACTCAGGTATGTAAATTTTTAATAATCTGTGACTAGTTATGGAAGTTATTGAATTAATTCATGGTTGTTAATTTTAATGCTTCTTGTCTATCAATTTAGATTCAATATGGACGGTTTAATGGCTGAAATAGCCAAAAAAAGAAAAGAGTTGACCGATAAAAATTTGATTGGTCCACAAAAAAAGTACTTCAAGCGATCTGAACTGCTTGCCAAAGAAGAGGAAGAGCACAGGAAAAAAATAGCAGCCTATAGAGGTAAACTGAACCAAGCTGATAATGCTGTTGATTCAGTCGCACCAGTTTCTGTATCTGCATCGAGTACAAGTAAGAATTTCATTTGCAACTTTGATTTAAATCGTCTATATATATTATTTCAAAACATCTCTTCTAAATTTTGATTGTATCGTTTCATTATTTTTTAGGTAGCGATTTGAAAATTCTGCCACGAAAAGATGTGATTCGACAGCTGAGAGAACGAAATCAACCTATTCTTCTATTTGGTGAGACATTAGTGGAAGCATTCAATCGGCTACAAAAACTAAAACTTGAAGAGCCTGAACTTGAAAAAGGATTCCGTAATGATTTCCAGGAAGCCATGGAAAAGGTCGATCAGCAATATCTGAATGATTTACTAAAATCTAAAGATAGGGGCGAGGAAAAGGACAAGAAAAAGGCTAATGATGTCAAAGTTGAAGATATGAATACAACTATTGATGAAATCAGAGCTTTGGCGGTTAATCTTGGGAAAAGACGCGATGATAAAAGTCAAGATTGTAACATTATTTGTACATTATTCAAATTTCTTCTTGAACTATGGGGTAAAAAATTGAACAGCAGAGAGGAAGAGGAGAAAACATCGACACAAGGCAAAATAGAGTCAGCAACTTATACACAAACTCAAGCCTATCTAAAACCACTTTTCAAGCAACTCAAAAATAACAAAGTAGCTGATGATATTCTTAAACATTTGACATTAATTGTCAAATATACACTCGAAAGAGATTATGTTAAAGCGAATGATGCCTATCTTCGAATGGCGATTGGTAATGCACCTTGGCCTATTGGTGTTACTATGGTCGGTATTCATGCTAGAACAGGTCGTGAAAAGATTTTTTCACAAAATATTGCTCATGTTTTAAACGATGAAACCCAACGAAAGTATATTCAAGCATTGAAAAGATTAATTACAAAATGTCAAAGATTTTTCCCTGCGGATCCATCTCGATGTGTTGAATATAATGCGATTTAATTCTCGAATATTTTATATATTTTTTCACTTCATTTAAACTGTCCATATTTTCTTGTTGAACATGATTGACTTGTCTCATAATAATTGTGTAAATCAATTGATGGAGTAATAACAACCTCTAAATCAAAATCTCACCCAGTAATTTTGTCTCGTTGTACTTTTTCATTTTCTCAGTCTTTGAAGTTTATCTCTTTGATTCTCAGACAATCAATTGCAATTTACAATTATTGTATTTAATTTCAAAGCTATTTGCCAAAAGTATTCATTCGTATGACTGAAAAAGTTGCGAGTGATTTGTTTACATTTAAAACATTTAAAATTGGTCACCAAAAAGTGTTAGCTTTACAGGGCCATCTGACGGCATTATATAAATGAATTGAAAAAAATCAAAAATTTTCATGATTGATAATATTAATGCTAGGCGATCGATCTTCATTTGCCAGCTTTATCGAACAATTTATCTTTGTGGAGAATGGCTTCAAATTTGTTTGTTTGATTCTAATTAGCTGGACCATAACATTTAAGAGCCCGTGATCATAATTGACTAACTAGAGGGAATTGTGACTTGTCAGTTGTTGGTTACCCTTAGAGATGTGTTATTGTTTAAAACTACATTAGTGATTTTTTATCAACATCACCATTTGAACATTAATTAGTTTGTTTTATTGACACAACTATCAAACTTCCTTTATAACTGATTGAACAATTGCAAGTATCATTGGATTTGATCATCAGATCTCATTGTTTTACTCTACGATCTTTCTCAGGTAACTACAAATATTCATAATAGCAATGCTTTTCATATTGCTTTTTGTTTTTAAGACAACTCATCTCAAACGCAATCAATCTCACCATTTTGTTTATTGACTGTATTGTTTATATTGTTGCTATTTTTTAGCTTTCAAGCGTTATCTACTGGATTAATTTGTTGATTTCCGTTTTTTCTTTGGACATATACCAAAGAGATCCCAAGTAATGATTCTGAGGCCTTTTCAACTGCTAAGCTGTGACTGACCAAGAAGTAAAATACAGAGTATTTGGATTTTTTAACAATTTTTTACTCTATTTATTAATTGTGTATCAAATTTCACGAAATTATCAACATGGACCAGCAATCTGCCATCCTTGAACTTGATAATGCCCTTGCCATCGACATGTCTGGAGCAGATTTGAACACTGGATCAGCAGCTAATGAATTGCAATTTAAAGACTATCCTAGAGAAGCAAGCGGTTCTAGTAATTTATTACCTATAGGAAGCAAACAAAATTTCGCCAATTCTAGAGGTGATGATGGACCAACCGATGAAAATGAAGACGCAGGTTTAATGGCAAACAATACAAAAACTAAAGCACCTGCTAGCTTCTGGCAGTTAAATTATTTTTCACAATATTTCAATGTGACAACACAGGATGTTTTAGCAAGAATTTTATGGTCAGTTTTACCAATCAAATCAGCTACTGGTGCCAACTATATTGAAAGGCATATTCAAAATAATGCTGACATTTATGGACCTTTTTGGATAAATGTTACTTTAATTTTCTCAATAGCTATATTTGGTAATATAGCAAATTATCTATCAACTAGCGGAGAGCAAGATTCATGGCATAATGATTGGAATAAGCTTGGTAAGATTTTTTCGGATTGTGTTATTTCAGTCGTTCCATCTGAAAACAAGCCTAGTTCAAATGAAAAAAAACCTAGTATTGGCAGAGAAAACCTCATCTTTCTGGTTTCTCTCATTTGAAATTGGTTTTATTTCATCTGGAACTTTGATTGAAAAATCGTTATTACAAGGCTTAAAGAGAAAATAATTTTTAATTTTATCCTTTCTTTTCAGGGTTAGCCGCTAGCAGCGTATTTAGTTACACTTTGTTCGTCCCCGTATTACTCTGGTTCTTTTTCTGGTTCAGAGGCTGTACAATCACCTACACACTGTTCGAGATCATTTGTGCCTATGGCTATTCATTGTCTGTCTATATTCCTATTTCGTTTTTGTGGATAATTGAGATTCGTTTATTGCAATACATTCTAGTCATTGTGGGAGCTTTTCTGTCCGGTAGTGTATTAACAATGTCATTTGCACCGATCGTTAACAGTGACCCATCACAGACTTTTAAAACTTCTTACTTTATGCTTCTACTGATTATTGGGCTTCATTCCTTGATTGCTTTCTCATTTTTATTTTATTTCTTTTGAATCTATTTCAAAGTATCAACACACTCATCTAAATGAAAGATTCTACAAGCTAGATGTGTATATTTTTTCCAATTAAAATTATAAAATTACAATAAAAACAGTATACTGAATCAGTGATTTTGCAGGTGTTGATCATCTGCTGGATTGAATTGACTTGATTCTTCAATTTTTATTATGAATATTAATACATTTATGTAAAAATCAAAGTGCGTAATATCATGAAAATCTGTTAAAGCCATGTAACATTGATTCCAGGAACTTTCAATGATCTAATTATTTACGATCTAAAAATTTGAATTATGAAATATGAGTAAAAATATTCTTTAACTATTTTCAAACGATTTTTGTCTAGTAAATAACGAAGAAAATTCGTATTTAAAATCTGTAATTTCGATTTATTTGAGATTAAGTCCACATAAAAGATCTTTAGATATTAAACAAAACAATCAACCACGATTGGATATGTAAAAACAAGTGAAAGGATAAAATTTTTAAATTAAATTTGGTGGATTGTAAAGTCATCAGAAAAAACATCCACACCTTTGTAAATCAGTAAAATTGACTGTTTGAGATTCACTCCAATTATTTGGAATAGGATATATTTTGTTCAATTTTTTGAATAATGAACACTCTCTTGATTTGGTTGATTCATCGATCAACTGGCGAAGGTCGTTGATTTCATCCAATTGTTGATGATTGCTTTTAAACCAACCATCATAGTCTCTAATAAAATCAACAATTTCTTGTCTGAGGATCGCTCGCAAGTTTCGAGTCAATCTAATTTGACTATTGAGTCCGTCATTAATCACAATTTGATAAATAATTTTGGCAAAAATAGCTATCATTCGAGTTTTCAGTCGGTTAATATGGTTGGATCTTGAATAATCAGCCAGTAATTCTAAATTGGGTTCCATAATAAGACGTTTCACATATGGAATGATTGGCTCATTTTGATTAACTGCAAAAGAAAATATTAAAATTAATTCAAATTCAACAAGTCTTGTAATGTAAATTAATTTTAACAATTGACGTGTTAATCTTACTTGAAGTTGCTGCGTTTTTCTGTTGACTGATTCTATGAGCGAAAGTCTGAAGTGCTAATTTCTGTGTACCATTGATTATTTTCTCTTCCAATATCTCGATTATATTATTTAACAATCCCAAAATTTCATTATGGCTAAAGGGTTGTTTGTCCAGTGAAAGTGATTTTACTCCCTTGTCCAGAACCTTTGGAAAAGCAACAAATTAATTAATGAGTATATTCAGTATATTCAGACATTAATATTTAGTCTGAAAAACTTGTAAACAAACCTGGATATCTTTGAAAAATTGGATTAAATCTTTCAGGGGTTTTCTATTAGATAGATTACTAGTGTGAGTTATCATTAATCTTAAGAGAGAATCAATTTGTTTGATTGAGCAAATCTGATAAACACCGAAGGTTCCATAATCCATCTCTTGATTAACTATCGAAATTAAATTGTTGATCAAACATACAGCATCAGGGACATAATTTATATTCTCGTTACGACCAAATACTTGGTTATTCCGATCGGAATTGATTCGATAGATTTCTAAATAAGCTGAAATTAGAAAAAAATATTGTAGCAATCAATAATTAAGCGAGGCTTTTTGAAAGATTGGACTTACTTTTAAACCAGCTTTGATCAGTTAGATGATAATTCAATACATTTGAAATTTTCTTAATCTCCTTGATAGCTTCGGGTGGAAAATCATTTTCTTTAAGACAACTATCGAGCGAATCAAAAACTAGCTTTTGAAAGGTTTTCGGTGTGAAAAAGATTGGCGATGAAGCTGAAGTCATTAAAACGTTGTTTTGGGCAAATAATATATCATCAATTAATTGTCCGGCAAAATTTTTCCAAAATACAGGCCAATAAAGATAGTCATAACAATTTGATGAATTTAGGATAGGATTATTGGAAGCACTTGAATATTTTATTTTAGACCAAGTTGCTCGAGTTGGATTGGATTTAGCAGCTGTTGACGGAGCTGACAACGATGAACTACTTTGATTTATTTTATTACGGGATTTGATTGTGGTGTTTGATGAAGATGAGAAAGGGGAAATGTTTGTTGATCCATTTGATGCAGTTTGCAATAGGAATGATAGTTTGAGAACGATCCGTTGTGATGAAGATAAAACAATCGACAAATAAGATGCCAAGTCAATTGATTCACCTGATTGAGTTAAAATACAATTTTTATCCGTTGATACACTACTTGTTGTACTATTTGTGTAATAATCAGATGTTGATCCGGAGTCAATTTTTGTTTTAAGACGATGATTAGGTGAAGAAAGTGCTGATGAAGATGACTGATTGATTGTTGTTACTTTTTTACCCTTTGGTACTAAAGCTGGTAACATTAGCGATTTATCTGTAACTGGATCTGTAGTAGCTTTTTCCTCGTTGTTTAGTTGATCAGCTCGACGTTTGGCTGATGTTATCTTTTTGGCTTCACTTTGAATTAAAAAAGAGATGCGAGTTGAAGCGGCTTCCGCTTGGGTTAAGGACAATATACTGATTGGATCGATTGATTCTGTTGGCCAAATTTGATTAAATGTCAAACACGAAATGAACACATCATTGAGCGTTTCAAAAGGGAGATGATCCCAATAGATTGCCATTATCTTTATGTTTATGGTGAGAGTCAAGGCAAGCCAATGAAGAATTGTCACTTTGATTTTTTCCAATTTAATTGCAGTTTTCTCGACCATCAAAACGGTCAATCTTTCCTTAGGAATACGATAATTGATATTTAATAGTCTCTGGCAATTGTTGAGATTATCAATCCATGAATTGAAGCGATTCTGTGTTTCATCTGGAAGTCGTTTACGTTTCTTGCTAGTAATGATGAAATCATCCAGAGCAATTTTACGATCTTTTTCAGGTAAATTTATCAAATTGCAAGCAGTCTCTAATTTATATTGATCTTCCGTGTAAATAGTTTCAATTTGCCTAACAAAAGAATGGCCTTCTTGAATTAAAGTGATACAATCTTCTTCGGCAATAGATTTGATTTTCTCTAAAAGAAGTCGTTGAAGCTTCAATTTACAGTCGACCAATGTAACCCAAGATTGACTGGACTGCTTGGCCTCAATTGAATCAATGGACTGGTCAAATTTTTCGAGTAACATCGACCCCTCCAAAAGGAGTGGATCATCGCCAGGATAGGGATCATTATATCTAAAGAAAAACAATAAAAAGTGATGACAAAAACAAAAAATATACAGAAATATAGTAACAATAGATATACAACTGAATCAACAGATGGACTCATTACAGTAAGTAGTAACATCTAGCAGTTGTTATCCACCGTTGTACACTAATAAACAACATAAGCTAAATGTCAGATGTTACCTTACCTCATAATCTTGACCAACTCATTTTGTCTTTCCGGCTTAACACGAACTTTGGAGCTGATTTCCATGACACCTGAATCACCTCGGAACGTTCTATTCAATCGAGAACATGACTTTTCCTTCTCATACCTTCTTGACTGACCAGAAGATTTGTTGGGTGTCCTAAGCAATAGATCTTGTGACTGGTGTTGATTGGGAGCCTCCAGACTCATTTTACGTTGGCTGCTTAACACTTTATTCAAACAACTTCTTTCTGTCGATGAACTTGGCCGAGCTTTTCTAACTGGTGGTAAATTTGGTCCATTGTTGATACAATTATTTTGATTAACCTTATTATAAATAGACATTGTTTCTCATGTTGTTGCACAAAAAATTGATTTTTCACTTTTCTCTTCTTTCATCTCTTTCTTTCATTACTGAAAAGGTGAACACATTAAAATCTTTTGCTTGCAAGTGATGAAACATCAAGCTAGACTCGAGGTTCAGAGATAAACAATTTTCTGTTGCCATTGGATACATTAAGCATACAATCAAGCAGGATATTGAACTTGTTCACCAAATTTTATTAACCTTTTACTGCATTTTATTCATTCTTGAATATTTATTTTACCTCAAGCTCGATGCTTTATTTCTATTCTGTTTTCGACTCTTTGTCGACTCAAGTAAATGAATAAAAGTGGATTTGAAAGCAGACAAAATAACTTCTGGAGTTCAACCTTGAATGTTATTGAACTTGCCACTGAAACCAAAAATCATTAAGTGAATATTACGATTTTCACCTTAAAGCTTTACTCCTGCTTTATACATGTAATATTATTGATGATTATTTTATTGATCTTGAATAATATCCTAAACTAAAGCAGATAAGATTTCCGGTCGCTGTTTGCAGGTCCGATTTAACCTACTAATTGAATTGTAGTTTTGCGATATTAAATTGTATTTATTTACTGGTGTAATGAGCTGCAAATGCTTTCTAAACTATTGTTATTACAGTATTCCGATAATGATTTGTGAGAAAATTCAAACGCAAAATGCTAAATTTAATAATGACTAATAATTATAGCTGGACGTTTGGTTTTTTGGTACACATTGTGGTTTGGCTGTATCAGGCATGGCCTTATTTTGTAGATGTAGCTAGTATAAATTGTAGTAGTGAGGTTTAAAGTACTTCCTGAGCAATCGTTATCACAGTCTTCCGATTATTAATTACACGAAAATTCAATACCTTTTATTGAGCTTTATTTATATCAGTTTATTGTCTTGAGTAAAATACTTGAATAAAAAACAATACTCGGTGAAAGTTAAAAAGTAGTAGCCTTTTACTTTTTAAGTCAAAGCGCAGGAGACAAAAATTAGGTGCAAAGATTAACAATTTTTTGCTCCTTCTAATTTTTAATCATCCATTGGATCCAAAAAATAAGGTAAATTATCGAAACTTTTGAAAAAACAATGTTCCATGAAATCAAATCCACGACAGATTTTATCTGGTCGATTCAATAGCTGGGGCCAATCAGATTCAATTTGTTTGTCGTCGGCTTTAAAATAAAACTTGATTGATCGGCCATACCGCTTACAATAGTCCCGAACATGATCAGCAGCTTCTTGAGTGACTCCTGAGTCAGGATTACGAATATCAAATAGAGCAAGTTTTGGCAAAATCGCTATTAATTGTTTGACGTGTTCATCTTTTAAAGAGATGTCTCGTAATGCCAAATGCTTTAGATTTGGATATTTGGAAATTAGTGTTCGTAGGTCATTCCAATCGATTGACTTCACCTATTAAAAGAGATATCGTAGATATCAATTTGTTAAGTTGCTAAGTGAAATGTTTCAAAATTTAAATAGCAGTCTAAAGATCAAGGTCTATCACATAATTGAGAAAAATGATAAAAAATATGTGATAACCCGTTTCAGATAAAATAAATATGAATAGATACTCACAAACTGTATAACCAAATCTCGTAAGTTTGCAAGTTTTATCGAATCATTGCACTCAATGTGACAGCAATCAACTCTGATATGAGCACTCTGTAATGCTGGGCACGAATCCATGAATAAAAATGAATGACAAACGCCTGTATAATTCATAGGATTTAGTTCAACTATCTTAAGATTTTCCGATACTGGAGCATCAGAGTAATGTTCTGGTAATAAGTCTAAACATATTAATGGATATCAAAATTCATCATTAGAAGAAAGTTCAAGTATTTTAAAATTTGCCATCAATGGATCATGAGAATAATCTGTTCTTTCTAAACATAAAAAAGGTTCGGAGACAGACATTTGCAAAGATACTGAAATAATAAATGAAATTTTAAGATATTATGAGATTACCTTCTAATTGAGTAATATGTAGCCTTTCAAGGTTTGGGAAACAATAGGCTAAGCATTCGAATGGATTTAGAAAAAAAAAAGAAAGGTGCAATTGTTTCACATTTTTTTTGATGCCACATGAGTTTGAACCAATAGAACTGGTAGATAACATTTCGAGGTTAGTGTTTTCCAGTTTCAATTCACAATTCCAATTTTTATCATAAATGATTCCTTTCAAAGATTCTGAATTTCTGATTAGTTTAAAAATATCTTCAATCGGTGCTTCTCTATTGTATTTATATGAAAATTCGGCAATCTGTTATGGAATATTTTTATAAAAATAAAAACTATAGAAAAAATGAAATTGAAATATAATATCAAATTCCACAAACCCTTAAATTTGGAAACAATTTGCTCAAACAGGTTACATCAACATATGGGCTTATGTTAGTACAAACATAATCAGAAGAATAATACGATTGATCTGAAATTAATAATTGATTTGATTAGGAAAATGGTTGACAATGAGAATAAGCATTAATGGAAATTAAAATCTTACCAATCAAATATTTGACTCTTTTTGTCCGACCAACAATTACATTAGACCACTTTTCGCAAACTGAAATTGGAATTTGTCAAATTACTATTAAATTAACAAAACATGACTTCAAATTACCGAAAATATTGGTATCTGAATATTGCGATTTATCAGTCAGACGATCAACAACATTCATAAAAGGGTAGCAAAAGTGGTTTCAATGAAAACGCTTCTTTCGAATAAAAGCTGGATTAACATTTTTAGCTTTTTTCTTGTATAATGTATTCAACTGTGGTTTAAATTGATAGCTATAAATGATTCTAATATAATCTGAGTTCCTTCACATTTAACAATACAAATAAATAGCATGATTTGCACTTACCTTTGTAGCAGTTTATTAAATCTTGTAAATCTTGAATGTAATCAAAAATGGTCACCAAACAGTCATCTGGAAGTTCATTTATCAACATTTTTAAATCACTTTTGAAATGTTAACTTTAATCGACTTCCAGTTAATAATAAAACTACAGTAATTTTTAAATAAAACACTTACTCGATTCAGACGACAAGTCAGTTGATAAAAGAAGCTGAGATTAGAGTTGTTCCGATATGATTTATCGATCGAAAAGCACAGCTAGTCGATTCAGACGACAAGTCAGTTGAAAGTAATGTACCCGATTAAAGCATTTTTTCCTCAGTCTCCATCTAGTGATAATAGCTTTCAGAAAGTGGCAGCGCTTAAGATTTAGGTACACCAGTAGGGCCTCTCTTAGTCTAACGCTTTTAACTAAAAAAGTAAGAGACTAAGAGACTAAAGAAAGCGTTAGACTAAGAGACTACTAGTGTTTTTGCGATTAAATAAAAACGAATTTTCATGAGATTTATTTCATTTTTGCTTGATTTTTCCACTTTGGGAAATGTCTGTTCAATTTTGATCATTGAAAAAATTTTGATTTTATGTATTTTCTTTCAATTTTTTAATAATTCTATTTTTAATACGATGAATTTGGATGAATTCATTGGAACTTATTGACATTCCTCGATTTTTCCTATGTTTCCGATTTTTAATGATATTTAAACGATATTTTAATCAACGATTAAATCGACATTCCTTCAAAAATAATCAAAATCGTTTATTGATTATTTTTTCAAAATTCGAGAAACACTAAATGTAAGGTTCTAATAAGCCTAAACATAAAAAAAAGTTAGTGAACAAGCAATTATGAAAGATAATAAAGGAAATTACAGATTATTCATGATTGTCAATGGCACTTTCAGTGGTCAATTCGTCTAGTGATACACCTCTGGTGCACCAGAAACAGTGTAGACAACAAGGGATAAAATAACAATGGTAAATGAACGCATTTTGCAAAGGATTTAATGATATCAAATCAAACTTTAAACTCGAATAATCTAAAGATAATGATTTGATCGACGTGTCAAGGCTCATTTAAAAAAACTGGTATGAGACATTTCTTCAAATATCCTAGACCTCATAGTTGAAAAGCAGAAAAATTGCAAAGGATTGGCAGTTTTTTGTATTTTTAATCATCCATTGGATCCAAAAAATAAGGCAAATTATCGAAACTTTTGAAAAAACAATGTTCCATGAAATCAAATCCACGACAAATTTTATCTGGTCGATTCAATATCTGCGGCCAATCAGATTCAATTTGTTCGTCGCATGATCCGATATAAAACTTGATTGACCGACCATATCGCTTACAAAATTCCCCAACATGACGAGCAACTTCACGAGGGAATCCATAAGATTTACGAATATCAAGTAGTGTTAATTTTGGCAAAATTAATATCAATTGCTTGATGTGTTCCTCTTTTAAATAGGTATTTCGTAATGCCAAATGCTTTAGATTTGGATATTTTGAAATCAGTCCTCGTAGTCTATCCCATTCGAATGGTTCATACTATTAAAATAAAAATGAATGTAAATTTGTTAAGACACTATTTGAATGAATTACAATTGTACTGAAAAAAAATCGTTTCAAAATATAGATGAAAGTCGACAAAATCAAAGTTATTCCATGATTGAGAAAAACGGTCAAATAACGACCATAAAGGATGAAAAATATCATGATAGCACACTTTTGAGAATTGAAATAAAATATCAAAAGAAAAATTATACTCACCAAATGATCAAATTGTATAACTAAATCTTGTAAGCTTGCATGTTTTATCCAATCAGTGAACCTATAGCGCCTGGATTCAATTTTGAAATAAGCACTCTGTAATGCTGGGCACGCATCCATGAATGAACACCAAATGTAATTCCAATGATCAACAGGCAAACACATTTCAAGTATTTTAAGATTTGCCAATACTGGAGCTTCAGAGGACTGTTCTGATAATTTTAAACATGAAAAAAGTTAGTCAACAAGCAATTATAAAAGATAATATATGAAATTACCTTCTGTACCGTCTGTAGCATAAATTTTCAGCCTTTCAAGATTTGGAAAACAATGTGCCGCGCATTCAAATAGACCTAGATTAGAGTTCAAAAGATGCAATTGTTTCACATTTTCATAGACTCCACTTATGTTTGGATCAATATATCCGGCAGAAAACATTTCGAAGTTTTCGTTTTCCGGTATCAATTCGAAATTCAAATAGTAATCCCAATGACAAATTATTCCTTTTAAAGATTCAGAATCTCTGATTAGTTGAACCATATCTTCGATTGGTGCTCTTCTATTGAATGGATATGAAAATTCTGCAATCTGTTTTGATAAGATTTGTATTAAAAATAAGAACTACGTAAACAATGAAAGTGAAATATAATATGAAATCTTTCAACAAACCCTTAAATTTGGAAACAATGTGCTCAAACATGTTACATCAATTGGTTCCTTAAGGTGCAGACAAACATAATCATGCGAATAATTTGGTTGACCTGAAATTAATAAATGATTTTATTAGGAAAACGATCACAATAAGAATAGACATCAATGAAAATTTAAATCTTACCAATCAAATATTTAATTTTTTTAGTCCGATCAGCAATTATGTCACGCCATTTTTCGAAGACTGTAATTGAAATTTGTCGAATTATTCCTAAATTAAAATTATTCTTAACCAAGTACATGTATTGCGCTCTTTCAGTCAGACGATAAACATAATTCATCTTATGGTAACAAAAGAGGCTTCATTCGCATAAAAGTTGGATATCGCATTTATCTTATTGTATTTTACTGTGATTTCAATGGTTCTAATATATTTGATTTCCCCCACATTTAACAATTTAAATAAATAGCATGATTTGAACTTACCTTTGAATAAGTTTATTAAATCTTTTATATCTTGTATGTAATCAAAAATAGCCAGCAAACAGTCATCTGGAAGTTCATTTATTAACATTGTACATCAGCTTTGAAATGTTAACTTTAATCAATTTCCAGTTAATAAAACTATAATAATTATTAAATAACACAGCTAGTTGATTCAGACGACAAGTCACTTGAAGTAGAGCGAGATGTTCACCATTAACCGGTAACCTTTAGCCCGTTTTTTGGTTAGTGGAGAACTAAAAGTAACCGGTTAATGGCTATACCGGCTATACTAACAAGCGTTTATAATAAAACGAGTAACCGGTTAGTGGTAAGTTTCTCTTTAAACCTTCTCAGCTTGAATGAGATCCTGATTTATAAAATCCTAGTTTTAATGTTAAAATCAAAGATATTTTCTCATCTTCCTCTGTCTACTTTACTTTATTTAATTCAAAGGAGTATATGCATAAACTTTTGGGTTGAGTTGAGTTTTGTACAATTATGGAATCTTTTTCATCCAATTGATCTTCTCATGTAACTTTACTACCCAATAAAGTGGGTTAGCAAGTTTCATTCAAAGAGGTTTCATTAGTAAAAAAGTTGGATTAAAGATACTTTTCAACTCGAGAGTTTTTATTTTATGAAAATAAGGTCATTGGTTCAAACAAAAATAACTTTGTATATCATAGGTTTCACTTTGCAGCTTAAATTCTTGTTTGAAGGACACAAAGAGTGAGGATAATTCAAGACTAGCGGTTACCAGCATTGATTGGTGTAATGGTCCATCAATTTCATCTAACAAACTGTAAGATCCATAATGATGGTCTGCGTAAAATATCGAGGTATGCGACATTTCTTTGAGCAAACTAAACCTCACAACTGAAAAGCAGAAAAATTGCAAAGGATTGGCAGTTTTTTTCATTTTTTTAATCATCTATTGGATCCAAAAAAAGAGGCAAATTATCGAAACTTTTGAAAAAACAATGTTCCATGAAATCAAATCCACGACAGATTTTATCTGGTCGATTCAATAGCTGAGGCCAATCAGCTTCAATTTGCTTGTCGTCGGCTTTGAAATAAAACTTGATTGATCGGCCATACCGCTTACAATAGTTTCGAACATGATTAGAAGCGTCTTGAGTGACTCCAGGAGATTCACGAATATCAAGTAGTGTCAGTTTTGGCAAAATTAATATTAATTGTTTGATGTGATCATCACTTAAATAGGTATTCCGTAATGCCAAATGCTTTAGATTTGGGAATTTCGACATTAGTCTTTGTAGGTCATCCCATCCGATTGGATTGTACTATTGATAGAGATAAGTATCGATTTGTTAAATTGCTATGTGAAATGTTTCACAATTTAAATAACAGTCAACAGATTAAAGTTTATCACATTATTGAGAAAAGTGGTTGAATATCGACAATAAAATGATAAACAATGTCATGATAACACGCTTTTCAGAACTAAAATCCATCTTAGGCAAAAGCATACTCACAAATTGTAAAACCAAATCTTGAAGGTTTGCAAGTTTTATTGAACCATCGAAAATAATTTCACAGCATTCAATTTTGATATGAGCACTCTGTAATGCTGGGCACCGATCCATGAATACAAATGAACAACAAGCGCCTACCCAACTATTCAGATGCAAATTTATTTCAACTATCTTAAGCTTTGCCCATACTGGAGCCTCAAAGTAATCTTCTGGTAAATCTAAACACATAAATGAATAGCAAAATTCATCATTAGAAGAAAGTTCTAATAAAGGTTTTATTTAAGATTTGCCATTAATGGACCATCGTGGCAATGTCTGTTCTGTCTAAACATGAAAAAGAATCGTCAACAAACAATTCAAAAAAGATACTGAAATATAATATGAAATTTTAAGACATTAGGAGATTACCTGCTAACTTAGAAATGTGTAGCCTTTCAAGATTTGGAAAACAATGTGCGATGCATTCGAATAGACCTAAATTACAGTCATAAAGGTGGAATTGTTTCACATTTTCATAGATTCCATTTAGTTTTTTATCAAAACATCGGGTAGATAACATTTCGAGGTTAGCTTTTTCCAGTTTCAATTTGAAATATAAATATTTATCATAAATGATTCCTTTCAAAGATTCTGTTTCTCTGACTAGTTTAACAATATCTTCGATTGGTACTTTTTTGTGTAATGGGAAGGAAAGTTCGGCAATCTGTCATAATAAGATTTGTAAAAAAATAAAGATTTTAAAACAATGAAAGTTAAATAATATAAAATCTGTCAACAAACCCTTAAATTTGGAAACAATTTGCTCAAACATGTTACATCAATTGGTGGATTTACGTAACTACTAACACAATCAGGCGTATAATACGATTGATCTGAAATTAATGATTGATTTGATTAGCAAAATGGTTGACAATGAGAATAAGCATTAAGCAATGGTCATTAAAATCTTACTAATCAAATATTTGACTCTTTTTGTCCGACCGACGATTAAATTACACCATTTTTCGCAAACTGTAATTGGAATTCATCAAATCACTATTAAATTAAATAAACATAACTTCAAGCTAAATAAAATGTTAGGATCTGAATATTGCGATTTATCAGTCAGACGATCAACAACATTCATAACAGGATAGCAAAAGAGCTTTCATTGAAATCGTTTCTTTCGTATAAATTTTGAATAATATGTTGAGCTTTTATCATCGATTTAACTGTGGTTCCAATTGATAGCTATAATTGATTCCAATATAATCTGATTCCGCTCACATTTAACAATTTAAATAAATGAAATGATTTGCACTTACCTTTGAAGCAGTTTATTAAATCTTTTGAATCTTGTATGGCATCAAAAATAGCCAGCAAACAATCATCTGGAAGTTCATTTATTAACATTTTTAAAGCAGCTTTGAAATGTCAACTACAATCAATTTCTAGTTAATAAAACTATAATTATTATTAAATAAAACAGCTAGTCGATTGAGACAACAAATCACTAGAAAGTAGATCTGGATAAATTGCCATTGGCCACGCTAGAGCTGACGCTGAGCCGTATGGCTAAGCGGCTCAAACGCCATTCGCTGTTAGCCGTGGCTCATTTAGGGGTATCAAAATTACAAGAGTACAGATAATTTACCATAATGTATCCTTAACATTGGCAACAGAAAAAACATTAATTTATGAGATTTCGTCCTTTTTATGGTGTGAAGTTATCTAGTCGAATTGAGGAAACACAAGCTCAGGTATTTTTTCTACGGCTTTTTGGGTATTTTTATTCAACAAGTCCGTTTTTAATGCACTTGAAATTACATTGGTTTTTATGAGCAGCTGAAGTTATTATAATAAAATGAATGTTTGGTTCATACTGTCATTTAGAGAAAATATTAAAGCTCTACAAAATTCGGTATCTTTTATGAACGAAGTAAGTTGAAAGGTTATGTCAAACAACGATTTGACATAATTTTTATTCTTGACGTTTTTACTCTTGGAAAAATATCAATAAATTGGCATTAAAATATAAAATAAAAATACATAGGTAACTATTATAATCTCTCGAAATCTTGAAGGTTTGATATTGAATAAGAATGGCATTGCTTAATTATTTGAAATATCTATCAATTGGTTTCTCATTGGCGAATAAAAGTTTTGAGTCTGAATATTTCCAAACTAATGATTAGCCGAACTGATTACTGTAATGACCCATCAACTCCATCTAAGATCGATAATTAGGGTCTAAGTAAGATATAGTGGTATAAGACACCGTTTTTTCGACATCCTAAACCTCATAGCTGAAAATTAGAAAAATTGCAAGGGATTGGCAGTTTTCATTTCATTAATCATCTATTGGATCCAAAAAATAAGGCAAATCATCGAAACTTTTGAAAAAACAATTTTCCATGAAATCAAATCCACGACAGATTTTAAATGGATGATTTAATAACTGCGGCCAATCAGATTTGATTTGTTCGTCGTCTTTATTAAAATAAAACTTGATTGATCGGCCATGCTGTTTACAATAATTCCGAATATGATCAGCACCTTCTTGAGTGATTCCATAAGATTTACGAACATCAAGTAGTGTCAGTTTTGGCAAAATTAGTATTAATTCCTTGATGTTTTCCTCTCTTACATGTTGTAAATAAGTGGCTCGTATTGCCAAATGCTTTAGATTCGGATATTTGGACATCTGTCTTTGTAGGTCATTCCATTCGATTGAATCGTACTAACAAAATAGAAATAAATTTAAATTTGTAAATTTGTTAAAATGCTATTGAATGAATAGCACTTGCACTGAAAAAAATGTTCCAAAGTTCAAATGGCATTCGACAGATCAAAGTTCATCCCATAATTGAGAAAATGAATGAATATCGACAGTAAAATGATAATCAATATCGTAATACACTTTTCAATAAAATATGAAATCCTACTCACAAATTCTATAACCAAATCTTGTAAGTTTGCAAGTTTTATTGAATCATTGACGTCGATGGGAAAGCAACTAATCCTGATATGAGCACTCTGTAATGCTGGGCACAAATCCATGAATACAAATGAACACCAAGCGTCTTCCCAGTAAACGTGAGGCCGCTCCATTTCAAGTATTTTAAGATTTGCCAATACTGGAGCATCATAGTAAGGTTCTGATGATTCTAAACATACATACATAGCAAAAGTCGAAAGTTAAAATATCTTAAAATTTGAACATTATTGGGCATCACAGCATTAATCTATTGTGCCTGAACAGAAAAGGGTCGGTAAACAGACAACTATAGCAAAATATTGAAATAATATATGAATTTGTAACATTTTATGAGATTACCTGGTTCCTTATAAAATTTTAACCTTTCAAGATTTGGGAAATAATGGACCAATTCGAATAAATATAAATTAGAGCACCGCAGGTGCAATTGTTTCACATTTTCATAGATTCCACTTATGTTTGGATTAACATATCCGATAGATAACATTTCGAAATTAGCGATTTCCGGCATCAATTCAAAGCCAAAATCAGTATCAATCATTATTCCTTTCAAATATTTTGAATCTCTGATTACTTTAAAAATATCTTTGATCGGTACTTTTTCAAATAAAAGGGATGAAAAGTAGGCAATCTGTCATGATAATGTTTGTGAAAAAATAAAGATTATAAGAAAATTGAAGTCAAATAATATCAAATCTTAAACAAACCCTTAAATTTGGAAACAATGTGCTCAAACATGTTGCACCAACAGGTCGCTTTACGTGATTGCAAACATAATCAGGCGAATAACACGATTGATCTGAAATTAATAATTGATTTTATTAGGAAAATGGTTGACAATGAGAATAAGCATTAAGCAATGGTCATTAAAATCTTACTAATCAAATATTTGACTCTTTTTGTCCGACCGACGATTAAATTACACCATTTTTCGCAAACTGTAATTGGAATTCATCAAATCACTATTAAATTAAATAAACATAACTTCAAGCTAAATAAAATGTTAGGATCTGAATATTGCGATTTATCAGTCAGACGATCAACAACATTCATAACAGGATAGCAAAAGAGCTTTCATTGAAATCGTTTCTTTCGTATAAATTTTGAATAATATGTTGAGCTTTTATCATCGATTTAACTGTGGTTCCAATTGATAGCTATAATTGATTCCAATATAATCTGATTCCGCTCACATTTAACAATTTAAATACATGAAAATAACATAATTTGCACTTACCTTTGTAACAGTTTATTAAATCTTGTAAATCTTTTAAGTGATAAAAAATAGTCAGCAAACAATCATCTGGAAGTTCATTTATCAACATTGTTAAATCACCTTTCAAATGTTAACTTTAATCAATTTACAGTTTTTAAAACTATAATAATTATCAATGAAAACAGCTGGTCGATTCAGACGACAAGTCAGTTGAAAGCAAAGAGTAAAACAACAGTTATATTACTCTTTGGTTGAAAGCAAAGAGTAAAGGAAGAAGAGTGTGCAATTCAATGCAACATCTCAACCAAAATTTTTTTTTGGTGTCAGAAGATGGCGCGAGAAAGAGACTCTTTCTTTTTACTTTCTTTACAGATTTTTTACTCTCTTTTATCTTTCATTTCTCTTTCTTTTCATCATTGAAAATTAAATTAAAGCAATTAATATCAACATTAGAAAAGGCTTTTTTGATTGTTTTTCAATGTTTTTAATGTTATTTTTATTGATTTTGATGATTTTGATGCTGTGATTTCTTATTTAAAGATGAATGCATGATAATTTAACAGAGAAACGTCACTTTGACTAACAAAATCTGAATTAATCAAAGCAAAAGTCTATCATAAAGTATTATCATCATATATAAGTT